AAGATTACGATAAAGAAGGCATGTTTTAGAAAATTGATGGCATTTACCTGAAATCCTAAAGTCACCGGCAATAGCTCTAACCCAAAATCGATCGAGGTGTTTGGCGGGATTTGGCCAAGAGATTTCTGAAATGATCACAAGTTGAAGGGTTTTATTTAAGATTTAAGATTTAAGATTTAAACTTTAAACTTTAAACTTTAAAGCTTTAAAATTAAGCCTTAATCCTTAAGCCTTAAGCCTTAAGCCTTAAGCTTTAAGCTTTAAGCCTTAAGCCTTAAGCTTTAAGCATTAAGCATTAAGCCTTAAGCCTTAAACTTTAAATCCAAAAATTTGACTCTCTTTTCAACTTACTCCCGACGTGCAACAGTAGACGATTCCCGGCTGGCGAACGGTGTCAAAAGAGAGCATTAGGTCGAGAGAACGATCGCTGAAAGAGATTCCGACAGGGTGATCCAGTCAAAAGATTTTCTAGACAAAAAAATCAAAGAATTTCCTCTTGCCCACCAACAATTGTGCACTCGAAGCATCACTTCAAACGTTTGCCTGACTCTCACCGTCGCCGGCACTCTTTCCACACTCAAACGAGTGTCCCCATAGCCGGGTGCCTGAAATTTCGTTTTAAGTCACTTATCATAGCCAAGTAAGTCATAAACTTCATATGCAAAGTGCTTTAGATTTGCCTTTACTTACAATTCTCTGCAATGGACTCGTTTGCAAGCGTCCCCTTTCGCCCATCGCCGTTCGCCATTGCATGTCGAGTTTCCCGATGTTTGTCACCTAAAACTTGCCTTGTTCTTCACGATTATCGCTATTAGATAACCAGCTAATACCTATCATAGAAATCTATCTCAAAACGATATTTTACCAAGATAAAAAGTTCCTTACTATCTAATTTCTAAGTACAAAGTTGTCATCATATATTTGAACCTCTTTCGGCGACGAGATCCCATGATTCTTTGGAGTCAAGCAAAAGAGAAACTGGCGAACATCTTTCGGGCGAAGTTGCACAGCTGATGGACTAAAAGTTTCTTTATTCTCAGTTTAAAATTTTTATTATTTAAGTAAATCTCAAGTTCTCCTTTCATTCTTTTCCACTCACCTTGGCGTTATCGCTTGACTATCATAGAAATCGCTTGGTTCAAGTACAACCCTTTCCAACATCATCATTCCACCGGAGGTGTTCTCGATTTGAGCCTCCAAGAAGACGTCGTTCGACTAAAAAAATTCAACTGATAACGGGAATCTGTCTAAAATATGGGTTTTCTAGAAAACCCAAAAGCTTGAGCTTGGTCTAGCAACTATTTTATGCTAAACTTTTCACGAAACCCACCAAATTATCCTAAAGTGATCGATTTGGAAGCAAAAAAAAGCACACCAGACACGAGCATGCAAATGAAAATCGAGTTATTGAAAAATAGGAAAAAAATTTTCCCACCTCAGCATTGTAAAATTTCGTGCGCACGTCGATGGGTTTTGTGACGGGGAATTTGAAGAATTTACGGAAATATTGGCTGCTTCCCGAGGACGTTTTGTAGGTGACCGAGCAGACTAATCTGAAAGAAAATTATCTAGAATCGTATCTAATATCTGAAATCTATCAGTTTAAAAATGACTATTAAATCTAAAATTCGTATCGTATTGCCATAGCAACGGGCGGTGGAAGCTAATCTTTTGGTCTAAAGATATTCGATAATCAAAAGTGTGTATTGTATTGAGAAAAAAAAGTGTATTTAAAGCTACAGTAATGCATTACAGTAAAGTAGTAAAAAGTAGCCTTTTAGTAAAAAGTAAAAAGTAGCCAGTAAAAAGTAGCCTTTTAGCCTTTTTAAAAACCCACATGTGTTGCCCGAGCTCTTTCACCTCGTGGCTCACCACTTGTCCTTGCGATTCACCGGCCACCAACTTCAACCCATCCAGTTTACACGGTAATGGCTGCTTTTGGCTGTTCGTTTGTAAATCGACCTGAAACTTTATGGTACTATTGGATTTTTGCTCTCTTCAACCTTAACAGTAACCTCGTCCACTTGGTCATTCCCTTCATTGATACAACTCACATAGAAGGTGAACGTTTCGCCAAGGTAAATGTTTCTAACGATAAGTATTTGATGATAGCTTTCTCTTAAACCAACTCAAATTGTTGCGGCGCTAGGATGAAATCCCCAATCGGCCACTGCGATCCTTCGTCGATGGTTTTTCGTTGTACTGTTTGTTGAATTATACGACCAACATCATCCTCAGGATCAACGCATAATGAAGTGAATGGGGCGAATTTTGGCCGAGCCAATCGCATCACTGAATCGAAAACAAGTTGCAAGACAAGTACCGGCCGTTTTAAAACCAAAAATGCAGCTACTCGGCGTATCTCTCATTTTATTCGAGGCTTTCCTTATTAAGGCGATGCCAGTATCCAAAACCAGACAAACCTTTCAACGTGATTGTTTGACTTGGTCCTTGTAGGTCTGCCATTTGAAGCTTTAAGTCTGAATCGTAAAAACAATTTATCAGAAAAAACAAATAACGAGTTGGCCACAACAAACAATTGAAAGGGTATCGCCCGGATTGACACTAAACCAAGCCTGACAAAGGGCCAAAAAGCACCCAAGAGATTTTACGGTGACCTAAAGCGTCAAATACACACTGCGTGTCGTGGTCGACCGCGATTTTAGAGAAAACAACTCGAGCTCAACACGCAGTAAATGTATTTATAAAATCTAGATAAAAACAAACAAAATGACAAATAACAAAAACATTTTTCAAGAGATGCGTGAGCAGTTCGGCAACTCGTTCAGCTTCTGTCTTTAGTGATGGTGTGCGTGGCCCGAGTGATCGTGATCATGTCCTTCGCAGCTCTTCTTTTCATTTCGAGAAGCCTCATCAAAGTCGCCAACGAGATCTAAACCATAAGGGACCATAGATGGGTTAAACGTGTATTCAATTACCAGGAACGTCATCTTCTTCGGAAGTCTTGAATTGTGTTGTAACATTGCTTGCCAACTTCTTGAGATGCGTGAGTGACTCAGGACCCAGTTGATTAAGAATCGCTGGTAGCAACTCTGTGATTTCTAAAAACAAGAAAATTAGTTGCATAAACCCAAAGCCCTACGTTTGTTCTCAGCGCTTCCACAGACGGAAAAGGTGTTAGCCGGGACCGAAGCTTGCACTTTTGGGTTGTTGAAGTGGATGACCGTTCCGTCCTCCTTGATCATGTTAACCTAAAATAAAAAGCTAATCGATGCATAAGAAAAGTCATTGACTCATTTATAGCCTAGTACCAGTCTATGATTTGCGAACTTTCAATGAATTTGCCACCTAACAAGTCCCACGTTTATAAGCATTTAATTACTACTACCCCAATGTTTTAGTGCAAAAGCAACACCTCCTCAATGCCAGGAATGTTGGTGACGGAAAGCTTCTTGAGGTTCGATTGCAACTTCTTGTCATCCGAAGCGGCGGTCTTGTGCACAACCTTCTTCTTCCTTCGCACGGTTCCCTGAATAGAAAAGATTAGTACTCTATACAACTTGGGCAACAACATTCTGACTAATTCATTGAATATATGATTCAATGCATCTACCCAGTTCACTAATTTTAAAATCTAGGCTCCAAATTAACCATCAGTCCTCCTGGCGGGTCTACAAATATAACATCAAAATCTAACCTTTCCTCCGGTGCGCACAGCCTCAGCCATTGCTTGCAGCTTCTTGATTTTCTCGGCAACCTCCTTGTCGGTCATTGTTGCGGAATTCCCTGAAAGTGAAACGATTAGTCCAAGAATTGGTACTAGTAAACTTCAGGGGGAGGGAGCAGTTCGATTTGACCCGGTCAGAACCTATTTTACCCGTTTTTTTTAAGCCTGGTTTTGCATTTTTTCAAATATGCTTAATCTATTGGTGATATTTTTAGTGTTTTGAATAAGTTTTCACTTTGTACTTCGCCCCTGGCCTCATTTTCAAGCTTTGTGGCACTGCAACAGCTATCCTCCGTCTAGCTCAACAAAAGATTAATAAAAATTGTTAAAAACTTTCCAAAAATATCACCAAATGATTCAACATGTTTGATTAGCCCAGAAAAAATTAAATAACGTTAGTAAAACAGTCGAAAGATCAAATCTGACCAAATCAGAGGCAAAGTGCCCCCGCGCGCCAAATTTTATTAATATCTAAGAATGAAACAAGTAACAATTGTACAATAAAACTAGTAGGAAGAAAGATTGGGCCGCGCAATTCAAAAGCATGAAAGAACAAGTCTTACAAAACAGCTTTGATTGACAGCTACTGATAACAGAAAGGAGAGGGAGCTAATCTACGAAATTTCACTTTTCTTAAAAGCGCGAGTTTTAAAATGGAGCAAGCCAGAGGCAGCTGACTTTAGCAAAATTAACACGATCGATTAAAACTTAAGGGCCCGACTGTAAATAAATCACGCGACAAAAGTGAACGGATCTAGAAATTTTCTTGGCAAAATCTTGCCGAGACAGTTTTGCGCCAAACGGGTGTGGCAGCCCGAAAACTAGTACAAAGGAACGCGCTGTAGGGGACAGCCACGCAACGCACAGAGAAAAGAGGGGTAAAAGGAAATGGAGTTTGCACACAAGTGATGAATCATATGGCTGGACAATGAACGCGGGCTATCAGTTAAGCGCTTTTATAGGTGATCGTCATCAAAATTGATTCTTTCGATAGCATTTCACCAATTGATTCTCAAAATTCAGCACTAGCTGCATTCCAAACGCTTTAGACGGGCAAACTTTTAAATTAATGAAGCTTTTGAGAGCGTTCTCGATTGCGAAATCGTCACATTATGCAAGGCTTATCGATTTTAGGCATCTAGACGTAAAATGGAAGAGATTGGGAAATTCTAGATGGAAATTTTATTAAAAAAATGGATTTGCGCATTGAATACACTTTTCTTCCTTTCTAACGTGGTTGAGAGTCCTTTTTCTTCACCTTTTTTTATTATGTTCTTCGTGTTCTTAACATTTACAATTGTTTCTATTTTAGATGAGCCTTTTCGGGAAGATCTTCGGCGGCAAGAAGGAGGCTCCACCACCGAGCACCCAAGACAGCATCCAGAAGTTGCGCGAGACCGAGGAGTTGCTCATCAAGAAGCAGGACTTTCTTGAGAAGAAAATTAAAGATGTAAGGGTTTTTGATTAGTTTGTATTTGAGAGGAAATTCTTGCGGGAAGCGTTGATTGGCTTGTTCTGATATTTATATGAATAACTATTTTTAATCGCCAAATCAGCAGTAGACTAGTTGTAAGCTTGGTTTAATTAGAAGTGTTACTATGATTTTATTCACTATCGGCGTTTATAGCGTTAAACTATCAATTTTTGTTTTAGTTAAAACGTCTTTACGTTCGATTACCCTAATCAAAGAGCTTTGAAGTTTAGCGGGTATTCTTAATCGATTACCTCGAAAAAAGAAAAGGCTGAATGATGATTCATCTTTTTTTTAGGAAGTAGCAACTGCTGTGAAACATGGAACAAAGAACAAGCGGCTGGCATTGCACGCTCTCAACAGAAAAAGGTAAATTTACAATCTTTAAATTAAGCGTTTATTATTTTCACTTTAGACAATATGAGAAACAACTTGCGCAACTTGACGGTGTTCTGCAAACGATCGAATTTCAAAGAGAAGCCCTCGAGAATGCGTCGACGAACGCGGAAGTTCTGCAAGTTATGGGTGGAGCTAGCAAAGCCCTCAAGGCTGCTCACAACAACATGGATATTGATCAAGTGAGTTTTTGAGTTGAACTTTGGAATCAAATGGTACTGCTGACGGGCAGTCAAAAGTGGCTTTTATTATGTTTTTCCATGTTAAAGAGTTTCTTTTAGGTCCACGATTTGATGGAGGATATCGCTGAACAACAAGAAGTGGCCAATGAAATTGCCGAAGCCATTTCAAATCCCGTCGGGTTTGGCCGAGATCTCGATGAAGATGATCTTATGAAAGAATTGGAACAACTCGAGCAGGTAAAAATTTGAGCTAATTTAGAAGCTTTCTTACTGACTTCTAAAGGAAAATATTAACAAAATCGGGACTTATTGACGCTACCAGCCAAACGGCGGATTTTTCTGACTGGATGCTTTGGCGCTGACGCACGAGTCAAGGGGCGCCGAGACCCCTGTAACAATACAGGGGCAATTAAACGTGAGGCAATTAAATTTGCATACTTTAGCTCCATGCTCGAAAACATTAAAAGCAAAAAAGTTTGAAGCGGACGGGAATCGGACCCGGCACCCCTGCCCTCCCTTACATAGACCGCCGAGGCAAAAAAAGGGACGGGGCTTAGTAATTTTTAACTTTTTAAAAAGTACAAGAAGAAACTCGTCATTTTTTGGGGGTGGCGTCAGCAGAAATTCATCTATCGAACAAAAAAAGTGTACTCCGAAATTCGATCTTTGTGCTGAGAAAAGTGCGCGTGACGGACGGACGGACAGACAGACACTTGCCTATTATATATAGTAGATTAAACTTTTTATCACTGCAACAATGATTTTAGCAACTTATCTATTTCAGGAAGAACTCGACAAGCAGCTCCTTGATGCCAATCCCACACCGATTAGTCTTCCCGATGCGCCAGCCGAACGACTTCCAGCCGTGCCTGCCAGAAAGGCTCCCGCAAAGACCAATGCCGACAAAGACCTCGACGAGTTGGAGGCTTGGGCAAATTCATGATCTTTTTCACGTACGGATGCTTTTATTTGAATGACTTAAGTGCCACACATGTTTTTTTTCTGACCAGCATTGAATTTTTTATTACCACGACCATTCCTCTTTCTTTTACTGACTTTGTTTCTTCTTTTGTCGCTAGTCGGACTTAAATATGCAGTCTTTTTCGATTGGGTTATAATTGTACATTTGTATATTGGGCAGAAACAAGCTATTAAAAAGATTGCTCTACCCGAGGGAGAAAATCACATGCAAATCTGGTTAACAATTAATTATTTTAGATAAAGCAAATGTTTGTTTTGAAAGAAAACGACAAAGTTTTAGAAGAAAGGCGTAAGGCTTTACAGGTGCACAAGTATTTTGGCTCTTTGGGTGACTCGACGTAAGTTTTTAGGCTTGACGCGGTTGAGTTTCCTAAGTCGACCCGGTCAAATTGGCAGGTTTACTACTGCACAGAAAGTGTATTTCAAAATGGGTAGACTTATATAGAGTTATAGTTTTGCCTTAAGAACATGATCAATGGTTTCTTCTAACCAAAAGTTGTTGCGGTTGGATTTAGCGCCAAAATTGAAGCTTTTAATTGGTTTAGTTGACACACCTAAGGCGCTTCAGCGAAAAATCGGAAAAACTACATTCATCTTTTTACGATATCTTCATTAATCGTTTCTCTTTTCACAATTGCCAATTCAGCCGAGTGTTAACCCCCTTTTGGGGCAAGTTGAAAGAGAGAAAGATGGGTATTGTGTGCGTCGAGAGCTCTCCTTCTCCGTTGAGATGGGTTCCAAGCGATGAGAGGGGAAAGAGTGCGAGAAGATAGGTCTATCAAAAATTCATAGGGCCTTCTCTTCCCTTACTCCTTCCTTTCATCCGCTTTTCTTCAAGAAGAGCTCTCCATTCGTGCTAACGAGCCGCCTCCATCACTTTCGTCGTCTCCTTTTCACTTCATCCTTCACCCCAGCCTTTTATCCCTTTTTAGTTAGCGATCTTCTTAGAGACATGTGTAAATGGGCGCTTCAATAGTGCATATGAGTCATAAAGAGAATCTCTTAGTAGTCACTTTTTCTCTCTTTTCTTTAGTTTTACAAGAGTTATTCATGTTTTAGATAAAAAGATCACTTTTCCCGAGATACGCTTATAAAGGTGATAACCATCACTTTATCTACAATATTCACAAAATTCCAGTTTACTGTATTACAATTACAGCTTACTGTGAGTGAGATGATTTCTCAGAATACTTGACCTTGCCATTCATCTGCCAAAGTTATCAATTGTTATGTGAAAAAAAAAAGAAAATTTAATCACTTGTTTCACATTTCATTAATAATTTTTGAAACTTACGAAAACAGTTTGACAAAACATTTTGATCTGTTTCCCTTCAAAAAAAAAAGACTCTCTCGCTCATCACTCAAAAAACAAATACGAAAATCCCCTTTACTCTCTTTTCCTTCTCGATTTCTTTGAAACATTTGCATTTCTTTTCTCTTTAGTTTAGTTTTGAGTGGGTAAATGAGGACCCAATTTCTCTCTTTTTTTTCCCCACCCCATTTTTGATGGGATTCACTCCATTCTTCTCCTCGTCAATTCTCCGATTGACGATAGATAAGCCGGGTCTTTTTAACTCCGAAAATCGACCCTTTTTACTCTCTTTTGCTTTGAAAAGTTGAGTCAAATGATACTGGGATTGAACCCTTGACTTCTTGACTAAGATACAAGACTTCTAGACTTCTTGTCTAGGATAAAGGGCTCTTCGCTAGTCAGCCATGACAGTTATTAGCTTCATTGTTGTAATTGGGGGGGAGTTTTCGTTGGACGAAAGCGATTTGAGTTCTTATTTGAATTACTTCTTCAAAGTGAACTCGATGATTTATTGGGTTTTTCTTTTGCGAAAATTTTCTGAAGTCTCCGGGATGGGAAAGCTGTGGTTAGGGGGTGGTTTAGGGCGACTTTATTGGTCCAATCAACCTCTCCCCTTCATCCAGCTCATCTCATTCGAGTCTGGGATCTATTTTCTATCTATTCTATCTATTTTCTATCTATTTTCTATCATTTTCTATCATTTTCTATCATTTTCTATCTATTTTCGATTCTCAGCTATCCACTAGGTTCTCTTGTTTTTTGAAAACCTTTCTCTAAAGCTGGCTAATCTTTCACTTTCTCTATAGCTGGCTAAAACTGGCTAAAGCTCGCCGACCCAGTTCACAACAAGGAAAAGCAGAAAGAACTTCCTTCATCTTTTTTACAAATTCATCTCTGTCACCGTCATCTTGTCATCTTTCTCGAGTCAATTTGTATCCTTCACAAAAATCTGTGTGAATACTCGGCTGCATGGAGGCATGTATCAGTTTACTCGATCTCTTTCCTATGTAGCCATTCTTTCCCCTGGCCCCATGTCACCCATGTCCCGGTCTCCTAGTGCACAAGAGCACAAGAGCACAAGAGCCACACACAAATGCGCGATCTCCGATTACAGCCTCCGGGGACTCTCCTTTCACGTTGAGCGACGAAGAAGGGACACAAGAAGGGACACTCTGCGACACTGCGACAAAAACGTCCCTCCCCCGCCCATTCACTCCCTGATACATGCCATATTATTGGCTGGGTTTTGATTCTGATCTAGGCTTGCTTACGCGGCCAGAATTAGGTCTGGCTTTTAGTCAGACCTAATTCTGAGTCTTTGAATCGAATTTCTTTAACTTTCATTTCCCTTTCAATTTGGAGATTTCAATTTGGAGAATTTCACAATTTCAATTGGAGAATTGTGATCTTCACATGGAAATCGAATCTAGAACTTGTTAGGGTAAACCAGAAATCCCAGAAACCAAACTAGCTAAACCTTTAGCTCAGATTCAGCTGAACACAAGGGGCAGGCCAAGGTGGAGCCCGTCTAGGTCCAGTCCAACTAGATCCAATCCAACTAGATCCAGTCCAAACTAGATCCAGTCCAAACTAGATCCAGTCTAAACTAGATCCAGTCCAAACTAGATCCAGTCTAAACTAGATCCAGTCCAAACTAGATCCAGTCCAACTAGATCCAGTCTAAACTAGATCCAGTCTCAACTAGATCCAGTCCAAACTAGATCCAGTCTAAACTAGATCCAGTCTCAACTAGATCCAGTCTAAACTAGATCCAGCCCAAACCAGAGGCAAGTCTAAAGTCAAGGATCAAATCCAGAGGCCTGAAAGATTGCCTTTCGAAAAGCCATTTTGGTGTTTATCCCGTTCTTTGCTTAGCTCCAATCGAGGCTTATGACTAGGCCAAGCCACTCGGTCAGAAGCCATGCTTAGAGCCAGACAGATTCAGAATGTTTAGCCTGTTCTTCGCCCATCCGTCGAATCCCTTCAGTACTCCCTTCCCTACCCCGAAAATTCTAACAAAAGCGAGTTAGTCAAAAGGAGAAGAAAAGAAGAAAAGAAGGAGATGGGTAATTCGATTCGCACCTCTTTTTCGTTTGCTGGGAAATAGGCTTTGAAAATGTTGAGGAAACGAAAAAGAGGCACCCGTTAGGCACTCATAAAAGCGACACAATGACTGCTGGATTTCCCCAAGCCGATATTTTCCGAACTCAACTGGGTCTTAGCTTTACATTTGAATCTATCTAGTCGATGAAATCTATGTATTAGATATTTTTGAATGCTTTTTGGAAAGTAGCACTTCTCGAGGTCAGAAATCATTTTGATTGGGCTTTAGTTGGGCTTTAGTTGGGCTTTAGTTGGGCTTTAGTTGGGCTTTAGTTGGGCTTTAGTTGGGCTTTAGTTGGGCTTTAGTTGGGCTTTAGTTGGGCTTTAGTTGGGCTTTAGTTGGGCTTTAGTTGGGCTTTAGTTGGGCTTTAGTTTGACAATGTGGCTCACAGAAGCCACCAAAGATTTGCCTGAGTTTTGGACGGGTTTTGATTTTGATTTGGGCTTGCTGGTGATTCTGCTGGTTGCTGATGATTCACTAAAAGTCAAGGCTGATTCTGACTTTTGAATCTTGCGGCTCACTAGGTTTTGCTTAGAATATCCCGCGAGGTCTATAAGCTAAAAGGTACAATAAGGCAATAAGCTGGGTCTCTCAATTGTTGGCTGGAAAAACGAAATCCTTTAGATTGATCTAAGAATCCAATAGGTTGATCTAAGAATCCTTTAGATTGATTAAGGAAACCCTTTAGATTGATCTAAGGAATCCTTTAGATTGATCTAAGAATCCTTTAGACCAATCTATCTTCTTTCCATTTCTTGTGTGTGTTTATATTATGTGGTGGGGATTGAAAAGGGTGGAGGAGCGGTTGGCCTCAATTGTGTCCATCAATCAGTGGAATGGTTGGCTCTAGGCAAACCCTCAGCCGCTTTCCAATACACTCATCCCAATATCTCTTTGGATCTCTTCGGATCTCTTTGAATCTCTTCGGATCTCCTCTCTTTCCACCATCAATTTGTTGGGGTGAGCTTGGAGCTTGTTCCAGGGGCACCTGTTTTCGCAGTTTCCTCAACCCAATCTCCCCAACCCAATCTCTCTGTCGATCAAGAGTCGACACGATCAAAATAAGTGAACAAATCTCTCTCCTTCTCTTCGTATTGCTTGTTTATTTGTTTCTTTGTTTTTTTTTATCAAATTCATATTAATTTCTCGTTCTCTAGTTCACAAAAAGTCCTCTAATTTATTCCAAAAAAAAAAGCAGAGAACTTTTTGTAAAAGATTTGAATGACTCATCGAAATTGGGAAAATCAAAATTCGTTCATTTCGTTTTTTTTTTTTTTTTTGATATTCTCTAAATGTTTTCCCATTTTCTGAGGAAAAATTTCTTAAAAAGAAACTTTTTTCTTGAGAAAAGCGATCGCCCTTTGCATTTTAAAGTATTCCGTTTTTCCGTTTTTCCAAAAAAAAAAATTCAAAAACTCAAAAAGTCAAAAAGTCAAAGTCAAAAATTCAAAAACTCAAAAAGTCTCCCAAATTTTTCTATAAGAAATATTGATTTTAATTTGGATTATTTTTAAATTATATTAACTGAATAGTCATCTTTTATTCTATTTTCAGAAAAACTGTGGAGATTAGTGGGCCGAGACGGGTGGCCGGCCCGAAAAGGCCGTTCCGAATAGAGGTAAGCAATTCGAGCTCACTTTAAAAACCCAGAACTTTTTCTAGAGCTCATTTTATACTTAGCTGTTTATATCATTTTATAGAGGAGATTTTAAGCTTTCGAATGAGCTCATTTGAAAGCTTGAAATCTCCTCTATACAATGATATAAATAAAGTATAATATGGGCTCTAGAGGCAGGGAATTCGAGTTCACTTTAAAAACCCAGAACTTTGTCTAGAGCTCATTCTATACTTAGCTGTTTCTAACATTTTATAGAGGAGATTTTAAGCTTTCAAATGATACTAGAAATGATCTGATTGGACTACGGAGCATGAGAAAAACTAATCTCAAAAATTTGGGTAGAAATTTTGAGATAACTTTGTCACCCACTTTGAGAGCCTATAACTTTGCTTAGAAGTTATATTGTACTTAGCTGTTTCTATCATTGTATAGAGGAAATTTCAAGCTTTCGAACGAGCTTAGAAATGGTTTGATTAGATTGGGGAATTATCTAGAGATTTGTGGTCAAAGATTTGGTTCCAAAGATTTGGTCTCAAAGATTTGGGATTCCAGATCTTAAATTTTCTAAAGCGGGCAACGAGCCGGCTCAATCGTTTCCATTTACGCATTACGAGAAGCATTATATAAAGAGGCGGTTTGCCAGATGGAGAGCGATTAGGTGGCCGCACAAAGAAAACCTCGTCAATCACTTTTGACTGGGTTTTCGATTTCACTTTTAGAATTGCCTAGAAATGATTTAGTTCCAGAAATTGATAAAAATTGGTTTTCGGGGTCAGCGGATCGATTAGAGAGGTTTATTTATAACCAATATCATTGAAATCGTTACATTATGCGCTCCCAATAACGAAAAGAGCCGAAAAAAGCTTACTTTTAATTCTCTATTCACTGTTCATCGATGAGCCATTATTATATCTTTTCTTTCGTCTAATATTTCCATTTCCATTTCCAGCTTTTTCTCCTCTTCATCACCATTTTTCCATGTTCATCTTTTTGCGGTCTCATCGATGAGGGGATCCCGTTTGAATTGGAAGAGAGACGGGGAGCAAAGGTTTGAAGTAAAGAGAAAAAAAAAAGGCATCGTATATGGGAAATATGGGAAGAAAGATCTCCATTTTTACCCATTTTCCCCATTTCTCTTTGCATATTTGAGTGCTGATGGTTGAGAAATTAAGTTTAAATATGCGCAAAAAGTTTAAGTGAGCTGTAGAGAGATTTAGGGATGTTCTAGGCCAAGTTAGGCCAAGTTGGGCCAAGCTAGACCAAGCTAGGTCCAAGCTAAGCCAAGCTAGACCAAGCTAGGTCAAGCTAGGTCAAGCTATAGCGAGAAAATAAGACCTAGCACTGGCCTGGCATAGTAATTTTGAGTTTTAACATGACATGACGACAATACGATTTACCGGTGGACCGTTTTCTAAGATAAGATGTGAGATTTTCTTCAATATCATAACTTCAAATCGTTTTTTTTCCAGGTCGAGTGCACGCAATGCGTTCAATTGTGGCGTGGCGCGCCCGGGGGAAAGGTAAAAAGAATAGTAAAAAGAATCGAGAAAATAGCGCAAAATCGAAAACAAACTTTAGCTGAATATCTTTAGAAGAAGATACTGTAAGCACTGTACATTTCTGTACGTTTCTGTACGTTTCTGTACGTTTCTTTCCAGGCGTCAGCTTCGCGAACGTGCGAGCAAGGAGCGCAAACGTGTCGCGGTGACGCGTGCTTTATGCGTGAGTTTCATTTTTGCAGTAGTCGAAAAGAAAAATGCTTATTTTCAGATCAAAAATCTGGTACTGACAACTAGAGTACTCTAGAATAAGACTAAGGGATACTGTGGCTAAGTTTCTATTGTAAATAGAAAGAAAAACTGGGGTCCAAGCCGAGCTTCGTTTTCATTCAACCGTTTCTTGACCGATTCCTCGAAAATCTTGTCTAGCCGCTGAGAATATCGATTTCTATCGGCTGTCTCGGAGGGAGGCTGTGGTGCAGTGGGGAGGGCTCTGGTCTGCCACCCAGAAGGTCCGGGTTCGACCCCCGGTGCTGCCAATTTTCTTTTTAAAATTTCTTTACTGCATAAAAGCTTTCAATGAAGTGCTATAGGGCTGGAAAATGACTCAAAAATACCACATGAGCTAACAGATTTTTGAGCCATTTTCCAGCTCTATAGCACTTTATTGAAAGCTTTTATGCAGAAAAGAAATTTTTCGGCGGCTACGCAAAGGGCTGCTACGCAGGAGTACGCGATGATACTCTTTACCCGGTCTTTGTGGCTAAGTTTCTATTGTAAATAAACAGAAAAAGTCGAGTCCAAGTCGAGCTTCGTTTTTATTCAGCCGTTTCTTGGCCGATTCCTCGAAAATCCTGTCTAGTGTAGAGAATATCGATTTTTATCGGCGGTCGGCGAGGGACGTTGTGGTGCAGTCGGGAGGGCGCTGGTCTACAACCCGGAAGATCCGGGTTCGACCCCGCGTGCTGCCAATTTAGACTAACTTTTTACTATTTTTATCTAAAATAGTATATATATGATTCGACACAGAAATTTCAATATTTCTTCTAGGATTTTATCAATTTCAGGTCAATGCAAGCACTGCCCAGTCTATCAATTTTTCATGGGCTGTATCACGCTCACTCCTTGGCAATTCGCCGATTTACAGGTGCTTTAAAGGAGACCAAAAGATGGATAAAACTAGATAGCAAAAAGCAGAGTGCTATTTTTATCTAAACTTTCAAATAAATTCACTTTTAAGAGCCTAAGCCTAAGCCTAAGCCACCGGAAAGTCACTAAAAAGCTTTGAGCGCAAAGAAGAAAAAAAGAGAGAATTTTTTTAAACTTTAAAATCAACCTTTTAGCTCTTAAAAAATGCTGTTTATCTTTAAAAAGAAAGAAATAAATATTTAATTATTTAAGGCTACAAGGAAAGCCTCAGAGTTACTGTATCACCGAGTCGGCGCGTCGATTCTTTGCGAGGATCAACTCAACCAAACGACGTGCATCTGCAACAGGTATCTGTCCTTTGTGCTCCACGGGAAACGCATCGCTTCTGGTGCACTCGGTAGACTCGTATCTTGACCTAAATGAAGCAATAAAAGATCTAAATTTGATCTTTTAGATCTAAATTTGATTCTTCCCGTAATCCCAGTGACAATAAGCATGTACTTTGTGCTCAAGCAACATTTAGCAACAGCTAGCAACATTTAGCGAAACGCACCGCTTCTGGTGTTCTCGGGGATTTTCCGTTTTTCGGAATTTCGTTTAATTAGTGGCTAAGTGTGCAAAGTGTGCTTTCGGCATTTCTATTTCATTTTTTTCTAGTCGCTCGAAATGCAATTCGATTCACACAAGGATCCCGCATAACACCTACACCGAAGGCCTCTTCACCGGGATCATCAATTTCGATCACGCCATTTCGAAATTTGAACCAAGGTCTTGAAAAAAGTGATAGCTATGAAGATCTTTAGATAGCCATGAAGGTCTTTAGATAGCTATGAAGGTCTTTAGATAGCCGTGAAGGTCTTTAGATAGCTATGAATGTCTTTAGATAGACATGAAGGTCTTCAGATAGCTATGAAGGTCTTTAGATAGACATGAAGCTCTTTAGATAGCTATGAAGGTCTTTAGATAGACATGAACCTCTTTAGATAGACATGAACCTCTTTAGATAGCCATGAACCTCTTTAGATAGCCATTAAGATCTTTAGATATACATGAAGATCTTTAGATAGCCATTAAGATCTTTAGATAGCCATGAAGAAAACGGCTTTCTTAAACATTTCTTAAACATTGCCTAAACCTTATTACCGTATTTTCTGTAATAGTAGTGGGCACTACTATTTTTTCAATCCCCCTCCAGCCTGTACTACTATTATAGCTGAATATCTTTATGAGTTGAATATCTTTCTTTATACTGCACTACTATTACAGGAAATACGGTAATCGACTTGTAAAGTTATTCAAGCAATTCGATGTGGGGATTTAAAAAGATTTCTTGCTATAACTTTCTTCTAAATCGGCTTTTCTTTATGATCTTTTTATGAATTTAGCGAAAAATCTTGCGTTAGCGTTACTTTTTTTCTACTTAGCGCTACTTTTTACTACTTAGCGCTAACGCTACTTAGCGCTTTTTCTACTTTTTCATAACTTTTCTTTCAAGTCAGCCGATCTAGCTCGAAATTAAAAATTATAAGATTAGATCATTTAGGAAAAAAGTTATGAAAATGAAAATTTGAAGAGAAATCAGCTGAATATCTTTATGAGTTGAATATCATTGTTTATAAGCTGAATATCTCACTCAAAATACCATTGCCCGTCAATTTGTGAACTCTTTTCAACATTAGAATCAATGTTTTAAACATTGAGATTAAACATTTAGCGATAGAAAATCGAGATCTTTTTCAATCAGTGATTTGCTTTCAGATATATGGATGTGATCACCGGCTATCAGCATCGTTTCCATCACGTAAACAGTGTGCAAAAGTTCTCCCCGTTTCTCGTCATCATTTTCTTTGGATTTCACATTTTCTTGTAAATATTTGTTTGCTCATTTGATAAATATTCATTTTTAAAAGAGAAAAACATTCAATTTTTATAAAAAAACAGAAAAAAAAACTAGAGTTAAAGCTTTAAAAAACAAAAAAAAAAAAAGAACAAAATGATGAAAATTTTCAAAAGAAACCATTTAAACTTTGATATTGACTGAGTGTTAAAAGCTTGTTTATTAGCTGAATACCTTCTTACAGCTGTGAAAGGAACTTTCTGCAGGAATATCTTACAGCTAAATATTAGATTCTTCTTCGTCAGCTCAATATCTATATCCTCCATTAGTTGAATGTTTATGAGGATCTGTTTGTTAGTTGAATATTTTTCTTCATTGGGGGTGGGACAAATGCGATCTTTTTTTTTGCGCACCTGGACATTTGCGCACCTTAGGCAAGGCCGTAGAGCTTCGAAAATATTTCCATATAAGGGAATCGTATGCGTAGATTCCGAATTTCTAATTACTGAAATTCTTCTTCTAAAAAGTGACTGTATTTAGAAAAAAATACTCTAATCTCACCATCAGTTTTCATTAAAAATAATCAATTTTTAGATTATTAAATCTAAATCTTAATAATTACATTTAGAGATTAAATCGATTTAAACTTATCATTTTGCTATTTAATATCTTTGAATTTAGTGAACTTAAGAGATAATCTTGTTTGTTAATTTCTCAGTTGATTAAACGACGATCAAATGCACTGATTGATCGTTCTATCGTACTAGCTATTCCCTAAAAGATCCTTTAGTAAACTATTAGCATTTGATCAAACTGGATTATCACAAATCGATTTGCAAGCTTTACTTTACAACTTTGTCATTTAGCTTTATCATTGAAGCTTTATCAAATAATAAATGCATGTTCAAAGCTTAGCTGAATGCTCTTTTAAAGGGCCGTCGAAAGGAAATTTGAGAAAATCGGCGATGAGATGCATTCGATCTGAACCAAAGAATGACTCGGATTCGCCTGATGGAAGGGTCACGATCGTCCATGGAGCGCCGAACGACTAAAAACATAGATATTATACGAGAATAAGTAATAAAAGAAGTAGCATCGACTACACGCAAGCAATGGTCGGCTTCGCGTCAAAACTATAAACGACTGTAACTTTCTTTAGCATTAAGATTTTTGGTGTACTTTAAGCCATTCGAAAGCCCTTTAGATTCTCTATTTATAAAGCTATAGATCATGTCAATACGGCAGATTTGAAGAAAGTTAGAAGCGTTTTTAATGTGACAGTTCGTCATTTTTTGTAGTTTATAGTGTTTGTAGTGAACCTATTCTCTACTTAGTGCCTTTTCGTATCACTTTGGAACTTAGAAAAAGAGATGCGGCTAGTTTTCGCGGAAAATAGCATTGTTCAGCTTTTTAGCTTTACGAAGTATAGTGTTCGATATCTCTGAGATGATTACAGATAGCATTTTTTATTAGATAAGCTAAGCTAAACTAAACTAAACTAAACTAAAATTAGCTTACCCCACTCTCCACCGCTTTTTCTACATTCTCTGAGATGATTTTCTTGATTTTCTCATCTTTCATCAACGTGAAAACTTTCGTTGGATTCTTCAAATGAACAGCTTTCGCAACCTGAAAGTTGGATTAAAAAAAGCAATCTTTTAACAAAGTTAAAGCGGATGGATACATGGATAAGATACCGTACTTTCTTTGGCTTTAAACGATGACCTTTTCATTTCATTTTACGCTAAAAATGGTAGTTATTTTTTATTGTCCATTCAATTGCGAAATGGAGAAAATTTTAGCCTTTATCCAGGGCAAATGAAAATAAACCTAGTTTTACAGTAAACCCTAGTATTGTTCATGCTAATTGCTAGGCCATCTTACTGTAACTTATCCAATTATAAGACAAAAAACCTCTTCGAAATCCTTTGCCTCGAAAACCCCCTCTCCTCTCATCCAGATTCGTTTCCACAACTCGCGAGACGTTTCTTCCAACTAGAAACATTTGATTTTATCCGAAAAGTTTATCCGAAATTTTTACGTTATTAGATATTGTTACTTTTTATATCTGTCAGCTACCATTTGTTTTTAATTAAATACCTTTTCAGGCTCAGCCTCAGCCACCGCCGCTAGCATCCTTTGCGCCTGAATCGTCGTTTTGCCCATCACGATCTCGGCAACGTTCTAAAAGTTTGGATAATAAAGTAAAAAATGAAACCTAGGGGAAATTGAACCCTTGACCTTCTGCTTATCGAGCAGATCCTCTCCCACTGAACTATCGGCGCCTTCTTTGATCAAGAAGGGAATAAAGGCAAGGAAGAAGAAAGGAAGAAGAAAGGAAGAAAGAGTTTAACTTTAAAACATATGAAAAACCTTTATGAAAACTTTCTGACAAGTGTTCTGTAGCCAAGTCTTTAAGTTTTGCCTTAAAGGTTACGATATTGCCTTCTTGTGATTTGTCAGAAAAGTTGGCGCAAAATAGAGAACATCGAGAGCCTAACGCTACACCAGATTATTGTCAATTTTCAAAAGTTAAGGGATTTTTAAAAGTTTTTCCTGATCACTCACCGACGGCGCTTGCAGCTTCAACCCCCAATATCGATTGTTTTTCTCCAAATCTTTCAACATGTAAACACCCTTTGACGGGACGGTCATCGGTGGACGATTGCCTGAATATCTTTTGATAAACGGATGGTATAAATCCAACTCTCACCAGCTGATTTCATGATTGCTCCCAAGTAGAATGGCTTCAGCTGAAGCTCGATTGGCCAAACCTAAAAGTTTTCAAATAATTCATATTATCTAGGTTATTGTAGCTGTACTATATTGTAGATAAAGGCTACTTTAGCTTATCTATTTAATCCAAAAATGCTGACCACCATGAGCCGTTACACTACCATTTATTGCAATAGTCGGTTCTGATTACTGCAGCCTATCAGCTTCCTATAGCTTCTCCAACCATTAGCCCTTGCTTATACTGCCTATTGTAACATTGCTATTGTAACAGTGCCAAATATATCAACTATCAGATTACTATAACTCGTTAAAAACCCACCTTTGCATATCGATTCAGCGCCTCGAATTGAATCCACGAATACGGAGAGATGATATCATAAAATAGCTCCACCAACGCTTTCTTCTCGCTCATTTATCGCGACAGAGGTTGCCTATAAAAAAAGACTTTTTTATGCAAGAAAGATGAACAAGCATATAATACAAGCATACAATATAATATGATCATAATATTCAATAAAGTTCAAGGTAGGCACTTCGGGGAAAAGTATTATGTTTCAAAACATTCAAATCCTTACTCAAACTCCTATCTTTTAACCGAGAAACATTCATTCCAAATGGTTTACGAAAACGAGAGAAATAAGAAGACGATTCAGTTGGATTCACATTGAAAAGTAGTTAGATTTTTTGATGAACTTTATCGATGCTATTTTATTATTTATTCTTTATTAGTTTATTGAGTCCAAAGATCAACAATGTGAAAGAACCGGGGAAAGTACAGAAATTCGAAAACTTTAACAATTTTAAGAGAAATAGGGAGGGAGTTTTAACAATAAACGAAAAAGTACAAAAAGTTTAACGATTTTCAAAGAAACAGGAGGGAAATTCTCGCAACAAACAAAAAGTTTAATAATAAACATAATTATATAAAAGGGATAGGGGGTAGGCTAATTTCCGCAATTTTTTTTTGCGCAACAGGGTCTTTGCGCAACTCGCCATAACTTTCTTCTAAGTCGGCCAATCTTTATGATGTTGATTTCATTTTGTAGATCTCAATAAGTGCATTTTGATTTCATTTTGATCATTTCATTCATTTTGATCATTTCATTCATTTTGATTTGATCTTTTGGTATCCGGGGGGGTCTTTCAATATCCAGGGGGGTAAAATTTTTACTTTTTTTTTAACTTTTTGACCATTCTGCTACTTTTATCAATCTTTTGCACCTATCGCTTTCAGAGTTTAAAAGAAGAACGAAAATATTGCTCATGATCTGATTAATGGTCTAAAGATCAATAGATTAACGCAAATCCCGTGAAATTTTACATTTACCATAGGCTTTGTAACTAAATGAGTAAATGAACCTAGTTGCGTAAATGACCCTATAACTTGTCATTAGTCTGTAAAAATATAGCAAAGTTGTGGGGTAGGCTACTTTGCGCCAAATTTTTTGCGCAACAGGGTCATTTGCGCAACTCGTCATAACTTTCTTCTAAGTCGTCCAATCTTTATGCTTTTGGTTTCATTTTGTTGCACTTATTGAGATCTACTAGATCTACAAATAAAATTCGATTTGAATACAAATTCAAAAAGCCACAGAACCTAGAAATGCGGGTGGTTACTTTGCGCCAAATTTTTTGCGCCATAACTTTCTTCTAAGTCGGCGAATCTTTATGCTTTTGGTACCATTTTGTAGATCTCAATAAGTACAACAAAATGGCACCAAAAGCATAAAGATTGGCCGACTTAGAAGAAAGTTATGGCGAGTTGCGCAAATGACCCAGTTGTGCAAATGATCCTGTTGGGGAAAAAATTGCGGAAATTAGCCTACCCCAGGGAAAGCATAAACGAGAAAGGGAAAGTATAAACGCTTAAAATACACGGCGAAGCGCGGGACAAAAAACGATTTATTTTAAAAGACTGAAATTTGATGGGCGAAAAGGAGACGCTGTCTCGACTACGGTAGCTTATGTGTATTTTAGAATTTACACTTGGAAAGTTGCCAACCGGTAATGGAAATGCTTTGCGTGAAAGGTATCATCATTTTCTTCTCTTTTCTTCTCATTTAGAGGGTGGGACAAATGCTACCTTTTTTTTGCGCACCGGGACATTTGCGCACCTTTTTTTGCTGGAAAAGGCCTTAGGAAAGGCCGTAGAGCTTCGAAAATATTTCCATAGAAGGGAATCGTATGCGTAGATTCCGAATTTCGACAAATCAGACCTCGCTGACACGTCAAATTTGGGCTAAAAGGCAAAAACTACGGAAAAGCGTTAATATAATAAATAATAATACTTTATTCAAACGATAAAGTGAAAGAAATCATAGAGAAATGCACAGTGATACTTAATCATACAATACATACTGAAATCAATAAGCCAATTACTTACGGCAAAGAGCCACTAGATCTAAAGCATCGATACGTTTCTTGAATATGAAAAGCGACTGAATTTCTCGTATGTCGTTTGGGAGCAAGTTCCATAATCTAGCGGCTCTAACGGGAAATGAATTTGATAAAGAGGCATTGGAAGCAAAGGGAATTTGCAAAAGGAATGAGCCACTTCTGGGCCCTGACCGCGGTTTAAATTTGAAAAAGTCTATAAACAAAGGGCTAATCTGTTTACAACGGAGGATTTTGAAAGTTTCGACTAAATCAATGACAAAGCGACGATGCTGTAAAGTTTTTAGTTCAAAAAAAAAGCAAGTCTCTCCTCATAAGTAAAGCTAGAATATTTAGAATAGTCAATTTTCCATAAAGCGACTTTTGTGAACCTCCTCTGAATTTTCTCCAAGCGTTCAATAAAGACTTGTGCGCGGGGAGACCAAACAATAGAAGCATATTCTAAGATGGGCCGGATATAAGTCGTCAAGCATTTGCGGTAAGAGTTTAGGTTAGGATGAACAATTGATTTGAGAATACGGCTAGAAACAAAAGAAGCTTTTCGACAAATGATTTCAATATGTTTAGTGAAATTAAAAGGGGGAGAGATGTGGACACCTAAATCTCTAACAAAATCTAATTGATAGGAATATTGTTAATTACCAAAGAGTTAAGTTGCGTAGTTTTTGCCTTTTAACCCGAATTTGACGTGTCAGCGAGGTCTGATTTGTCGAAATTCGGAATCTACGCATACGATTCTCTTATATGGAAAAATTTTCGAAAGATTTTCGAAGCTCTACGGCCTTTTATAAATTCTGCATCCTGTTAAAGCAAAATAATTTGTTTTATTGAGAATCGGGGAATTTGGCAAAAAAAATATGGTGAAAATTGTGAAATAAGCACTTAAAATGGCAAAAAAATAGCATTAAACTAATAAACCAAAAGAAATAAGAAAGCAAAGAACTGATCTAAGCCGAACTTGTGTTAAAAGTTTGTTTCTGGAATCTGTATCGAAGAGAAGAGAAGAGATCATGTCAATAGAAATCAGTTCAGGATATTTCTGTTTAAGATTGTTATAGTTAAATGCAGTATAAATTACCGTATCCTGCTGGATTAAAATGAAAGAATGTTTGTCTGGGGGGTGGGACAAATGCGATCTTTCTTTTGCGCACCTGGACATTTGCGCACCTTTTTTTTGCTGGAAAAGGCCTTAGGCAAGGCCGTAGAGCTTCGAAACTATTTCCATATCAGGGAGTCGTATGCGTAGATTCCGAATTTCGACAAATCAGACCTAGCTGACACGTCAAATTTGGGCTAAAAGGCAAAAACTACGCAACTTAACGCTTTTCCGCAGTTTTTGCCTTTTAGCCCAAATTTGACGTGTCAGCGAGGTCTGATTTGTCGAAATTCGGAATCTACGCATACGATTCCCTTCTATGGAAATATTTTCGAAGCTCTACGGCCTTGCCTAAGGCCTTGCTGAATATCTCTTTATTAGCTGAATATCTTCCTTTATTAGCTGAATATCTTCCTTTATTAGCTGAATATCTTCCTTCATTAGCTGAACCTCTTTATTTCTCAGCTGAAGCTCTGGTACTTGTGGAGTACCCGGGAGTAGCCTTTACCCTAACTTCAACCTATAATTTAGACCATTTTTTTAAAACTCAATTTCTAAAAAATCAAATAGATTTAGAAAGAGCATTTTTTTAAGCTATTCAAATGTTTTTTTAAACTTTAGAATTGATCAAAAGATCAAAGGTAGGTTAAAGTTAGGCTAAATTCGTATCGGATAAGCACCGATAAGCACCGAATTTCTTTCTTTTGAGATCAATATTTTCTTTCTTTTTTTTTTTCAATTCAATACCTTTATTTTCTTTTGATAAAACGAGAATTTCGTAAGCATTTCCAAAATTTTAAGTGCTTTTTTTGGAGAAATTTGAACTGAAGTGAGGTGTTTGGGGAAAGAGAAAAGGCATCAAAAAAAAACCCACTTAAGGTGATTTTTTCGATTTCCCCTGGCCTCTTCTCATTTGTTAATTGAATATTTATTGATCTAAAAGCTTTGTTTCATATTTAGTTAATGGACGGGAAAGCGAGACGGGCGTCGTACAATCAGGTCAGCTTGTTTTCTGGGAGAAGTGAAAGTGGTTCTGGCCAAGCCAAGATCAGGCTAAGCCAGGGTCAGGACAAGCCCAGGCGAAGTCAAGCCCAGGTCAAGCCAAGCCCAGGTCAAGCCAAGCCCTGGCCAAGCCAAGCCCAGGTCAAGCCAAGCCCAGGTCAAGCCAAGCCCAGGTCAAGCCCAAGCCAAGTCACAGTCAGGCCGATCTGGGCTGAGCTGTCTAGGCTGTATTCAGGCTTGACCAGGATTGTCTAAGCCGTCTAAGCGACCAGGAGTCTAAGTCGGACCTGAATCTAGACCAGACTTGGACCTAGCTTTCCGACGAGATATTGGGCCTGGAGCCTGACCTAGACTCTGGCCGAGTTCTAGCCTTACAGACACGTTTAACCAAGCGCTGCTAACGCCTGGCCCGTAGTTTAAACTAACCTGGCTCGAAAAGCGCTTTAATTACAGAATTCTATCCAAATTTTCATTCAAAATCCAGCTAAATCAAGCCTTCGACATCCCTCTTAAAACGCTTTTCTCGCGAGGCCTACGAGCGTGCTGATGGGGTAGTGGATAGGCTGCTTGTATACAAAGCTAGCCGGCTATTTTCTCCTCGGGTTCGAGTCCAGGCCTCGCAATGCTCTTGTTTTTTTTTTGATTTTAACGAAACTAATACAAATATTTTCTCTTCTATACTTCAATGAATAAAGAAAATAAGATGTTTTTCTAATGGTACATGATCTAATCATGATCTAATCATGATTCAATGATTTTCTAAACCGAAAATAAAAACTAGGATCGTTTTTTTGTTAGCAAAGGTTTTCTAGGCAAACTGTCAACCGAATGTGATCATTGAGTGTCGAAGTTCTCGATTAAAATCTGATAAAAAAGAACGATGTTATATTCTAAACGGGCAATCGATTCGACACGCTGAAGATGGATGCGATTTGTTGGAGAAAGATTTGAGTGATGAGACGGTCCAGTTATTCGAGACGTTTATCAAGGTGATTGGGGTTTATCAAGAAATTTTTAAAAGGGCTGCTACGCAGGAGTACGCGATGAAACTCTTTACCCGGTGTTCTATTCGAAGAAATACGGTATTAGAAACTAGGCAAATTTGAGTGATTTTCCATCAAAATCGTTTACCCATTAATATTCTCAAATTGACAACAATCTTTTAAATACTTAAAAATAATCAATTATTTTAACAATAATAACACCTTTACAGTATTCGTTCCTAGGTCTAAACGGACTATGGACTAGAATCGGGATCGGGAACCAAATTTAGTCAGATAAGGAACGAAATTTAGAGATAAGGAACCAAATTTAGAGATAAGGAACCAAATTTAGAGATAAGGAACCAAATTTAGAGATAAGGAACCAAATTTAGAGATAAGGAACCAAATTTAGAGATAAGGAACCAAATTTAGAGATAAGGAACCAAATTTAGAGATAAGGAACCAAATTTAGAGATAAGGAACCAAATTTAGAGATAAGGAACCAAATTTAGTCAGATAGGGAACCAAATTTAGAGATAAGGAACCAAATTTAGAGATAAGGAACCAAATTTAGAGATAAGGAACCAAATTTAGAGATAAGGAACCAAATTTAGAGATAAGGAACCAAATTTAGAGATAAGGAACCAAATTTAGAGATAAGGAACCAAATTTAGAGATAAGGAACCAAATTTAGAGATAAGGAACCAAATTTAGTCAGATAGGGAACCAAATTTAGAGATAAGGAACCAAATTTAGAGATAAGGAACCAAATTTAGAGATAAGGAACCAAATTTAGTCAGATAGGGAACCAAATTTAGAGATAAGGAACCAAATTTAGTCAGATAGGGAACCAAATTTAGAGATAAGGAACCAAATTTAGAGATAAGGAACCAAATTTAGAGATAAGGAACCAAATTTAGTCAGATAGGGAACCAAATTTAGAGATAAGGAACCAAATTTAGAGATAAGGAACCAAATTTAGTCAGATAGGGAACCAAATTTAGAGATAAGGAACCAAATTTAGAGATAAGGAACCAAATTTAGTCAGATAGGGAACCAAATTTAGAGATAAGGAACCAAATTTAGAGATAAGGAACCAAATTTAGAGATAAGGAACCAAATTTAGAGATAAGGAACCAAATTTAGAGATAAGGAACCAAATTTAGAGATAAGGAACCAAATTTAGAGATAAGGAACCAAATTTAGTCAGATAGGGAACCAAATTTAGAGATAAGGAACCAAATTTAGAGATAAGGAACCAAATTTAGAGATAAGGAACCAAATTTAGTCAGATAGGGAACCAAATTTAGAGATAAGGAACCAAATTTAGTCAGATAGGGAACCAAATTTAGAGATAAGGAACCAAATTTAGAGATAAGGAACCAAATTTAGAGATAAGGAACCAAATTTAGTCAGATAGGGAACCAAATTTAGAGATAAGGAACCAAATTTAGAGATAAGGAACCAAATTTAGAGATAAGGAACCAAATTTAGTCAGATAGGGAACCAAATTTAGAGATAAGGAACCAAATTTAGAGATAAGGAACCAAATTTAGTCAGATAGGGAACCAAATTTAGAGATAAGGAACCAAATTTAGAGATAAGGAACCAAATTTAGAGATAAGGAACCAAATTTAGAGATAAGGAACCAAATTTAGAGATAAGGAACCAAATTTAGAGATAAGGAACCAAATTTAGAGATAAGGAACCAAATTTAGAGATAAGGAACCAAATTTAGAGATAAGGAACCAAATTTAGTCAGATAGGGAACCAAATTTAGAGATAAGGAACCAAATTTAGAGATAAGGAACCAAATTTAGAGATAAGGAACCAAATTTAGTCAGATAGGGAACCAAATTTAGAGATAAGGAACCAAATTTAGTCAGATAGGGAACCAAATTTAGTCAGATAGGGAACCAAATTTAGAGATAAGGAACCAAATTTAGAGATAAGGAACCAAATTTAGTCAGATAGGGAACCAAATTTAGAGATAAGGAACCAAATTTAGAGATAAGGAACCAAATTTAGAGATAAGGAACCAAATTTAGTCAGATAGGGAACCAAATTTAGTCAGATAGGGAACCAAATTTAGAGATAAGGAACCAAATTTAGAGATAAGGAACCAAATTTAGAGATAAGGAACCAAATTTAGAGATAAGGAACCAAATTTAGAGATAAGGAACCAAATTTAGAGATAAGGAACCAAATTTAGAGATAAGGAACCAAATTTAGAGATAAGGAACCAAATTTAGTCAGATAGGGAACCAAATTTAGAGATAAGGAACCAAATTTAGAGATAAGGAACCAAATTTAGAGATAAGGAACCAAATTTAGAGATAAGGAACCAAATTTAGAGATAAGGAACCAAATTTAGTCAGATAGGGAACCAAATTTAGAGATAAGGAACCAAATTTAGAGATAAGGAACCAAATTTAGAGATAAGGAACCAAATTTAGTCAGATAGGGAACCAAATTTAGAGATAAGGAACCAAATTTAGTCAGATAGGGAACCAAATTTAGAGATAAGGAACCAAATTTAGAGATAAGGAACCAAATTTAGAGATAAGGAACCAAATTTAGTCAGATAGGGAACCAAATTTAGAGATAAGGAACCAAATTTAGAGATAAGGAACCAAATTTAGAGATAAGGAACCAAATTTAGTCAGATAGGGAACCAAATTTAGAGATAAGGAACCAAATTTAGAGATAAGGAACCAAATTTAGTCAGATAGGGAACCAAATTTAGAGATAAGGAACCAAATTTAGAGATAAGGAACCAAATTTAGAGATAAGGAACCAAATTTAGAGATAAGGAACCAAATTTAGAGATAAGGAACCAAATTTAGAGATAAGGAACCAAATTTAGAGATAAGGAACCAAATTTAGTCAGATAGGGAACCAAATTTAGAGATAAGGAACCAAATTTAGAGATAAGGAACCAAATTTAGAGATAAGGAACCAAATTTAGTCAGATAGGGAACCAAATTTAGAGATAAGGAACCAAATTTAGAGATAAGGAACCAAATTTAGAGATAAGGAACCAAATTTAGAGATAAGGAACCAAATTTAGTCAGATAGGGAACCAAATTTAGAGATAAGGAACCAAATTTAGAGATAAGGAACCAAATTTAGAGATAAGGAACCAAATTTAGAGATAAGGAACCAAATTTAGTCAGATAGGGAACCAAATTTAGAGATAAGGAACCAAATTTAGAGATAAGGAACCAAATTTAGAGATAAGGAACCAAATTTAGAGATAAGGAACCAAATTTAGAGATAAGGAACCAAATTTAGAGATAAGGAACCAAATTTAGTCAGATAGGGAACCAAATTTAGAGATAAGGAACCAAATTTAGAGATAAGGAACCAAATTTAGAGATAAGGAACCAAATTTAGTCAGATAGGGAACCAAATTTAGAGATAAGGAACCAAATTTAGAGATAAGGAACCAAATTTAGAGATAAGGAACCAAATTTAGAGATAAGGAACCAAATTTAGTCAGATAGGGAACCAAATTTAGAGATAAGGAACCAAATTTAGAGATAAGGAACCAAATTTAGTCAGATAGGGAACCAAATTTAGAGATAAGGAACCAAATTTAGAGATAAGGAACCAAATTTAGAGATAAGGAACCAAATTTAGTCAGATAGGGAACCAAATTTAGAGATAAGGAACCAAATTTAGAGATAAGGAACCAAATTTAGTCAGATAGGGAACCAAATTTAGAGATAAGGAACCAAATTTAGAGATAAGGAACCAAATTTAGTCAGATAGGGAACCAAATTTAGAGATAAGGAACCAAATTTAGAGATAAGGAACCAAATTTAGTCAGATAGGGAACCAAATTTAGAGATAAGGAACCAAATTTAGAGATAAGGAACCAAATTTAGTCAGATAGGGAACCAAATTTAGAGATAAGGAACCAAATTTAGTCAGATAGGGAACCAAATTTAGAGATAAGGAACCAAATTTAGAGATAAGGAACCAAATTTAGTCAGATAGGGAACCAAATTTAGAGATAAGGAACCAAATTTAGAGATAAGGAACCAAATTTAGTCAGATAGGGAACCAAATTTAGTCAGATAGGGAACCAAATTTAGAGATAAGGAACCAAATTTAGTCAGATAGGGAACCAAATTTAGAGATAAGGAACCAAATTTAGTCAGATAGGGAACCAAATTTAGAGATAAGGAACCAAATTTAGTCAGATAGGGAACCAAATTTAGAGATAAGGAACCAAATTTAGAGATAAGGAACCAAATTTAGTCAGATAGGGAACCAAATTTAGTCAGATAGGGAACCAAATTTAGAGATAAGGAACCAAATTTAGTCAGATAGGGAACCAAATTTAGAGATAAGGAACCAAATTTAGAGATAAGGAACCAAATTTAGAGATAAGGAACCAAATTTAGTCAGATAGGGGAACCAAATTTAGAGATAAGGAACCAAATTTAGTCAGATAGGGAACCAAATTTAGAGATAAGGAACCAAATTTAGAGATAAGGAACCAAATTTAGTCAGATAGGGAACCAAATTTAGAGATAAGGAACCAAATTTAGAGATAAGGAACCAAATTTAGAGATAAGGAACCAAATTTAGAGATAAGGAACCAAATTTAGAGATAAGGAACCAAATTTAGTCAGATAGGGAACCAAATTTAGAGATAAGGAACCAAATTTAGTCAGATAGGGAACCAAATTTAAATTTGGGTTAAGTTAAAGAGAGTCGATCCCTTTTTTGATATCCTGCTATCTCTAACACCCCGACAACCCCAACTCAAACTCCTCCAACGTATTAGAGGGGAGTCCCTGTGAAATGATGGATCCGAACTGTGCAGTCCTTAAAGTAAAACCTTGAACTACTTTAGTTTGCCTAAAAGTCTGCCTATTTTACATTAAAGTATCCCAATCGAATATTCAGGTTTTGAACTGGATCGGGGTTCGTTTTGATCCGAATTTCGGCTCTCATCTCACTTTGCTTCGTTTCCTTTGGCTGCTTCTTATTATGGCTTTTGGTGAGTTGAAAGAGATGATATGGGAGTTGGGCAGTGTTTAGGAAATAGTATAATGACCTTTAGTGGCGGTACTAAGGTACTGGCAGTACTACGGTACTGGCGGTACTAAAGTATTCTAGTAGTGTACTTTAAAGGATAATGTAGCTGAATGCTTTATGGTAGACTTTGTACTTTGTGCAAACGGGTAAACACTTTCTCTCTCTGGTGCACTGATAAGAAACCTTATTGTTAGGCATTTGGAGTGGTGGATACGATATCTACTGCATGCTGTTCTATTCAATGCCTCGAACGATTCCTGGCACTCTCGTCTATTTGGCTCTCGTTTTTCAAGCGATCGCCGCTATGGTAGACTTTGTACTTTGTGCACACGGGTAAACACTCTCTCTCTGAGTGACTGAGTACTGCATGAAAGGGAAGAGTCTAGTTGTAGATCTAGATTAGAGCTAGATTAGAGCTAGATTAGAGCTAGATTAGAGCTAGATTAGAGCTAGATGTGGATCTAGATTAGATCTAGATTAGATCTAGATTAGAGCTAGATTAGATCTAGATGTAGATCTAGATTAGATCTAGATTAGATCTAAATGATGAATCCAAATCTCTTTAGCTATTCTTGACCCATTGGCAACGAAAACTCTCATTCGAGTCATTCTTTCACTTCTATCGTCATGCGAAGATCACTGAGGTCGAGATTTTCGATAAGGTATAGCTTGATCTGTCTAGGATTACTTTAACTGCTTTGAGATCTTGATTGACTGGCTAAAACTGATCTATTTCTAGATCAGCTTAAAACCAGGCTCATAAGCTTGCTTGCCTGTCTTCTAGCTTTGTCTTGCTGGTTGTTTAGCTAGATAGATAATTAGCTGGATAGACAATTAGCTGGATAGACAATCAGCCTAAAACCAGGCTTCTAAGCTTGCTTGCTTGCCTTCTAACTTTGTCTTGCTGGTTGTTTAGCTGGATAAACAATTAGCTGGATAGACAATTGATTCACTGAATATTTTGCATTTTGTGGGTTTTTTTGTGAGGCATTTTGTGAGCTATTTTGTGGTGTAAAGAATCAAAAGGGGTTTCTGCATGCTTTAGACTATGCTTTAGACTATGCTTTAGACTAAAACTCTAAACAAACTGACAAACAAACTGACAAACAAACTGACAAACAAGCGGACAAACAAACTGACAAACAAACTGACAAACAAACTGACAAACAAACTGACAAACAAACGGACAAACAAACGGACAAACAAACAAACATCAGTTTGTTTAGAGTCAGACATTTGTCAGAGTCAAACTGACGTTTATTTTAGAGTTTTATCCACTAAAAAAAAGTCTAGGAAAAGCGGAAACACATTCAACAGCATTCCCGATGTTTCTGGATTCTACAGGTTTATTGCATTTAAACAATTGAACAGTTTTCAAAGTCGTTTTCCAGACGTACATCTTATTGAGTTGTCTCCTCTACACAGTTGTTATGGCGATCGATCCGGAGGGCACATTCGCAATTGTTCACCCAAAATATATCTATGTATGGCATGCATGTACTTTGAGCTTCAAATTTGTAAACAAAGCTTTTGCAGCAACAGATAGGCAGCAGATAGGCAGCAGATAAAAGGGTAAAATAATCCTAGACTTTCTACTATCCAGAGTTGCGCTTTACTCGCCCACTCTTCTCATCGATTTTCTTCACAATTCTATTGATAAGTGAGTGAGGTTTTGGATAGATTAGGTTTTAAAATTGTTCATTTATATGTCGTAGCCGATAAAGGATTTCAGTCGAAGAAGTCTCAGACTCAGAAAATGAGTCTCAGACTTCTTCGGCTACGACTTCATCGGCAAACACAATTCTATTTCAAATAAATGACGAATCAGATAGAAAATGACGAAAATGGCCCTTTTATGCTGCTACGCAAAGGGCTGCTACGCAAAGGACTGCTACGCAGGAGTACGCGATGATACTCTTTACCCGGTCTTCTATTCGAAGAAATACGGTAATCTGGCCAATCAAATCAAATAGAAAATGACGAAAAGGGCCCTTTTATAGCCTTTGGTTACAGTATGATAAAATGCGCACTCTTTAGAATGCGTTTTTAGCTTTTAAGCGCCTTTTAGAGAGCTTGAGTTTGTGGTATTGACTTGAGTCAATACATAACTCAAGATTTCCTTTTTGGGACTTAATCGGCTAGCCGAAGAAGTCTGAGACTCAATCGGCTAGCCGAAGAAGTCTGAGACTCAATCGGCTAGCCGAAGAAGTCTGAGACTCAATCGGCTAGCCGAAGAAGGTTTTGCTAGCGAAAAAATTTGAGACTTCATCAGCTACGACATATATAAGAAATAGAGAACTAGAGTATTGTAAAATATCCAGAAAGATTTTTAAAATCTTCAATTTACTTCAATTTACTTCAATTTACTTCAGTTTTTATCTAGGTTTGCATACCTATTTGGCGCTAACAAATGCTTTGTTTTGGGAGGCGAAAAAGTTCAACTATTTGATTGATCATGTGGGTTTTTAAAAGCGATATTGGCTAGCTATATTGGCTACAGTAAGCGAGCTTCAATTGGCTAGCTATATTGGCTACAGTAAGCGAGCTTCAATTGGCTAGCTATATTGGCTACAGTAAGCTACAGTAAGCGAGCATCAATTGACTACAGTAAACTAGCTTCAATTGACTACAGTAAGCTACAGTAAACTAGCGACAATAGCTTAAGTTTAGTTGAAATGCTCAACGAGTGAGGAGATGAGGGAAAAATTAGAGGATTTGATTCGTTTGCATACGAGATTCGCTCGATGTGTTCGATCAATGGACTCGATTTTTAAGGTTACCCATTGCTTTATCGAATAAAAAGAATAAAGCTTTAAAAGTTTAGATTTTCGCGTTCACATTAACCGCTTCCATCATCCCGACAACGCTTTTCGTCTTGAGTTTCGTTTTGTCGAGAATCTCGGTGGTCGAGTTGTTGTTGAGGTTTGAGTTGAGTGGTTGACTGGTTGACTGGTTTAGTTAACTCGTTTCTCTCTCACGTTTTTTGCGTCAAATTTATCCTCAAGCCAGTGTTAGCCTGAAATTACTCTTGTGTCGGGCCTAATTGTTATTGCGTTGAGACAGTAATTGTATAGGGTAATTCAAAATTATAGCAACTCGGTATTTGCTGGAATCAGCCAACTGGAATTTAAAAATCATTAAACCAATGATAAAAACAATATTCAACAATATTCAACAATATTTTCGCGCGACGTAGGATTCCAATTGACGTCGCCGCCATTTTGGAGGTAGTCGATTGGAGCGCCGTGTCGTCGTTTCTTTTTCATTTCATTTCCAAATCATTTGTTTTTGTCGGCTTAATTGAAATTATTGTTTTGATTGGTTAATTTTTGTGCGACGTAACATTCCAATTGACATCACCGCCATTTGGAGGTAGTCGATTGGAGTGCCGTGTCGTCGTTTCTTTTTCATTTTATTTCCAAATCATTTTTTTTCAAAATTGAAATTATTGTTTTGATTATTAGTTTTTGGGGGGTGGGACAAATGCGACCTTTTTTTTGCGCACCTGGACATTTGCGCACCTTTTTTTTGCTGGAAAAGGCCTTAGGCAAGGCCGTAGAGCTTCGAAAATATTTCGAAAATACTTCCATATAAGGGAATCGTATGCGTAGATTCCGAATTTCGACAAATCAGACCTCGCTGACACGTCAAATTTGGGCTAAAGGGCAAAAAATGCGGAAAAGCGTTAAGTTGCGTAATTCTATTTCTATTTTTATTTCTATTTCTATTTCTATTTTTTATTTTTTATTTCTAATTTTTATTTTTCTACAGGGTGACTGAAAATTACATGCGCGTGGTTTTCTTTTCATTGACACCGCTTTGTAAACATATTTTTGAGAATTTTGTCTTTAAAAAGTAACTAAGTATTTGTAGTTTTTAAAAATCAAAACCGTTTTTCGAAATCACTTTTAGTTTTTGAGTTATGCTCATTCTCGTAACATTGAAAAAAGGTCCGCTACTCGTTTTTCAAAGGCCAGACCCAAAATATGTTTACAGAGCGCTGTCAATGAAAAGAAAACCACACGCACGGAATTTTCAGCCACCCTGTATTCCCATTTGGGAGTGGAGAATCTGGAACTTTTTGTAGTCGGACTACAATGAAGGCCAAAATGATTTGAAAGATGGTTTGCGGAGTTAAATGGAGAGAACGAAGGCATAGCTCATTTCCTAGACCGTTACGAAACTTAGGCCTTGAGTCGTTTCGGGAACGCATTGACCGGGCCGAGGTAGACTGTATTCAACTCATCCCAGGCTTTCATCAACGTTTTCTTCAAGGAATTGATGTTTTTGTGTGGCTTTGAGCAAGCTTTTGCTTTTGCTCCAGATAGAGTAATCAGAGAGCTTGGTGGCCATACGGAAAAGATAAAATCAGGGAGCTTGCTCTCACACCAATCTGAAGCTTTGCGAGCGTCTTGCTGAAACGTCCAATGGCGTAAGGATTTGCCCATGGAAGTAAATCGTTTTTGAGAACATTCAAATACACGTCCTGATTGATCTTAACACCAGCAAGAAGTGGCATTGTTCCATCTGATGTCGCAGCTGCAAAAACCATAACCGATTGTGGGTGAGAAAATTGCTGAATTCGAGAATTCAGTTTAATCTTCGAATAGATGCGATTACTCTTCTTGTTAAGACGCTTGTGAAGATCCTCTTCAACAGTGAATATCTTTTCATCACTAAACACGACATGAAGATGCCGGTTGTTTCCGAAACGTCTCAGCAGGGCCTTCGAGCACAATCGTTTAGCTTGTGTAGCCACCGACAACAATTGGACTTCGTTCTGCTTGTCTTCGCTCTGCTTGGCGTTCAATTTAAGGTCGTCAACAATGATTTTTCGAAGAGAATATCGAGAGAAGCGAAACCCTTTCGCCATTTTGCGCACGAAACGACGATCGTTTTTGATCGTTTCCTTAGTTCTGGTTGTACACTTTCGATCTCTTCCAATCCGATCCTCATTTGTTCCCAAGACTTTAAACCTTTGAATCATTCGATAAACAACGGTCTTGTTGGCTTTCTTGTTGATTTTCAGTCGCTTGACGATATCGGTCGTCGTTCCACTTTTGCACAAGGCTATGATCGAAGCACGATGAACAGATTTCATAATCATTCCTAAAATTAGCAAAGTTTTTTAGTAATAATATAAAATACAATTAAATAACGTGCAAAATAGAAAAAAGTCAGTAAAGCTTTAAGAACATAAATCAACGGCATCTTAATTGAAGCCGGCCCAAAGTTGCTATAATTTTGGACCACTTTGTACTTGTAAGTGCTGTAGGCTGTGCAGCACTGAAGCCACGCAACGTGTACAATGGAGTTCTTGAAACGAGTTAACAGAATCCGCATTCCTGGATCCTCTGGGAAGATAAGAGGCAATCAGCTAAGAGATCGGAGTACTAGCTACACTAGGTCAAGCCTGGCCAAGCAGAATTTCTTTCCAATTCACCGAATTCAGCTCGCCAGCTGTCTCCTTTTGCGTCTACGAGTACTACGCGATTATGTACCCGGCAAAGTTGCACGAAGAGGTAAAAATCTAAAGAGATTCATCTCACGGCTAGTGTAGCTAGAATAAACTTTCATTTGCAGCTCTGCAAATCGAAGGCCGCTTTATGCATGAATCACAACGTTTGGGTGCCTTATGAGAAAAGTGTGAACAAGGTGAATTACTGTCGATTTACAGTACTGTATTTGGGTGTTAAAATAGGGTTTTTAGATAGCGCACACCCTTGTGATGCACCTCGATCAAACTGATTTGGGAATCTCACTCTGGGGTTTCGCGCTGGTGACAAAGCCGTTAGTGTTGACGGTGAGTGGATTGGATGTTAGAGATTAGAGATTAGATATTAGAGATCAGAGATTAAAGATCAGAGATTAAAGATTAGCTAGGGTGATAGAGCTTTTAAACTAGGCTAGGGCCAAAAACGAAGAACAAAGGTATTAGGTACTTGCAAAAGAAACTGCGGATTGCTTCCGAGACGAAAGTTTTTTTTTTTAAAATTCTTTATTTTGTTTTTTATTTTTTTTTTTTTTTTTTTTTTTTTTTTTTTTTTTTTTTTTTTTTTTTTTTTTTTTTTTTTTTTTTTATTTTTTTTTTTTTTTTTTTTTTTTTTTGACTTCAAAATGAAAAAAATCAGCATCGAAGTCGCACCGGAGCCTTTGTGAAGCATTCGGAGAAAACATTTTAAGTGAAAGGACTTGCCAGGAATGGTTTCGACGTTTTCGTGAAGGGGATGGCAGCTTGGAAGATGAGCATCATGGATATTGTTCAGTTGTCTTCGATAATGCTGAGTTGCTGGAGATTGTCGAGTTAGATCCAACTCAAACTTTGCCCGAATTAGCCGAATACTTTAAATGTGATTCGAGCACAATTTCTCGACACCTTGCGCTTATTGGAAAAAGGAATCGTTGTGGCCAATGGGTCCCACATGAATTATCCCCTGAAAACAAAGCCAATCGAGTTTTATGGTCTCGGATTCTATTGAAGGGCTACGGGCTATTGAAAGGCTACGGGCAGTGCTTTTTTGAAAACATGTTGTTGATGGACAAAAAGTGGACATATTTCAATAATGCAACACGCAAAAGACAATAGTTGAGCAAAGGAAAAAGGCCGATTCCGAAACCACATTCAGATCTTCACGGAAAGAAAGTTATGCTGTCGGTCTTTTGGAATATAAAACGAATGAAAGGAATTGTTTATTTTGAATTACAAAAATCTTCAAAAACTATCTCAAATCTACGCCGAACAGCTGAAATTCTACGAGAACAGCCCAACAGCTGAAATTCTACGAGAAAAAGGTGTTAATCCAAGGAAAATCAATCCATTTGCACGCTGATAATGCTGACATCAAACTTGGCTCAAAATACGATAGAAGAATTTGAGCTGGAAACTTGTACCTCATGCGCTATATTCTTCTGATATCGCTCCCCTCATCCGCTATATTCTTCTGATATCGCTCCCCTCATCCGCTATATTCTTCTGATATCGCTCCCCTCATCCGCTATATTCTTCTGATATCGCTCCCTCAGATTACCACTTGTTCCGGTCTATGCAACACTTTCTTGCAAATCAAAAGTTGAACAATGCTGAAGAAGTCGAAATTTGGTTGCAAGACTACTTTGCGTCGCGGGACCCCGAATTTTTCGAATCAGGCATCTGAAGTCTACGCAAAAAAAATGGAAGCTAGCTGTTCTTCCTTAATATGTTCAAAATAGCGCAATCGAGCAAGAGGTGGATAGCAGGAATGCTGTTGGATTTCCATGGAGGAAACGACAGAATCAAAAAAAAATACCAAAAAAAAAAAAATAAAAGAAACAAAAAAAAATGATCGCTTTACATACATAGTTGATAATGATGGTGAATATCTTTTGAAATCTTTAAAGCCAAGGGAATTGTCGGAAAGCTTAGGGGTGCACAGCTCAAACAACGTCAAGTCTCAGTCAAAGCTCAATCAAAGCAAACACTCTAAAACTCGGTGATCCAGTGATTCCCCCAGTGTTTGCTATTTTCTCATCACTCACCAAGAATAAAGTTGTTTTCTTCTTGATTTTTGAGTCTTTCGAATGTTGGTGATATAGTCCGCAGTTTCTTTTGCAAGTACGCCTAATATGCTCAGGGATACGGTATAACTGTAGTCCACGTATAGTTAAACTAAAGTACCGCACTGTAGTACCATAGTCGAGTTTCTTTTTTTGATAAGGAGATAAACTGTTTGCTAGACGGTATTACCGTTTCCTGATCAGATCAGGCTCTACTGTGGCTATTAAGAGTACTGTAAAATGTATTATGCATACCAGGGATGGTTAAAACGTAGATTTGTCAAGCTTAGCCCTACAGTAAGCTCTACGGGACTCCTGTCAGTACAGTACCATACAGTAACCTCTACAATACCCCTACAGTACTCCTACAGAAATCCCTAAAGTACTCCTACAGTAACCTCTACAGTACTCCCACAGTACACCTAGAGTAATCTCTACAGTACCCCTACAGCACTCCTACAGAAATCCCTAAAGTACTCCTACAGTACGCCTATAGCAATCTCTACAGTACTCCTACAGTACTTCTATAGTAATCGCTACAGTAACCCCAAAAGTATCCTTACAGTAACCTCTACAGTACGCCTACAGTACTCCTTACAGCGAAACAATAGTCCGTAAAAGCTTGGGAAACGAGAAAAAAGAAACCAGAAGCTGGCTGGTTTTCTCTCGGTTGTTCAGGTGCAATTGCATCAAGCCAAATAAAGGCACTGCATGTATTGTACTTTAGTAGCAGAAAATGCAAAGTATCTCACTGTATTTTACTGTATCTTACTGTAGTTTACTGTATCTTACTGTATCTTACTGTATCTTACTGTATTTTACTGTATTTTACTGTATCTTACTGTACTTTCCTGTACTTTACTGTACTTTCCTGTACTTTACTGTATTTTACTATACTTTACTGTATCTTATCCTATCTTTAATCGAATCGTTTCAGCTTTGCAAAAAAAAGATTTTCAGACCGCTTCCGCCGTCATGACTTGTCTAGCGTTTTTCCTCGAGTTAAAGCCGAAAGAAAATGGGGAAAATTTTGTGGAAAAAACTCTACACAATTACACAGATTTTTTGTAAAAATTTATTGAAATTTATAAAAAATTTTTGACCTTAAACATTTCGTTAAACAAAAAAACAAGTAAATATCGTATTTTTTTCATGTTTTTTCATGTTTTTTTTCCAATTTTTCCCTATCAATTATCAGATTTTGAAGTGATTTTTTGCTTAAATCAAACTACGAAATACGAAAAAATGATTTGTGTGATCAAAGAAAAATGAAAAGAAACGCGAAAAAGTTCTCTAGGCTTATCAAAGAGAAATGATTAGAGAAATCGTGAAATTTTGGAAAATTTCATTTTGAAAACTCTTTGTGCTTTGATATTTCATTCATTTTTTCCCATAAATTACCGTACTTTTAAGCGATTTTTAATCCATTTCAATGAGAAATTAAATTCTAAAGCGAAAGCTAACAAATGCGACCTTTTTTTTGCGCACCTGGACATTTGCGCACCTTTTTTTTGCTGGAAAAGGCCTTAGGAAAGGTCGTAGAGCTTCAAAAATGTTTTTGTAGAAGGGAATCGTATGCGTAGATTCCGAATTTCGACAAATCAGACCTCGCTGACACGTCAAATTTGGGCTAAAAGGCAAAAACTGCGGAAAAGCGTTAAGTTGCGTAGTTTTTGCCTTTTAGCCCAAATCTGACGTGTCAGCGAGGTGTGATTTGTCGAAATTCGGAATCTACGCATACGGTTCCCTTCTATGAAAACATTTTCGAAGCTAAGGCCTTTTCCAGCAAAAAAAAGGTGCGCAAATGTTCAGGTGCGCAAAAAAAAGGTCGCATTTGTCCCACCCCCCAAATGAGAAGAAAAGAGAAGAAAATGATGATACCTTTCACGCAAAGCATTTCCATTACCGGTTGGCAACTTTCCAAGTGGCCAGTGGAAATTCTAAAATACACATAAGCTACCGTAGTCGAGACAGCGTCTCCTTTTCGCCCATCAAATTTCAGTCTTTTAAAATAAATCGTTTTTCGTCCCGCGCTTCGCCGTGTATTTTAAGCGTTTATACTTTTCCTTTCTCGTTTATGCTTTCCCTGGTGTAGGCTAATTTCCGCAATTTTTTCCCCAACAGGATCATTTGCACAACTGGGTCATTTGCGCAACTCGTCATAACTTTCTTCTAAGTCGATCAATCTTTATCATGTTCGTTTCATTTTGTTGCACTTATTGAGATCTACAAAATGAAACCAACATCATAAAGATTGGCCGACTTAGAAGAAAGTTATGGCGAGTTGCGCAAAAAAAAAATTGCGGAATTAGCCTACCCCCTATCCCTTTTATATAATTATGTTTATTATTAAACTTTTTGTTTGTTGCGAGAATTTCCCTCCTGTTTCTTTGAAAATCGTTAAACTTTTTGTACTTTTTCGTTTATTGTTAAAACTCTCTCCCTATTTCTTTTAAAATTGTTCAAGTTTTCGAATTTCTGTACTTTCCCCGGTTCTTTCACATTGTTGATCTTTGGACTCAATAAACTAATAAAGAATAAATAATAAAATAGCATCGATAAAGTTCATCAAAAAATCTAACTACTTTTCAATGTGAATCCAACTGAATCGTCTTCTTATTTCTCTCGTTTTCGTAAACCATTTGGAATGAATGTTTCTCGGTTAAAAGATAGGAGTTTGAGTAAGGATTTGAATGTTTTGAAACATAATACTTTTCCCCGAAGTGCCTACCTTGAACTTTATTGAATGTTATGATTATATTATATGTATGATTATATTATATGGTTATATTATATGCTTATATTATATGCTTGTTCATCTTTCTTGCATAAAAAGTCATTTTTTATAGGCAACCTCTGTCGCGATAAATGAGCCAAAAGAAAGCGGTGGTCGAGCTATTTTATGATGTCATCTCTCCGTATTCGTGGATTCAATTCGAGGCGCTGAATCGATATGCAAAGGTGGGTTTTTAACGAGTTATAGTAATCTGATAGTTGATATATTTGGCACTGTTACAATATTAGGTTGGTGCAAAAGAAATTTCGGTCGATATAAAATGTTCTTATTTTTTTAATCTGAAGAGCTTATTTGACAACTCAAGAAGGTTGACGAAATTTTGCGTGAAAAAGGCCTAAATCCCTCAACTATCAACTTTCTCCGTGATAATGCTCCAGCTCACACGGCAAAAACCTCTTGTAAGGAACTAGAGAAGCTAGGATGGAAGGTCTTACCACATGCGCCGTATAGTCCAGACTTAGCACCCTCCGATTTTCACCTTTTCAGATCGATGCAACATTCCCTTGAGAATTGCCAGTTTAAGAATGCAAAAGAAGTCGAAAATTGGGTGACCAACTACTTTGCATCACAGAATCAAGCGTTCTTTGAGAAGGGGATCCGCAGTCTGAAGCAACGTTGGAGGGATCTCATAGATAATAATGGTGCTTATTGTTTTAAATAAATTGTTATCTAAAAAAATTTTGGATGACTTTAATGTTTGTAAAAAAAAACGAAATTTCATTTGCACCAACCTAGTAGCAATGTTACAATAGGCAGTATAAGCAAGTGCTAATGGTTGGAGAAGCTATAGGAAGCTGATAGGCTGCAGTAATCAGAACCGACTATTGCAATAAATGGTAGTGTAACGGCTCATGGTGGTCAGCATTTTCGTCTTAAACCTGGATAAACTAAAGTAGCCTTTATCTACAATATAGTACAGCTACAATAACCTAGATAATATTAATTATTTGAAAACTTTTAGGTTTGGCCAATCGAGCTTCAGCTGAAGCCATTCTACTTGGGAGCAATCATGAAATCGGCTGGTGAGAGTTGGATTTATACCATCCGTTTATCAAAAGATATTCAGGCAATCGTCCACCGATGACCGTCCCGTCAAAGGGTGTTTACATGTTGAAAGATTTGGAGAAAAACAATCGATATTGGGGGTTGAAGCTGCAAGCGCCGTCGGTGAGTGATCAGGAAAAACTTTTAAAAATCCCTTAACTTGTGAAAATTGACAGTAATCTGGTGTAGCGTTAGGCTCTCGATGTTCTCTATTTTGCGCCAACTTTTCAGACAAATCACAGGATGGCAATATCGTGACTTTTAAGGCAAGACTTAAAGAATGGGCTACAGAACACTTGTCAGAAAGTTCTCATGCGGGTTTTTGATATGTTTTAAAGTTAAACTCTTCCTTCTCTCTTTCTTTCTTCCTTCCTTTCTTCCCTTCTTGATCACCGATAGTTGAGTGGGGAGAGGATCTGCCCGATAAGCAGAAGATCAAGGGTTCAATTTCCCCTAGGTTTCACTTTTTACTTTATTATCCAAACTTTTAGAACTTCGCCGAGATCGTGATGGGCAAAACGACGATTCAGGCGCAAAGGATGCTAGCGGCGGTGGCTGAGGCTGAACCTGAAAAGGTATTTAATTAAAAACAAATGGTAGCTGACAGATATAAAAAGTAACAATATCTAATAACGTAAAAATTTCGGATAAAATCAAATGTTTCTAGTTGGAAGAAACGTCTCGCGAGTTGTGGAAACGAATCTGGATGAGAGGAGAGGGGGTTTTCGAGGCAAAGGATTTCGAAGAGGTTTTTTGTCTTAAAATTGGATAAGTTACAGTAAGATGGCCTAGCAATTAGCATTAACAATACTAGGGTTTACTGTAAAACTAGGTTTATTTTCATTTGCCCTGGATAAAGGCTAAAATTTTCTCCATTTCGCAAGTGGTTCGACAATAAAAACTAGCTGCCATTTATAGCGTAAAATGAAATGAAAAGGTCATCGTTTAAAGCCAAAGAAAGTACGGTATCTTATCCATGTATCCATCCACTTTAACTTTGTTAAAAGATTGCTTTTTTTAATCCAACTTTCAGGTTGCGAAAGCTGTTCATTTGAAGAATCCAACGAAAGTTTTCACGTTGATGAAAGATGAGAAAATCAAGAAAATCATCTCAGAGAATGTAGAAAAAGCGGTGGAGAGTGGGGTAAGCTAATTTTAGTTTAGTTTAGTTTAGTTTAGCTTAGTTTAACTTAGTTTAGCTTATCTAATAAAAAATGCTATCTGTATTTATCGAACACTATACTTCGTAAAGCTAAAAAGCTGAACAATGCTATTTTCCGCGAAAACTAGCCGCATCTCTTTTTCTAACTTCCAAAGTGATACGAAAAGGCACTAAGTAGAGAATAGGTTCACTACAAACATCGGGGCACTATAAACTACAAAAAATGACGAACTGTCACATTAAAAACGCTTCTAACTTTCTTCAAATCTGCCGTATTGACATGATCTATAGCTTAAAAAATAGAGAAACTAAAGGGCTTTCGAATGGCTTAAAGTACACCAAAAATCTTAATGCTAAAGAAAGTTACAGTCGTTTATAGTTTTGACGCGAAACCGACCGTTGCTCGCGTGTAGTCGATGCTACTTCTTTTATTACTTATTCTCGTATAATATCTATTTTTAGTCGTTCGGCGCTCCGTGGACGATCGTGACCCTTCCATCAGGCGAATCCGAGTCATTCTTTGGTTCAGATCGAATGCATCTCATCGCCGATTTTCTCAAATTTCCTTTCGACGGCCCTTTAAAAGAGCATTCGGCAAAGCTTTGAACATGCATTTATTATTTGAAAATTATTTTCATCTAGTTTCTACTACAATAAAAAAAATGCTTAAAACAATTGAGTTGATAAATATTTATTCTATGTTCAAAAACGAAAATAGAAGAAATGCCAAGAAAAAGAACCCGGAATGAGAGAAATTGAAATGGAAATTGTCGTCTTTCGAAATTTTCCTCACATTTTCTTCAATCTGCCAATGTAGGGCGCGTCGAAGCTGCCAAAATAGAGATAATTGCCCGTTTCGAGTACCTGAAAGAGGCTTTGCTTGGCTTTAGCTTTGCAGATTTTACATAAACCAAAGCAAAGAGTGGATTTTTTGAAGGCTAAAGCGTTTCTTAAAAGTTTCCTATCGAAAAAGCTATCGTATCCCGCTTAGGTTTCGATTTTTAAAAGTCAACAATGAAGCAATGGCACAAGCGCCACTTTCGAAAATGCACTTTAGCATTTGAAATGCTTCGTTGTGCAGTACTAATTGCAACGGATACCGTAATTTTTGCTCATAAAAAACTCCAAAACTCAAAAAAAACTGCAAATTCTAATGAAATAACAGTGTAAATTTCGCCCACTCACCTCACTGATCGCTCCCAATTTCTCGCCGTTTGGATCCTGAAGAGTGGAGAGGATTTTCCCGTTCAAATCCATCTAAATCAAGTGATATGATATTTTTTTAGAAAAGAATTTTCCATCAAAAAAACCGTTTTCTAACTGTCAGTTTTCATTTGTTTTGCTTAATTTCGATTAATTTCGATTAATTTCGATTAAATTCGATTAAATTCGATCAAATTCGATTAAATTCGATCAAATTCGATTAAATCCAATCAAATTCGATCAAATTCAATCAAATCCAATCAAATCCAGTCAAATCCAATCAAATTCAATCAAATCCAATCAAACCCAATCAAATCCAATCAAATTCAATCAAATTCAATCAAATCCAGTCAAATCCAATCAAATTCAATCAAATTCAATCAAACCCAATCAAATTCAATCAAATTCAATCAAATCCAATCAAATCCAATCAAAAATGTTAAAATCCAGGCCATTTTTCGATGCGTTTCCCGTTGCTAACCCACGACTTTTGCTTGTACCTTTAACGGGTTTCATTTGAACTTGAAACACCGTTGAATTTCCTTTAAATTCGATCGAGTTCGAATGAAAGGAACACGTTCAAACGTTTTTCAAAGAAATTTCGCTAAGAAACGAGTAAAATATAAAGATTGCCAACGGGGCAGCGGATCGAAAATCGACGGATTTGGGATCGTTTATTGAATTGCGGCAATTGAGCAAAATTGAGTCGATTAAATGAAAAATGATCGTTGACTAACGGTAGTTTTTCCGGAAAAAAAGCGCTTTTTAGGAAATGGAAATTACCTTTAACACCATAGCATACGATGGTCGAGTGAGCGGCACCAGGGTGAGCCACCATTTTGCTGGTGTTACCTAGAAATTTTCATTTCTTTCATTTCTTTCATTAGGTTTCGATTTTCCACTAGAAAAGAAAAAGGCAAAGATTACGATATAATCCGAGGGTTTACGGTCGATACGGTGACCTGTTAAGAGATCAATGATTCGAGAATCAAAGATCCGTAATGATCAATGATTCAAGAATCAAAGATCAAAGAATACTGTAATAGTACCCCACCCCCATAATGACGGTGTGGAGTGTTGCGTAGTCTAGCTTTGAACGCGTTTTTCTCGACACTGGTTTATGCTACAATGGGAAAACTAGGGTTGTGGTTTCGTTCCCACAAACAGCACCCGGTCGGAGGCCTCTTTGCTCCTGTTGGCTCTGATTTTCTTGGACTGGATTACACAATCAATCAATCTCTAATTGGTATCAAAAAATAGCCCTGAATTTCAGCTATTTTTTCATACCAAAGACGAATTTTTTGAAAGTACGGGTGCTTTGAAAAAAATGAAATACTAAAAAACTTTTGCGACTACGCGACTGTACGAGGGCGGTGGGGTACTATTACAGTATATACGGTAGCTACCGTACTCTGTTGATTTTTTGTAAAACGAAAACCAAAAGATTCTCAACCCAAAAAGCACTCACATCAAGCACGAATTGTCGCAGGGTTGGATAGGGAGCTAATCTAAAGGGATTTGTTTTTAATTTGTGATAGAATCGATTACTTGTCCAATAGACTTTCCGCACCATTGTACCGGAGAAGCGAGAGGCCAACCCAGAGATTGTTTTGCTGAAAATCGAAGATGAAATGATGATGATGAAATTTGAAAAAATTTGAAAAAAATTCGTAAACGAACCGAATCCAAACGAATATTATCCGGCAAACCGGGCAAACGATCCGCCCAAATCTCGGTTTTACCCTTCTTGGCGCCATTGAGATGATATCTAGAAGAAAAAAATGCTCTGCACTGTTTAGACGATCAAATTGTTCATCTAGACTTCGGTGTGACCGTCTTAAACACTTTAAATTAATTTAAAGTAAATTAGAGTAATCTAAAGTAATCAAAGTATTAGAGTAACAAAGTATTTAGAGTAATCTAAAGTATTTGGTAATCTAAAGTATAGAGTAACTAAAGTAATTTGGGTAATTTAAGTAATCTAAGACAAGTTTTAGGATCTAAAGTAATCTAAAGTTCTAAAGTAATTTAGAGTAATTTAAAGTAATCTAAAGTAATCTAAAGTAATTTAAAGTAATACAATATAAATATTATCTATCTATCTATAAATAATCAAAAAATAGAACCCTAAAAACCTAGTTTTTGTCTAGATTTGAAATTTCTACTTGATAATTCGTCCCCTGCCCAGCTCGGCGACAAGAACGGCTGATTGATCGGGAAGGAGCTGAAATTTGAATCATTTGGATCAATAATTTCGTGAAGTTACCCGAATTTCCAAAAGATTCCAATCTAGAAAACGATTTTCGCTAACTATTTCCTAGTATCGGTAAGAAGAACCGTAAAAAAAACCGTAAAAAGAGCAGATTACAGTCTACGGACCAGGCTAACGTGTAAGAAATCTACAATAAACTACAGTAATCTGCAGTAAACTACAATAAACTACAGTAATCTGCAGTAAACTACAGTAAACTACCGTAATAACTACGGTCATACAAGGCTACAGTAATACGAGTTACCGTAATCCTTATAGGAAAAACAAAATATCGTTTTTACAACAACAACAAAAAGAAATCCCCCACCTGAACCCCATTGGCGAAAGCTAGACGATCAACGAGAAGTTTTGTTTCACCAGTTGAAACTTTCAAGTGGAATAGTCTAAAATTGATAAAATTGATTGTAAAAGCTGTAATTGTAGCCCCGGCAGCATTATTTTTTTTGTTGACCTAGGAGGGGCTTTTTTTGTTGACCTAGGAGGGGTGGAATCATTATTTTTTTTTTCGTTGACCCTCTAGGAACTACTATTACACCTTTTACGGTATCTCGAATTTATTGTGCTATCATTTAGATGTAAATTGATAGCTTTAAAAGAAATAATCAATTCAAATCATATCCACCTTCCATCATCTAAACCCTCAATGATCGGGAACATGAAATTCCGTCGTCCGTACGTGGCTGAAGTGTCCGTGATGAGAAGCTCGTCGGAGTTGAGTAACTGAAAAGGTAAATATAGTAAGAAAAATGGCTATTTATATGGTAACAATTAAAATTTACATCTAAATCATTCAAAAAGCGAGCTGGTTTCCCGGCAATTGGTTGAGAGGCGTTGAAAACGAGTCGATGAGTGCCTGGAAAGGGAAAAGATTTTTTAAACTTCTATAAAGCCTCTATAAAGCTTCTAAACGCTTCTAAAAGCTTTTAAAAAGCTTCCAAAAGATTCTAAAGCTTCTAAAAGCTTCTAAAAGCTTCTAAAAGCTTCTAAAAGCTTCTAAAAGCTTCTAAAAAGCTTCCAAAGATTCAAAGCTCAAAAGCTTCAAAAGCTTCAAAAGCTTCAAACGCTTCTAAAAGCTTTTAAAAAGCTTCCAAAAGATTCTAAAGCTTCTAAAAGCTTCTAAAAGCTTCTAAAAGCTTCTAAAAGCTTCTAAACGCTTCTAAAAGCTTTTAAAAGGCTTCCAAAAGATTCTAAAAGCTTCTAAAAGCTTTTAAAAGCTTTTAAAACCTTTTAATAGCTTCTAAAAGCTTCTAAAATCTTCTAAAACCTTCTAAAAACCCTTAAAATCCACAAATTCCTATCAAAATGATGATATACCAAACATTTCAAGAGTACTTTCGTTGTAATATTGACTAATTGAGTATACTTTGAGGATCAAACACACCGTAAACACACCTTTTCTCGCGTACCACGTTTAGCAATAGTGTAAAGAAAGGATGCCTTTTACTTTTTTGAGCCCAAAAAGACGGTTACTTTTCGGCTTTTTGGCTCTTTCTGGTGCACGTCATTCTCCGTTTTTTTTCTTATTTATTTCCCAAGTAAGCCAAAGATTTTCATTTGCCAGAAAGGTTGCGTTTGTGTGAATTGTAAAAAATTAAAGGCCGTACCCTCTTTAAAGTCGACGATTTCGATTCCCCGATATGCATCAACGACATAAAAGCTCTCTCCCACGTTTCCGATTCGACGAATCCCGAGTGGTCGTCCACAACGAGGCTCTGTATCGTAAGTGCCTAAAGTCATAGAATGTTAAAAATTTCTAGTTAAAATTATATCTAAAATTATAGTTAAAACTAAAGCTAAAACTAAAGCCAAAATTATAGCTAAAATTAAAGCTAAAATTAAAGCTAAAATTAAAGCTAAAACTAAAGCTAAAACTAAGACTAAAACTAAAGCCAAAATTATAGCTAAAATTATAGCTAAAGCTAAAATTATAGCTAAAACTAAAGCTAAAACTAAAGCTAAAACTAAAGCTAAACTAAAGCTAAAATTATAGCTAAAACTAAAGCTAAAACTAAGGCTAAAACTAAAGCTAAAACTAAAGCTAAAATTAAAGCCAAAATTTCCACTCACCACACTCTTTTTCCTTTGTCAACTTGATGCTCTTCACAATTTTTCCATTCTCGATTTTCACCACTCGGCCATCATAGAGTCCAGTGTAAAGGGTTTCTAAAGGTTACAGTAGCTTTAAGGTTACAGTAGCTTTCTAAAAAGCTTTAAGGTTACAGTAGTTTTCTAAAAAGCTTTAAGGTTATAGTAACTTTCTGAAAAGAAAAATTTTACTCACTATTCACTGTGCTAACGTAATCGCTTTAGCTGAAAATCTCCTGTGGATAGCTTTACTGTAGCTGGGCTACCATTTAGAGGAATTAGCTTTAGAGTACAGAAATTTACTGTAGTCACTGTCGAAATTCTTAGGCTTTCTCGAAATTCGGTTTAAAACACTTTTTTCCGTACCCCCAATAGCCGCAATTGATTCCGGTCCTTCGACTTGATCTTTCAATACATATTCCACGTTTGATAGCTTATCATTCACCGCCAGTACTCCTTTCAATTCAGGAAGAGGACCAAGACTAAAATAGAATTTTTTGCTATAAAACATACCGTATTTTCTCTAATAGTAGTGCACCAAAACGAGCCTAGTTGGTGACTATAATAGAACAAAGAGAGCTGGGAACAAGACGGAGATCGTCCAAGGCGCCCAAGGCCTAAGTACCGTGTTTTCTCTAATAGTATTTTCTCGCCCAGCCGAGTTGATGACTATTTGACGGTGTTTCTAAGCTTTTGCAGAAGCTCAACACTTCAATCCTTTACTAGATCTCATCGTCAGCTACATTTTTCGACCCCACATCAATAGATTCTGATAAACGGTTCTCGAGATTTCAAGGAATTTAGACGGCACTCTTGGTGCAAAACTATTCGAGAAAATACGGTACTTGACCAGCTGGCCGACCGATTAAGGAGTTTTGTCTCTTAAGCGGTAGGTCAAGGGTTCACTGACGCTGGCACGATAAGGCAAGATCAGACTTTAACCACCAACTAGATCTCGCTACATTTTTCGACCCCACATCAATAGATTCTGATAAACGGTTCTCGAGATTTCAAGGAATTTAGGCAAAGCTTAGGGTTGGTTGGAGTTGGAGCCGAGTATTTTACACTTTCAAAGCTTTCACAGAAGCTCAACACTCAAATCCTTTAGTAGATCTCATCGTCAGCTACATTTTTCGCCCTCACATCAATAGATTCTGATAAGCGGTTCTCGAGATTTCAAGGAATTTAGACGACGCTCTTGTTGCACTACTATTCGAGAAAATACGGTAATTGAATTGACTATTTCAACAGTAAACTTTAGAAATAAGGATTTCTCAAAGAAAAACAAAAAAACTCACTCAATTGCTTTGCAGCGAACATTTCCCGGGTCATTATATCGAAAATAAACAGGGATGATCGAAAGGAAGACTCCACTAAAAAGAAAAGAGAAAAATCAAAGGTATAAAAGGTATAAAAGGTATAAAAAATTCTAATTTCAATAGTTTATCATCTCTAAATCAACAAAACTTATTCGATCCAAAAAAAAAACTCACATTATTCCAAGTTTAAAGATAGTTGAGAGCATTGGGGAGAAGTGCTGAAATGGAGAAATGGCTGTAGGCAAATCGGCAAGCTTTGTCGGCTGTAGGCAAACTTTGTCGGCTGTAGACAAGCTTTGTCGGCTGTAGGCAAATCTCAATCGTACGTTGAAGATCTAAAATCTAGAATAAAAGATATTCAGCTAAAAATTCTTGAGTAATCAATAGGTTAAAGCAAAGAAAAGCAAAGAAAAGCAAAGAAAAGCAGCTCGTTTTTGACTAGATAAAGCTAAAAATTCAAAACTTTAAATAAAAACAGCTCAGTTATTTGTGCACAACAACTAGAACAGGGAAAAGAAATGGAGAAATGGAGAAATAGAGAAATAGAGAAAAAGCAAAAAAGCAAAAAAAAGCGAGAAAGCTTAAGATGCAAAAAAGGATGCAAAAAAAAGTTGAAGTGAGTCCAAGAAAAAGTACAAAAGAAAAAAAAAACGAAAGCTAAGGGAAATTGTTGTTTTGGGTTAAAGCGATGAGAAAAGCAAGGAAAAAGCCGAAATCGAAGCCCCGATCAAAGAGGGAACAAAGAAAAGAAAAAAACGGGGAAAAGACTGACAAAGAGGTTCGAGAATCACAAAAAATAGAAAAGCTATCAGCTAGAAAGCTAGAAAAGGAAAATTTTCGAAAAACTCATTTGTGATCAGTGATCTGTCACCGAAAAATGCACGCATTTGATCACAAAATATACGAGAATTTTCGTTGGAAATCTTGAAATGACGCCTAAGTTTGCTGAGTTTAAATTTTAGATTTCAAAATTTCATGCTTTTTCTAGTTTTCGTCGTTTTCACACTTAACTTGAGAGAAAAGCACAGTAATCGGAACTCAATTTGTATATCATATTTCTCAATTTATATTTAGCCACAATTTTCTAATTTGAATCGAATCGCGTACCTAAATTAATTGCTTGCAATTCAATTCTAAAGTGGCGCACAAACTAAATTTAAACATTATAAACTTAAAACCCATAAAAACCTAAAGATTTAGCCCGAATTCTTGAAAAATTTCCTATTCTTGCCTTAAAAATGGGTCAAACTACAGACTTTAGGTGTCTCCGCCGGGCATATTCAAGGTCAATCGCCGAATTTCTGAAATATTTCTCGTGCTTTCACATTTTCTCTATAATTTATCAATAAAAACCCATTTTCTCAGTAAAATCATAACATTTTCAAAGAGATCAGTACAAAAAACGAACGATCAACACGTCAAAATCTGAAGAGAAGGAAAACAGCACAGGGATAACATAACAAAATTGGCAGAAATGATGTACTGAAAATAATTTAATAACATAAGTCTTAAAATAACAAACAATTTTGGCTTTTGCATTTTCAGCTCTCCATTGCCTCGCCTTCTTGCTCCTCTGTTTCGGGTTGGAAACTAGAAAGAAATTGATTATTTCAATGAAATGTTTAGCAAGTCACAGATTTATTTTAAGCTTTTATATCTCTGTTAATCTTTAAAAATAAAAATACCCTTTCTCTGCACCATCTGCACCATTTTGTTGTTGAGAGAACTGCATCCGAGAGAGCTCCAAACCCATATTCCAGCCCTAAACGAGGAAATTTATGATACCTTTTAAACTAAAAAGCCAGTTAAACCTACCTTTTCGGGAATTCGACCCGAATCGAGGACACTTTGCAGAAACTCGGCCTCTTGTAGGGATTTCGCGTTTCGGATAGCTTCCTAAAAAACAACATTACTAAGATTCAGAAAGACTTTTGCCGTTAAAATTCCTTATTCCAAGTTAGATTGAACAACCCTGGGCCTAACCATCAATCAATACAAAAGCAGCTTCAAATCGAACCCGAATCTTGGCCTTATCCTCGTCGTTCAACTGTTGTCCGGGTCGTCCTGCCCCCTCATCTCCATTCTCCATTTCTTCGTCGACTGCCTGATTCTCCTTGTCAGCCTCCGGGTTGAAAGTGCTCTTTCTGCCAACCTGAAAAACGTCAAAAAGTTAGAATACAAAAAGATTATACCTCCTCAAGCAATTTCTTGTTCTTCTTTCCTTTGAACAGCTTCTTGGCGTTCTCTCTTTCCTAAAGGGCAATTTATTGCTTACCAAGCGTGCAATAAGTACCTGTAGCTTGATGCGTTGAAAATCGAGCACTCGAACGGTTGGAATTCGATAGATCACATATAGCCGATAATGCTCCTTGTGTGTGATTGGATTTCCATGGAAGCTGAAACGACAGAATCTCGAAATATTAACGAATATTCTTGACACCATTAAAATTTAACAATGGACATTCGAAAAGAATCAACCAACTCCATAAAATGATCGCTTTACACAATTAGGCAAGAAATTAGTAACCCACGATAGATGCTCCAAGAACTTGCACTTGGCCAAAGCGTCAATGTCACCCAATTCGGTGATATTGTTGTTGGTGAGCATCATACGCTTCAGGTTTGGCAATTTGGCGCCAAGATCAGGTTGAATGAAGCTAAAATAGAAACTTATCAGAGGAAAAGTTAAATAAACTCACTGAATTCGATTGTTGTGAGCATACAGTGTGTTGAGGCGCTTCAGAAGAGGAAAATTCTCCAACTTTTTGATGTCATTATCCGTCAAGTCGAGCGTGTCGAATTGATCCTGAACTATGAAAATTAGTTGCTGCAATATGTCAAGAATATGCAAAGAATTTACGAATAGTTTTAGCAATAAAACAATCTCGAACAGCTCACCCTTGTCACTCCCATATTCTCGATGACGGGAATTTTATACGAGCGCAAGTTGAGTTCTCGATCTTTCACCGTGTTCACGTATTGTGACGCATCAGTCAGCAATTCAATCGACATACGCACCATTCTCCTTGAAAAATAAAAACTTTGTTCCACTCTTTCTTAAAATTAAACACCATTCAATATCGCAGATATTTCAAAGTTCAAAACATTTAAAAACAGTGATCAAATAATTCAAAAAAAACGTTTATTAGTGAGATCTTTTGAGCACGAAAATTTATGAAAAAAATGAACCTGCAATCACAAATCACGCGACTAATTTATAAATGTACATTGCTAGCAATTAAAATTTTCTGTTGCTAACAAAAACTATGACAACTGAAAAAAAGCCAAGAGTAGACCCGCGAAAATGATCGTTGGAAGCCATTGCTTAAAGAAGCCGCACCAACTAAAACCCATATTTATTACAATTGTTTATCTTTAGCATTTTAAATTTATCTAATAGTCTATATTCTTACTATAAGTAATCGCTAATGTAAATTACTCAATTTATCTGATAAACTACCTGATAGATCGTCCTTTGACCAACATGTAGAAGCACAGATTGATCATATTCCAATTGGTTTTACCATCATATCTAAGTAGGGAAACTCATTTATAGAAAAACACTATTTTTTACCGCATTGTGTTAAGTGCAAGAGCAACATGCGAATGGCAGTTATCGCAAAACAAGTTGTGCTAAATCGAAACTTTGGCAACTAACAGGATATAATTTCCAATAAAGCTCTAAAACATACCACTCGTCCTTTGTAAACTTCGGATGCTTCGTCTATGGCGGCATCATAGGCTTCAGCCTTACCGGGCACCTTCAACACGTCTAAGAGCCAGTAACGTGTTGGCCAACCGAAGCCCATGTTATCCTCCTAAACTTGAGGTTAAGTTAAGCAAAATACGCAGAACTTACACTAACGAAGTAGGGTCCAGCAAAGTCACGAATGATTCCACGGCTCGTCGCGATTCCCATGTGTCCGATAAAAGGGAAAAAGCCAACTGAAAAGATTAAAAAATTTAGATCTTTTACCCCAAATTTCATAAATTGGAGATCAACTAGCACCACCTCAAGTTTATAAATTAACTTCTATTACTGCTTAAGCATAAAGCACATACGTTAAACAAGGGATTGGGGTCCAAACAATGCAAAATGGGAAACGATGAAGCCGCTCATCGATGTATGTATGCGACGAAGTCATCCCCGATTCTATGTCTGAACCCATCTAAAAGTTTTACGAGTCAAATAGTAAATGTTTCGCAAAAATGGTGGTTGACTTGGTAACCGAATGAGAAAAACAAGGAATAATTCGCAAAAATTTATTGTGATAAAAATAAATACATGATCAAAGATTGACTTAATATTTGTACTTTGTTGAGTAATCCTTTGGCGAAACGACCAAACCACGACCTTTACGAGCTCCCCTAGAGGAACTTTAAAAAAATACCAACACGAAAATTTTACCTGTATATCGTCTCAACGATGTCAATCAGCTCTTGCCCGTCAGTGATTGGCCAATTTATCTAAAAGTCGTTAATGATACCAGTTTACTGCTCAAATGCTCACTTTATTGTTGTTTCCGGTGCCCAAATCGATCATCTGTAACATACCAGTTAGTAAAAGGTACAATAAAATATAAAAGGCATTAAATACTCACAATGTGCTTGTTTCTGAAGAAAAACATCACCGTGCAGGGGTCGTACAACTCGTACATCTTGTTGAAATCGGGAACCTAAAACTTCATTGTAGTCCAGATTTACTAAAAAAACTCACCTCTGTAGTATCGACGAGATACACCACAGCAAAATTCTTCACTTTGTTAACAACCTTGTAAAGGGTCTAAAAGTTGTGATTTGTAAAAGCTGATGAATATTTATCCTTAGATAAAAGATCATCACCATGAAGCTGTTTATAAGTTACTTAACATCGTAAAACATAGACAGAGCAACAAACGTGCATCTTAACTTTTTGTGACTTTATAAAACTTCATCACCTCATCCATGGCCATACAAGTGGGGTCCCAATCGTGTCCAAAACGAATTACCACTACTCGGTCCTCTTCTGCCAAAATCGCCTGATCCACTTGCCATCTAAAAATTTATTAATAACAAACTACTAAACATAAATTTACCCATTGTTCAAATGCGGGAGCATATACGACATCTTTGCTGACTAGTTTTTGTTTGAGCGCTCGACAGAAAATCTGAAAGTCATGAGTAAAGCTTAAAATTGAAAATGAAGGCTTCTCCAAGAAATTTGACAACGAAAAACAGCATCTTACTTTGTCAGATTAAAAGAATCAAGTCAACATCTTTTAGCTTTTCTCTTTCAATTCGCAAAGCGAAATGTTACCTCAGAAAAATTCTGTCATTTGTTGTCAAAGGGAATATCAAGAGCGTAGCAACTCAAAACACAAAGATTTCTCAAAAAACATTGAATTGAATGTTTATTCAAAATGAAAATTCAACATAAATAATTTATCGTAAAAAAAATAAATGTACAAAGTGCAACCCGTAATGAAAATCTGAAATTCGGAGTTGTAAATATCCCTTTAAAGCCATCGAGATGATCAGCAAGTCCATTTTAAGCATCTAAATCTTCGGATAAACTTTTGGAAAAAAAAATCAAACATACCGTGTATCATTGTGCACCTCACGACACTCAATTGAACAGAATCTTGTGCCACACCTGAAATCATACAATGGTTTAGCGGATCATAAGTTTGAGAATTCTCATAGCTACAGAAATGTCACCTTATTACCGATAGTAGTGTTTATACACTAACCATAAACTCGTACAAAACTCAAAGCTTACCGTATACACGTGTATCCACCAAAGCATCCGCAAACACCGCAGAATTTTCTTGGTGGCACGGTTGAAGGTGGGGCGGCCGCTTCTTCGTACGCTTGATACCCTTTGATCGACGCTTCTGGATCGTTGATTTTCGATTGCTAAATTAAAACATAGCGCTTTAAAACTCATGAAAAGAAAGAGCAATACTCACATTATACTCTTCGTGAAGTGCGGTGAACTTTCGGCGAAAACGCAACTTCGATTCTAGTTTCTTTCGTCTTCCTGGAGTCGAATAGATAACTGCCGATAATTTTAAAATACCTAATTCCGTTTTCGCTCCAGGTGTTGAGGGTTTCCTTCTTTTCACGGCCGGCATATCCTCCTCTTCGAATTTGGGCACATTCTTCTGCAAGACGATATTCGCGTGCGGATCCTCGTGGAAATTGTCCTAAATAGAAACACGATAAAATTTTGAAGGAACACAGATTGGTATTTTTCAGGAAGAGGAGTTTAGGGACAATTTTCGTCTTTAAGGACAAAAGAAGTGTCTAGTATGGACTTTGGTAATGGATTAGCTTTGGCTTTTCGTTTTTCTGGCAAGAGTTTAATAAGAAAGTTTGATTTTTAAAGTTACAGCGAACACAAAGCGTCTCTGTTTTGAAAAACCATAATCCTTACATTTTCGAGTGCATCTCGTTGTCGTTTTTGTCGCATGAATCGAACCGATGCGTCGACGACCCTCGTTTTCTCGTCGCGTTGTCCCCGTGTGGCAGAGCGCATCATTCAACAGTCTAAAAAACGCAAATACTGAGGTTGTAAAACAAGAAATGTAAAGAAATGCAAAGAAATATAGAAAATCACAACTTTTCTAAACGAGAACTTTCAAAAGTTGCAAATTTTGAAGTCCAAAATTCCACAAAGAAATTTTGAATTCTCTCTATGCAACAGTTCGACAAAACAATAAATAATCAGTTTTAACCAAAGAAAAGATATTCAGTTAACAAGCTGAATACTTTTAGTTTTGTCAAGAAATTTTTTCAACAGTACAAAAGGAAAAGAAATTTTGGTACGTGTGGGGAGCCACTATATTTTTTCAAAACCACGGGGGGATGCCTTGAAAGACCGTAGAGCTTCGAAAATATTTCGAAAATTTTTCCATATAAGGGAATCGTATGCGTAGATTCCGAATTTCGACAAATCAGACCTCGCTGACACGTCAAATTTGGGCTAAAAGGAAAACTGCGGAAAGCGTTAGTTGCGTAGTTTTTGCCTTTTGCAAATCTGCGTGTCAGGGTGTGAATTGGGTTGGGTTTCTTTTGTGGGGGTTTTTGGGTTTTCGGGGGTTTCGGAGGGGGGGGGGGGGGGGGGGGGGGGGGGGGGGGGGCCCAAACACCCTTTCTTTTGGGGTATTTTTTTTGCGTAGATCACGAATTTCATAGTTGGAGCTTGGGAAAATGCGTTTTAGACCGACTTTTAGAGGCTTGAAGTCGCCATCTCTATAGCGTATTTGACTGTAATGTTCCTATAAGAAGGACTCAAAAGGAGCTTAATGATCTTTTCATGCTCACAAAAAGACTTTTTCTGAGGTAATTTAGAGTCCTGTGTGCAATTCTAATCAAATTCAAGGAGAAAATTTGAAAATTTTGCGAAATTTTCATTTTTGCTTTTTTAAGATCTAATTTTGCTATTTTCATGTTCTTGACACTCAATTAGCCCAAAGAAAGTGTTTTTTTCATGTTAAAAAAATCCTCGGAGGCCTTAGATGAGCTTGTATAGGGAGGAAACTCCCTATACAAGCCCGCAGTGAAGTACACGGGCGGCGACTTTGGGTCCCCGAAAGTCGATTTAAAACGCATTTTTCCAAGTCCCCACCATGAAATTCGTGATCTACGCAAAAAACTATCCCAGAAAAAGTGATTTTGGAAAAAATATAGTGCCCCCGCCCAACCCCACAATTACCGAAATTTCAAATTGCCGTCCACTACAAAACTTTCCTAAAAACCTTTGCTGCATGTCGAGTAGTTGCATTTTAAAACCAGTAGAAGGAAAAAATGTGCACCGTTATGCAACCACCGTTAGCTGTGTTTTTTTTTTATTTTCCTGTTTTCCTGGTCTTAAAACTTTTCATATTTTAGGCTTCTTTGCCCGGAGATGAGCTGGAAGAATCCCTACAACGGGCCAGGTGGCCCCTACTTTGAGCCAGGTAAAATGAATGTAAGTTTTCTCTAGAAATTGTTAATTTTTAGACGATCGAGAAAGTAGGCACAAAAATGGTGTCGAATGGAGGAGAGAGCCGGTTGGTTTTTGTGTGTTTTCTTTGTTAGGATCGTTTTTTAGGACACTGGCGAATCGTGGACATCGACATCGTGGAGGAACAACATGGATATGCATCGATATCACGGAGATCCATCATTGGCTCCGATTCAACCAAATATGAGGTAAGATTTTGAAACTATGCCTCACTTGGGCAACTGAACATAAATTCAAGTAATTTCGAAATTTGCGAAGACCATGAGCGTCATTTACCCAAAAGTCTTTTAAGTTTTGAGCTAAAGCTTTTGTGGGTAATCTTTTTATCCAATACATACACCTTTTTTTGGAGTATCTTGACAATTTTAGGCACTACGAGATGATGGAAGAACGCCCACGATTTTACGGTGAAAGCAGCGATTATCACCGACACTATGGGGTGCAGGAGTCAAGAGGATGGCAAAGAGAAGAACGACATCGTGGATATGAGCGAAGAGATGAATGGAGACGCTCAGTGGATAGAAATCGAGGAGAAGAAAGAAGTGATCGAAGACGGGTTGAACAAAGACGTGAAAGGGATGATCGAAAAAGTGAGAGAGCCGATCGACGACCTGAAAGTGATGATAGAAAGAATGAAAAAGAGGAAAATAAACAACCGGAAACGGCGGAGGAAAATGTGCAGGAAAAAACGGAGAGAACAACAGAGTCATCAACGGTTGATGAAGCTGAGCAGGTAAAGTGGCGTCAGATTTTATTTTATTTTTTCAATGTAACAACTTTGTGAGTTACTTATTTCGGCAGGGGTGGTGATGTGTTATCTTCGAAGGCAAAACTTATTCTTTGATTTTAGGCCGAGATCCTCCAACAACAAGAAGCTCCTGACGAAGACAGCTATTCGGAGGGAATGAAGGGCGCCGCCGATTTGGTGATTTTGAAGCCGAACTTCGACGATGTGCACTTTTATGGCGGCAACCGTGGGCGGGGAGGAATTCGTGGTGATGGGCCACCGAGGGGACGCGGTGGATATCGTGGATCGTTTCCGAGGGCTGGAATCGACGAGAGATCGCCTTCTTGGGTCTCGCAATACTTTGATCGGGTTCATAAGTCGAAGACCTTGCTTCCGGCACCGCCGCAAAGGTATGTTTGTTTGTCTACTTGTTTAACTTTGGAAAATATAAACGCACACTTCTTAATGAAAAAAATAACTACTAGACTTTTTTGCTACGATAGAAAGATAATGACTCTTCTAGTCTAACAAAAGCGTGCATACAAAAAGCAAAAAATAATCAAATATGCATTTAAGTTTTAATCGATGTGCGATTGTTCGACTTGCATTATTTTAAATATTAAAAGTTGTCAAAACACAATCAAATCTTTAGCGAATGCTGAATTTTGTCATCAAAAAGTCTTAACATCAAAAGAAAAAAGCTTGCAACTTGACGAAAGAATTTTAAAAATTACGATGCAACAATTGTGGCTCAAACAAACCACCACAATTCAAAGAGTTAACTTGTAACTGGTAAACTTTTAAACAATGGACAAAATGAAGCTTAAAAACTAAGTTGAGACGGAAATATAAAAGCTATATAAAGCTATGTAAAATTTTTACATGCTTACAAAAGATAACTTAAAACAGCGTCTTCCTAGACTAGACTCGATGTTGAAAGGAAGCCGACATTTAAAATGAAAACATTTAAACTTAAAATAATCAAGGGGTCTTTTTTTCAAGGTTGCCTCCTCCGGGTCCGTCAAGCTCGCATTTCTACCCAGAAGATCATTTTCCACGTAGTGGACCACCTCGAGCGCACGATATGCCAAGTTTTGGAGGTGGTATGCGAGAGATCCCGAAGACGAAAGCGGATTTCTTGGAATCGTCGGCAAGTCGTCGCATGAAAGAATGGGAGAGATTCAAGAGTGAAAATGGAGACGATCCACATCAGTTCATTGAGACGCTCAGTGATGTTGATGAGAAAGGTAATTTTAAGAAAAGGTTTAGAGACGGTTGTTTTAAGAAAATGCATACAATACATGTGATACATTCGAAATTCACGAAACACCTTCAAGGGTCAAATTTAAGATTTTGAACAGAAAACCGAACAACTTGCAACCAAGCAAACAAATAATAACAGTAATATTTTATGGAACTACAAAAGAGCAGATTGCTTATTAATCATCAATTCAAAAGTACTACAGACAATTGAAACAAAGATATCAATTTTTTTTTTCCTTTAGATCATGACCGTTTAAAGATGTTTATTTTAGAAACCTGGTATCAAATCCTCGACCTTGTTGGTCCCACGGGAGATGACGATAAAAAAATGCCAACTATGCCACCAATACAAGCACCAGGTGCATTGGACCAATATAATTTTTAAATTTTCATTTCAGAAACTCCAAAACGTGGTCTTCTCGGTGCTCATCCGGCAAAAAGTCGCCTTCGAACACCATCGCCCGTTAGGCCATCGTTTTTCCGCCACGAGTTTCCCAGTGTTCGTCCAGGATTGTACACGGGGAAGTTGGTTTTTGATTTAAGCTTTTTTTAAAGCTCTTATTCAGAGATGGGACTATGACAGCTATGGGGGTTAGTCGATCGGCTCCACCTTCTGCTTCAGCTCCACGTTTGTTTTAGATTTATTGATTTTTATATGGTAATCTTTTAGATAGGAAGGGTCTATTAGGACAAGGTCCTGGAAAGTCCAACGGCATGAGGTTCGTTTGTGTGCAGGAACTTAATTTTCTAAACATCGAGTTTTTAGAAACTACGAAAGAGGCCGTCCATCGTTTAACCCTTACACCGACGCTTTGCCGGAACGATATGGTGGCGAAAAGTAGAGCTTTTTCGACAAATTCTAAATGTTAGGCTTGTAGATCATTGAATGGTCCGATTCAATCAGAGGGACCAGCTTATGAACCGAATTTGCCATCTCAATTTGAGTTGCTGGAAAGAAACAGTCTTTTGGAGGCACAATTGAGGTACCAAATTAGCTTTGGAATATCATAAGTCTTTGAGTTTGTTCAGTTTAATTCAATTTTCTTTTTCAGGGCTTTACAATCGATGCAAGAGGAGCGAGAAATGAGATCGGGTCACCTTCAGTCTCCACATCAATTTGATGGCACTAATACGTGAGTTTTCACGGTTTACACCAAAACGACTTAAAACTTTAGACCAGCTTACGGTTATCTCCCAGATGGTTCGCCAACACATTAAACTCAATTGCAACCGAATCGTTAATTTATTTGGATCAATTTTTGTTTATCATTTTTTGATTCCATCAAGGATCGATTTTCTTGTTTTATTTTTCTCTTTGTTTGGAAGTAACCGTTTTTGAAGCGGTAATGGCTTAAAGTTTTTAAAAAAGTTCAACTTTGCTTTCTGGTGTTAATTCACAATATCGATTGGCTCAATTTATCATTTTCTGATGTTAATGCAAAGTATAGAATGGCTAAACGGGCCGAGGATGAGTTGGGCGCAAAAATGGACCGGTGTTTCGCAGACAGTTTGGTGAAATTGGTCGGTGGAGTGGCGATCGGGATCGTCGCATCAGTGGCATTCTTGAAAGTGAGTTTTGGTGTTTGTTTTGAGTTGTCAAGCCATTAATTGAGCTTGTTAAAGATTTAATTTTTAAATTCTTCAATCATTGATCCAAGATTTGAGTTACCGAATTGTAATTTAAGAAGTTAGCTGGAGTTAATATCAGCTTCTTGAAGTTTCGTCTTGGCGTAAGTTCAGATTTTATAAGTCTCTTCAATTTCAGGGACGAACATGGCCGGTGTGGTTCGGATCGGGTGTTGGAATTGGCGCTGGTTGGTCGAATTGCCGACACGATCTTTCTGCTCCATTTCTCCTTCACGGTCGCAAAGTTACCTCGGGAACCGATGCTCAGGTTTGGTTTTGGTCTGAAATTTGTTCACTAATCATCAATTTTTTTAGGGAAAACCAGTCATTAATATCGTGCCGGAGAAGAGCTCTTGATTTCTATGTTTCCCGGTGTTTTTTATGTGCGACTTCGAATAGATGAACTGAACTTTCATTCGTAGAAAAGAATTATCGATTAATTGTGTAAATAAAGAGTTTAGTGATCGTTTTTGTGCAAGATGATTGTTTTATTGCAATACAATGACTACATTTGAAAATTTAACAAGCTGAAAAAAAAAGTGTGAATAGAATATTGGAATATAGAGCATTTTGATACATTTTTGGCTTCAGATTCAACGTTTTGATTGAAATCTTTGTTATCTTTTAGACGATGAAGCGTGTAACACAAGTGCTACATCTTCAATCAAGATGTATACGAGGGAGACCAAAGATCGAGCCTTTTCCATCACAAAAACCCACGAAAAGCGGCATTTTGGATGAGGGGGCCACGTACGCGGACATGCACAACGCATACACAGATGTCGTTCATGGGGTACCCTACAAGGAAAAGGTCTGTTTCAAAATCAGTCACAAATTTTCTTTTTGAAGTTTTGTATTCGACTTATGGGTTAAGCTTCTAGTAGCATTTTAATGACTTTCTGTAGGCTTAAGCTCCTAAAAACTTTTTTATTCAGATCTCCATCGCCTGTTCATCTTTTCATTTAGGACATTCGCTTAGCGTTGGACAAATCGACAGAAGAAATTGTTAAAGAAAAGAATAAAAAGCTGTAAGTTAATGATTCGGAGTTGTTACAATAAAAATACTTTTAGATATTCCCAAAGAAAGGTTTCTGGAGTGATCAATTTTGATCATATACCAATCGAGGATCAATGTGTCCTCTTATTCCCAGGCCAAGGAGCTCAATTTGTGGGAATGGGCAAAAAAGTATTAAAGTTTGTTTTGGCTTTTATATTTGGCTCTTTTTGGTTGTCGATTGTCAAGAAGCGAAACGGGTTTTCGAAGAAGCGTCGTCGGTTTTGGGATACGATATCGAGAAACTTTGTTTAGAAGGACCGCAAACAAAGTGAGTTGTGAAGGATTAATTGATTGATTAATTGATTGATTGATTGGCTGTAATTCGATTCAAAACAATTTTTTTAGACTTGATCAAACCCTATATTGTCAGCCAGCCGTTTTCGTGTCCTCGATTGCCGCATGGGAAAAGTTAAAGGTCGATATCTTTATGGTTCTTTTCGTGACTATATGCTTTTAGAAAGAAGACGAGGGTGTATCGACAATGACCACCGATGTGGCAGGGTTCTTATTTTAATATTATACTAGAATATAAAAGGGGTATATTAAGGACGCATGCAATTTAGCTATGTTTTTCCGTAATTCTTGATGTGTCCATGAAAACAATAAAAATCTCAATAAAAGCTTGTCGATGATTTCCTTTCATATCGTCACTTTTTTTTGAGTAATCTGTGATTTTGTTGTCTTTTTGTTTATTGATAGTTGTGCATGTGTCAAGTAGTTATTGTATTAACAAGTTGTCGGTATTGTGTTCTTTTTTTTTACGATAAAATTTAGGTTTAGTGTGGGCGAATTTGCGGCTCTCGTCGCTGGTGGAATGCTTCGATTTGGCGATGGTAACGATTTAATTATGGATACCTAGATTAAAACCGGGTCGATCAGTTGACATGCTTAGGTTTCAGCAATGTTTAAGAAAGATTCTGGTAGTAATTTTAAATATCTTTTTAGCACTACAAGTTGTAAAGCGCCGAGCCGAGGCAATGCATAAATGCAATCAACTCATCTCCGCCGGAATGGTGACTGTACAAGTAAGTTTATGATAAATTATCTAAAAAAAATTTTTGCCATCTTTAGGTGAAAGCGGTAAGTCGTTTGGAAGATGCGATGCGAGATGCTCGAGAAATTGCAAAGTGAGCCGTTGAGAAAGTGTTGGCGTAAAAATTGAGTTAAATAGCCATACACTTATAAATTTCAGAGAAAAACACGAGGTGGCAGTCTGCGAGGTGGCGAATTTCCTCTTCTGCGGTGTCAAGGTGGTCGGTGCGACGGAGACGTGTCTACGCTTTTTGGAGGATAATCAGCAACAATACAAGTTCAAGGTTTGGTTGAAATTTATTGAATTGCTAAACTTTTACGGTTGAAAATAGCCTTTTGACGTATTTTCGTTACAACTTTAGTACATGTTAAATTTCAGATTCTGAAGCGCCTTCCCGTCTCGGGTGCTTTTCATACGCCTCTCATGACAGATGCTGTACCAGAAGTGGCCGAAGAGTTGAGAAAAGTCGAGGTCAGTGTTTTACTTTTATTTTACATAGTTGTACTGAATATTTGTGCAATTCTTACCTCATTTTTCCAGCTCTTGACTCCAATTTGCAATATCTACAGTAATTTCGTGGGCGCGGTGTATTCTGCGAGAAAGGTTTTTGTTTGGCTTTCAAAAATTTTCTTATTTTGGCATTTTAGGGGGAAATTCGCAACGCGATCGCGAAACAAGTGGTCTCGCCGGTGAAATGGGAACAAATTCAGCAGTTGTTGTTTAGAAAACACAAGGTCGACTTTTTTTTATTGTAATGGTAATACTGATCTAGTTACTTCGGTATTAGATTGACATGAGTTGTCTATTAAAAAGGGAATAAACGACTAGCTTTATACGATTCTAGCTCTAGATAGCTTTACACGGTCCTAGATATTGATATGACCTTATAAAATATTAGGTTGATGCATAAGTCTTTTTGTTCCTTTTCGTCTGCCGTTTCAAGCCAACAAATGCACCAATTAAACTACGGTTGATTTCATTAGAAAAACCAATTATTTTTTCTGCAAAATAACATTAAAACGGGTTTAAAAATATTGAATGCCTGGATTTTCTTGAGAGTATGAAGTCGGGTAGTCAAAAAGGGCTAACTCGATGATGCGGTTTAGACACCTTAGCTAAAGAAAACCTATCTTCGTGTCAATAGATAAAAGATAGAGAAAAAAAACGTTTGATATTTCGCCAAAATTTCAGAGAAATTCATTCAGCCAATTTTTCCGTAGAGTTTTTTATAGATTTTTACGAAAAAGGCGTTTTTCACTCTCGAATTTGCTTGAAAGTGAACCGAAATTCATTTAAAAAGATGCAAATTGAACAAAAAAACACTTTTTTTATAGAGCAAACTATAGATTAATTGGTGAATTTGTTACTTTTTAACAGAAGTACGAAAAAAACGAAAACACTTATGCATCAACCTATTAGCTCAACTTGGTATAAGTGTTTAACGGTCGTCCCTGTGTACTCGTAGTCTACTACCGTAAAACCAGTGCTGTTTTAAAGAACTCAATTCAAAGTTCATTTAAAAGTGAAATTTATTTGCCTAGTTGTACTCAAATCAAAGAACTTAAGATTAAACTAATTTCACTTTTTAGGACGAGAAATTCCCGCGTGTAATCGAGGTTGGACCGGGGAAACAATTGGGCACGATGTGGGCGAAAACGAGCAAGAAAGCCCATGAAAAGTATGAGCATTACTCGTGTTGAGTGGTAACGGTAAAATGGATGATTAGTTCTACGTAGATAAATTATCGTTTCAGTTTTGTTATTCGAATATCACATTTGGATTGTTAAATTGAGTTTGTTATTATCATTTTGCGTTTTTTGTAAATAAATCGATGCTCAGAAAGGATAAAGCAAAAGATTTTAGGATTTAAAAGCGCAATTTTAGAAGTAGCTGGTTTGGGTGTGCAAATTTAGGCTCAATTAATTGTATGCGAATTGGTTGAATAACGATTTTTATAGGCAAAGCTCAATTTTTGACGATTATTTGCTATTAAGATTTTATTTTGATAGACAATCCATTTTATGGTGTTTTCGTGATGATTTGGGAGAAATTTGTGGAACGGGAAAATCCATTATCAATGAGAATTTTTCAAATGATCAATTCCCCGAAATGGATCAAATGAAAAAAAATTTCGAAACGGGAGAAAAAGAAAGACAGCTGACTTGTGGAAATTATACGGTGGACAGCTGGGATACAGTAGTTTTAGGTGGGAATCGGATACTGTAGTGGAAAGTACCATTTAGAGCACCTCCTTTCTTCACTTGGTTTAATAAAATGTGGGAATTTTTGAGAAATTACCGTAATTTGTAGATCTTATTATAGGTGCTGGCATAGTTATATTGTTGTGTTAGATATTTTAAAACCTGCCCCCCCCCTCTACTTCTAGAAGTGGTAGAGAGTGAGATTTCAATTTGTATCGATCTACTGAGTGCTCAAATGCGTTCGAAAAAAGGAAAGAGAGATTTGTGCAGTCGTTTGACTATTTCTCTATTCTTCAGTCCTTCAAAAATGGAGAACCCGCATGGTGAGCCAGAAAAGAGGAAAAGAATGTTGCTGAAATGCATTGAAGAGAAAGAGAGAGGCTGGGAGAGGCTGGGAGAGATCGGGAGAGACTGGGAGAGACTGGGAGAGGAGGAGAGATCGGGAGAGACTGGGAGAGACTGGGAGAGATGACTGTTTCTCTCCTTTCACCCCTTTTCATCCCCAATTTTGGAATAACCCCGATTTTCAACAGTTGACAAATTTTTCACCTTTCTTTTCTCCTCCAAAAATTCTTTCCAAGTTTCGAATGTTTTCTTGTTTTTTCTTCAAAAATTCTCATTCATTTCAATTTCATTATTGACTTTTTCTCTTTGCGGATTCGATTTGATTTTTTTCAGATTTCTTTTTTAAAAAACATTCAGAAACTAGATTAACCAGAATTTAAGCTGAATCTAAAGTTTAAGATGTTTTAGGATGAATCTAAAGTTCAAAGTTTTAAAGTTTCAAAATTTCAAAGTTTCAAAGGTGCAAAGTTTCAAAGTTTCTAATTTTCAATCTTTCAATCTTTCAAACTTTCAAACTTTCCTCTCAAATTTCTCTCAAGGCTCAAGCTTTCAAGAAGCTTTGCTTTCAATTTAAATCAACCAGAAAGCTAAAAGGTAATAGTTGAATTGGTTTTTTGGCGATTGAAAAAGTTTTCGATTAACGAGTTTGAATTTGTTTATATTTTGAAATTGTCAAAAGAAATCAAGAAAAAGAAAGAATTTCAGCTATCAATTAGTCAAAAAAAGAGAAAAGAAAAGTTGAAAAGTTTCTCTTTTTTGAACTTTTCAACAAAAATCAATAAACTTTTTTTCTTTATAATAATTTTGAAACATTTTTGCGGTAGGCTAATTTGCGCAACTGGGTCCTTTGCGAAACTCGCCATAACTTTCATCTAAGTCAATCAATCTTTATGCTTTTGGTGCCATTTTGTTGCACTTATTGAGATCTACAAAATGAAACCAAAAGCATAAAGATTGATGGACTTAGGAGAAAGTTATGGCCGAAAAAATTTGGCGCAAAGTAACCACCCGCATTTCTAGGTTCTGTGGCTTTTTGAATTTGTATTCAAATTGAATTTTATTTGTAGATCTAGTAGATCTCAATAATTGCAACAAAATGATACCAAAATCATAAAGATTGATTGACTTAGAAGAAAGTTATGGCAAGTTGCGTAAATGAACCTGTTGCGTAAATGATCCTAGTTGCGTAAATGACCCTATAACTTGTCATTAGTCTGTAAAAATATAGCAAAGTTGTGGGGTAGGCTACTTTGCGCCAAATTTTTTGCGCAACAGGGTCATTTGCGCAACTCGTCATAACTTTCCTCTAAGTCGTCCAATCTTTATGCTTTTGGTTTCATTTTGTTGCAATTATTGAGATCTACTAGATCTACAAATAAAATTCGATTTGAATACAAATTCAAACAGCCACAGAACCTAGAAATGCGGGTGGTTACTTTGCGCCAAATTTTTTGCGCCATAACTTTCTTCTAAGTCGGCCAATCTTTATGCTTTTGGTACCATTTTGTAGATCTCAATAAGTACAACAAAATGGCACCAAAAGCATAAAGATTGGCCGACTTAGAAAAAAAGTTATGGCGAGTTGCGTAAATGATCCAGTTGTGCAAATGATTCAGTTGCGTAAATGAGCCCAGTTGACCCAGTTGTTCAAATAAAATTGCGAAAATTCGCCTACCCCACGTTCTTTTAACCAAAAAAGGAAACTTTTTCGAGAATTTGAAAGTTTTCTGAAAACTTTTTGCTTTTTGTTTAGAGTTTAAAAGCTAACTATAAATTCTCTAATAGAATCCCGATAATGATGGAGTATTGTCGCGTAGTCTAACTTTAAACGCTCTGTTCTTCGGGCAGCTTTATGCTAGAGTGTGCGGGTGAATTTTATCTGATAGCCGATGAAAGCTAGAGGTTTTTTTTTGGTAAGAAGTTTCGGTAAGCAGTTTCGATAAGAAGTTCGAGATGTTCTAGTTGATTGGACGAGCGCTTTAAATCAATCACAAACACAAGCATGCTGGTGCGCTTGAAATGCTATATGATAGCCGTTGAAAAGCTGGTGCCAAAAAGTTTGAGGGGATCTAGAGTTGAGGGGATTTAGAGTTGAGGGGATTTAGAGTTGAGGGGATCTAGAGTTCAGGGGATCTAGAGTTCAGGGGATCTAGAGTTCAGGGGATCTAGAGTTCAGGGGATCTAGAGTTCAGGGGATCTAGAGTTCATGATTTCGTTGCTTTCATTTCAAAGAAAAACCTTTTTTGCATTTAACTTTCACTCTAAAAAGCTTTTCCTCATTTTTTTTCTTGTTGATTGCATCTATTGGATTGGGGAGAATGAGTCGGCGCCGAAATTTAAAGAAACTTTTTGCACCCATAAAACCTTCTTTAAATACACATCAAAATTTTCATCAAAATGGTCCACTATTTCTTTACAAAATGGCTTTTGAGAGATTCCACAAAGCTTTTCTTTTTTTGGGATTTTATGGATTCCCAAACACAGCTAATCAAAATGACAAAAAGTGCGACTCATTGTTGGAACAGTTTCTTCCACATAAACCCCCTTTGGTGTTTATATAAAAAAGATAGAGCACACTCAATTACATAAGTTACCAAATTTTCAGGAAGATCCCTCCAACCGTTTACTCTAGATGACAGTTTATCGATTTTGTGAAAAAAATGATCCTTTGTTGAGTTGAGGCGCTGTTTGAGTTCTCTTTTAAATATTATTTTGTAGAGAATTCGTTACCCTTCGACGGATATCAAACGCATATCATTTGACAAAGTCTGCTATAAGTTTTGGAAATTTCTTTGATTTTCATTCGCGCCGACTCATTCTCCCCAACCCAATCGTTGATTGCACGAGCGCTTTGAAGTCACTCACAAACACAAGCATGCTGGTGCGCTTGAATGCTGTATGATAGCCGAGCATAGCTAGTGTTTTTTTGGTGCCAAAAAGTCGTTGAGAAGAAAATGATTCTCTGAAAAGAGAAGGGGATTTCCGTTATCATTTCGTTGTTTCTATTTCAAAGAAAAACCTTTTTGTTGCATTTAACTTTCACTCTAAAAACTCTAATCCTCATTTTTTTTTCTGTGTAAAAAGAAGAGATTCGAAAGTTTCTCGAGTGAAATTTCGAATCGGTAATTCTTTTTTTGTGTGTGGCTTTACTTTAAAGATGAATTTCCCACCAAAACAATTAAACGGCTGAGTATCTTTAAAAAGTGTCTTATATAATGCGGGGCTCGTGATTTTTGCGTCATCGTCAAAGTATTGTTTTTTGGTTTTTTTTTGTTTTTTTTTGTTTTAAACGATTTTTGCTTGATTCTAGAATACTTTTAGCTTGTTTATTAGTTTTTAAATTAAACTTTTATTATATTTTTACCATTTTTATAGCTTTATATTGTGATGTGAGTTTCTGAGTCGATCTTTTAACAATGTGGACCTCGGAAGAAGTACAAAAGAAAGCCGCATGGGCGTTGACGCTCGTTGGATTGATCTCGATGTTCAATGGAGCGATTGCGTCGGCTTACGAGGCTGAGAAAAACTATGATATAGGTAAAACATGTACTGTAATTAGCCAACTTTTAAGACACCGGCTTTTCTAAGCATTCTAAGCATTCTAAGCATTCTAAGCCTTCTAAGCATTCTAAGCTTCTAAACATTCTAAGCCTTCTAAGCATTCTAAGCCTTCTAAACATTCTAAGCATTCTAAGCATTCTAAGCATTCTAAGCTTTCAGGACAGCACACCAGCCGCTTTTCTAAGCTCTACCGCTCTTTTAACAGTGAAAGCTTCATTAAAATAGAATTTTCAGAGCATTTCATCAACACTCACTGGATCACGTGCATTCAACTCTTCTCCGGTTTAGCCTTTCTGTTGCAGGAGAGGAAGTGGGTGTTTGTGGAAAGAAATCTTGAAATCCTTGGAAAGATCAAAAAATCCCCCTCAACGGGACCCGAACCACCGACCTTTCGCTTAAAAACCAACTGGGCTAACCACTACACCACAGGCAATTGATTTCCCTTGCTTCAGAAGGAGTTAAGTGTATGCTAGCCGCAGAATATACACTTACAATTGCAAAGACATGCAATGTACTAAAAGGATTCGCAGGTGTTTTAGGGCTCCTTTTTGGGGCCGAGTCGCATTGGGGCCGTGGCCGAGAGGATAATCGCTTGGTTACCGATCAGGGTTCGGGGTCGTTGGGGTCGGGGTTCGACTCCACTGTACGCAAAAAATGATTTTTTTGATTTCAAATCATTTTCCTAACAACTTTATTTAAAGATTCTATTGAATATACTAATTGATTCTTGAATTGAATTGAATTTTATTGAATCTACGAATTCTAAATACAAAAGTTGTCCATAAAATAAGGATTTGTTCGATTCTTGAAGATTTGGTCGATTCAAAATGACACCAAAATCATAAAGATTGATCGACTTCAAAGATTTGGTCGATTCTTGAAGATCCACTTAGGTTTGAGCCGATTCCGAGCTTCAACTTCAAGCTCAACCCTTTTTTACAAGTGTAAATCCTTTCTTCAAACGATAGGAAACCTTTTAGATATGCTGGATCAGCTTCTAAGCTTCTAAGCCTTCTAAGCCTTCTAAGCCTTCTAAGCATTCTAAGCATTCTAAGCCTCTAAGCCTTCTAAGCCTTCTAGGCGATTCCTAGCTTCAACTTCAAGCTCAACCGTTTTTTACAAGTGTAAATCCTTTCTTCAAAGCATAGGAAACGTTTAGATATGCTGGATCAGCTTGTATGACGCTTTCGGTGCACTCTATCTCGCTTGTCATCTCATTGTGTGCTGTTGTGGCCGATTTTTCGAATCTTCTTTATTTGCTTACAAATCGAAAGGAGCGTGAATTCGTGAGTGCTAGCTGATTTCAGAAAAACCCCAACTTTCTTGTAATATTAAAATAAAATTTTGAAACTGAGCTTTAACTCTATCATTTTTCTATATTGAATGAATTGAGGGTAAACCGGACAAGCGTCAAGCACGAATGATCAGCTATTGTGGAGTGGACACGGTGCTGTCATTGACGGCAATACCGCTCAATTATTTGATCGTCAACAGCATTTTAGCGCTTGACAGGACGTGTGAGAGTCGGGTGAGTTGCAGAAATCAAAATAAGCCGGCTAAGTCGATCAAAAGACAACAAATTCCTTGTCGACAGAGCCAACAAACAGCACAAAGAAGACTAGGCAACATTTCTTGAAAAAAGCAAAAGATAAGGCTGAAGCGGGGATCGAACTTGTGTGGTCTCGCTCTAGAAGCGAACGCTTTACCACTTGGCCACCACTGTAATGTGGTCTGGTCACGAGAAGACCGTTAAGACTCAAATGGTCACAACTTTAGATGTTTTTGGCTATCTTAAGATGCTTTTTTGGCTCAAATGATCACAACTTTAGACGCTAACTCTTTGTAGATTGTCATTTAGCAAAAACGGAATACATATTTGGAATCAGCATTAAATTCTGCGCATGATATAGGATTTGGTTTTGAGCTTTCCTTGGGAACTTTAGCCGTATCAGTAGCTTTAGTTTGTAGTGATAGTTTATAGTTTTAACTATAGTTTGTACGAGTAGAAATATCATTTGAGTACACTATAGTTACACTACAGTTCAACTATAGTTACACTTACAAATAGTCTTAATAAAGAGGTGAAGGAATTGGCGATAAAGTAGATTCCGGAGAGGTGATTGAACCCTCGATCCTCTATCTGCATACAGGTAATTACTCTGTCTGTTCACTGAGCTTCCGGTATCTTGATTTGTTAAGAGAAAGAAGGAAAGATAAGGGGGAGGAAGAAGAAAGAAGGAAGAAGAAGGATGATGGAACACTGAGCTTCCGGTGCCTTGATTTGCTAAGAGAAAGAAGGAAAGCTAAGGGGGAAGAAGGAAAGACAAGGGGAAGAAGAAAGAAGATGAAAGAAGAAGAAAGAAGAAGAAAGAAGATGGAGGAAGAAGAAGGAAGAAAGAAAGAAATAGCCAAGTTCACAAAGCTAGACTTTAGGTGTCCTTTCTGCTGAGATATCAATTCTTTAGTGTATCCGCCTTCTCATCCTTGGCACGATGCAAATCGTGCTCTCCGTTTTCAAATTGTGCGCTTATTTCATGGAGATATGGGCGATGCGAAAGGCAAAAGAGGTAGAGGCAAAGAGGCAAAAGGCAGCTTAAACATACAATAATATACTAGACAAATCCCAGGACCAAATTTCAATTCAATCTAGTAGCTTGATACTGTAGCTTATTGTAGCTGTAGCTTATCGATCTGTAGCTATTGTAGCTGTAGCTATCTGTAGGTCTAGCTATCTGTAGATCTAGCTTACTGTAGCTGTAGCTACCTGTAGCTATCTGTAGCTGTAGCTATCTGTAGATCTAGCTTACTGTAGCTATGGGAAAAGTTCAGGGTCGTCTTCTCTTCATCAACTACACTCTCGACGAGCCGGTGTGGATCGTGATTTGTGTGCTTTGTGGTGTGTTAGTGTTGATCTTCGCGTTCTGTAGTATGGCTTTCTATAGCTATGGCTTTCTGTAGCTATGGCTTTCTTGTCGGCCACTGAATCGGCCACTGAACAAGTCGGCCACTGAATTCATGACCAAATATAATAGCTAAATAGATCCAAGGGAAATCAAGCCCAGATCCAAGGGAAAACAACCTAGAGAAGGCCAGAAATCAGACCAGAATCCGACTCTGGCTCTATCCAAACCCAAAGCCAGGTAAAAGGCTGATTCCCAGTGTTTCAGGTGTGATGTGCGTGCTCGCCTCGCGTGGTACTCGTCTCCTCCGCTATGCCTCGCTCGCAATCGCGTCGATCTCGATTTTACCCTCGATTTTCTACCTCTGGCTTGACTATCGCTGGTACACGAGCGTCATCTTTTTGCAGAAAGTGAGCTTGACTTTTGGTCTTCTGGCTTTGGGTATTCTTGGCCAAGGATCTTCGATATAGAGAAAGGCTAGATGTCTAAAAATCACTCTGCAAACTGGCCAGAGATTATATTATTCTAAATCGTTGAATAGAGGAGATTTCAGGCTTTAGAATGATATCAAAAGGAGCCTGATTCATCTAGAAGATCATAGAGAAATTAGGATTGAAAAAATGGGCATAGTGACGTGAAAAGGTGCTCAAAAGCAGTCCAAAAAAAAGTGAAAGCTGCTCTCCCTCTTAGGACTCTTACCCCAGAGCCGTTTGCCAGATTGAAAGCGATTACAGGAACAAGTAAAGAACACTTTTGACAGAGGATTCTTTTGGTTTGAAAATGGTTTAAAACGAAGATTTAGCTTAGAAATTTGTCCCCAAGGGTTTTCAAGGACAGTGAATCCATTGGCAAGGTTTATTTTCATCGTTTTTTTGTGAAATTCCTTCAAAATTCCTTCCTAAAAATGGTTAATCGTTTAGCCAAACAGAGCCAAGCACTATTCACCTCTACAGTGCTACAGATCAACTAAAATTGTAGTACTATAGACGTACTGTAGTAGTCCTAAAGTACTAAAAAACGATTTAAAGAAGAATTTCCAGAACGCGACTGATCACATGCCGAGAATCCCGTTGGTCTGGCTTTTCGGCTTCAGTTTTATTCATATCGGCGTGCTGATCGCGTCCGTATTGGCAATCTTTCAATTGGTATGAAAAATATTGTTTAAGTAAAAGACTGCATCTATTTATCTACTATATAAAGGGACTAAGACATCTGTCTGTCTGCCCGTCTGTCTGTCCTTCTGTCTGCCCGTCTGTCCGTCCGTCTGTTCGCCTGATTGTCCGTCTGTCTCTCTGTCTGTCCGTCTGGTTGTCCGTCTGTCCGTCCGTCTGTCCGTCCGTCTGTCTGTCCTTCTGTCTGCCCGTCTGTCCGTCCGTCTGTTCGTCTGATTGTCCGTCTGTCTCTCTGTCTGTCCGTCTGGTTGTCCGTCTGTCCGTCCGTCTGTCTGTCCGTCTGTCTGTCCTTCTGCCTGTCCTTCTGTCTGTCCGTCTGTCCGTCTGCCTGTCTGCCTGTCTGTCCGTCCGTCTGTCTGTCCGCCTATCCGTCTGTTCATCTGCCTGTCCGCCTGTCTGTCCGTCTAGTTGTGCGCGCAACTCCTCAACTCTGAATGGACCGTTTGCAATGAACTCTACGCCGTTGAATAGAGAATTCAATGTAGTTGTGCAGTGTTTTTGAATTTTTTAAAAAGCACAATTCGAGTCGCATGGGAAGGTGGAACCCGGATCGTATGGGTGATAGATGGGCGCGCTATCCACTGCGCCATGACGACAAAAGCCGTTATTCCAGAAAAACCCGCTGTTAGGCGGGTTTCCCAGCTGCTCTACTCTAGAGTATCCGTTTCCAGGTGACTTCTCGTAACCGCAGCACTCAGCTGTCCTTCGTCCGCATCTTCTCTATATGCAGCTTTCTTTTCTTGGTGCTTGCCGGGCTGATCTTTTTAATTGACTTGTACGCGTTGGCAAATCAGGTATACTGGATTTTTATCTTAGAGAACTGTTTCAACATCAACATCAGCTCAAAAACCCTCAAGATTGTAAAGAACCACGTGTTTTACAATATATTTCATTTATATAATTAAAAGACTTCAAATATATAACGATATTAACACTTTAGAATACTTATAAATGGTTTTTGTAACTTAGCAAACAAGTTTAAAAAAGTTTTGACAGTGAGGGGAATTGAACCAGGGTCGATCGGAACGAGGAGCCAGCCTACTATCCCTTCGGCCATTGAGGTGCTTTTGGACGGGGAAACAAATTCGCCTGTATATCGCGGCGGCGTCGTTTTTGCTTACCCAAAATTCAAAAGAGAGAAATTTGTATACTTAACTCTCTTTGGAGTAAGAGAAGGCGTTGCGTTGTGGTCTAATGGTTAGCAAAGTTGGCTGGTAAGCGGAAGGTCCCGGGTTCGAGTCCCGCCAGGTCAAAAGTTTTTCCATCTGCTCTATTTGCGACTGGCAATTAGATCCCTCTGGATTAAGGGGAGCAGGTGTTTTGTGGTGTAATGGTTAGCAAAGTTAGCTGGTAAGCGAAAGGTCGCGGGTTCGAGTCCCGAAGGGGCAAAAGTTTTTTGATCTGCCCTTCGAACAATATTGGTTTGAGTCAAAAATTGAGAAACAGAGGTTTTTTGCCTAAAATCATTGACGATTCAGGTTTTCTACCGTATTTTCCACGGCTCTGAGCAAAAAGCGCCGTTTCTCTTGTTGTTGTGCTCGATTTTCGCAATTCTCTCGATCAATCCCACTTTTTCCGCGTTTTCTTTACCATCTTGGCAAGTTGATAGTAAAATAACTGTAATCAGTTAAAAAGGAGTGCCTAAGCCCTACAGTAGCCCTACAGTAACCCTACAGTAACCCTACACGAACCCTACAGTAACCCTACAGCAACCCCACACATCCCTGTGCTTTGTGCTCTAGATAAACGCGGACTCTCTGGCACACTTGATATCTCTAGTCTAACAGAAAGCTTTCCAAAGAGCCTCCAGACAACTAAAAAACCCTGAGATTTCTACCGTAACCTGAAGCAATGAATCACCGGGTTACGGTAGCTAATAGTTTTGTAGCTTCTCTAAAACTTGCCCCATAAACAGATTAAAGCCGACGACTGTAGCTAAACTAACAACAACTTGTAGACACTTGTAGCTAAAGAAGCTAAACTATTGTAGCTTGCTGTAGCGTTGCTACAAGTTACTGTAACTCGAAACAAATTTTAGCCTTACCGTCTGCCTTCTCACGGTGAAAAGCACGATTTTCTTACTCATCTCCTATTGCTATTTGACGTACAAAGGGTGAGCTCAGCTTTTAAAACTAAGTCTGAGCCTGAGCCTGAGCCAGAGCCTAAGCCTGGGCCGGAACCTGAGCCTGAGATTAAGCCTGAGCCTGAGCCTAAGCCTGAGCCTGGGCCTGAGGTTAAGCCTGAGTCTAAGCCTAAGCCTAAGCCTAAGCCTAAGCCTAAGCCTGGGCCAGAGCCAGAGCCTGAGTCTAAGCCTGAGCCTGAGCCAGAGCCTGAGCCTGAGCCTAGGCCTAAGCCTGAGCCTAGGCCTAAGCCTGAGCCTAGGCCTAAGCCTGAGCCTAGGCCTAAGCCTGAGCCTAGGCCTAAGCCTGAGCCTAGGCCTAAGCCTGAGCCTAGGCCTAAGCCTGAGCCTAGGCCTAAGCCTGAGCCTAGGCCTAAGCCTAAGAATCCATAGCCAACTGGTTAAGAGCTTTGTATCTTAGTCAGAAGGTCAAGGCTTCAATCTCATTAGCTAGATTATTCTAATAAATGTTTTCCTTTTTAAAAATAGATAAAATGAAAGAACAACAAGCAATTTCAGATATTTTCGTGAACAACTTGGTGATTTATTGTTGAATTATGATGCCAAAGGCTCAGAAATTGTGACCACAGGTTTCTAAGAGATTAATACTTTCGTAAAATCTAAATTACATTTGAAATATGGCTTAAAACGTCACCTTTACCTCTAAATAGACAAACCTAACCCCTAAATAGACATCGATTACAAATGTTGAACTTTAAAAGCTTCTATTTTCTTTTAAATCTATCGAATTTCTATGATCTATAGCTTAAAAAATAGAGAATTTCAAGGGCTTTCTAATGATCTAGAGCACATTTAAAAAGATCAATTCTAAAGAAAGTTACAGCGGTTGAATCGAAGTGGGCCGTACTCGCGCGTAGCCAACCCTACAAATCACTGTAACTTTCTTTAGAATTGATCTTTTTAAATGTGCTCTAGATCATTAGAAAGCCCTTGAAATTCTCTATTTTTTAAGCTATAGATCATCGAAATTCGATAGATTTAAAAGAAAATAGAAGCGTTTAAAGTTCAACATTTCGTCATGACTATTTCTAGGTGGCGTCCTTTTGCACACCGTTGAGGCATTGATCCATCTCATCGCCGCCACTTCAGCCATTTTCCTCACCACGGTCATTATGAGGTGGGCTAAAGTTACCGACTACCAAGCTGGCTTACCAAAATATCAAAATATTCGAATCTTTTCAGAATAGCCCATTTGCGAAAGGAGACAAACGCAGTGGACATTCAGTTGAACACAAAGAAGTACCAGGCGTTGCTAAGAGTTTGTTTTCAACGGGACTGTATTACTGTAGCCTATTGGGGCAAGAGTTAGCCAAGGGTTAGATTAGAGGCCAAGATCTAGTCTAGGATTACTGTAACAGGTCAAGCTCTAGTCTAGGGTTACTGTATCAGGCTATGATCTAGTCTAGGGTTACTGTATCAGGCTATGATCTAGTCTAGGGTTACTGTATCAGGCCAAGATCTAGTCTAGGATTACTGTAACAGGCCAAGTTCTAGTCTAGGGTTACTGTAGCCGGCTATGATCTAGTCTAGGGTTACTGTAACAGGTCAAGCTCTAGTCTAGGGTTACTGTAGCCGGCTATGATCTAGTCTAGGGTTACTGTAACAGGCCAAGATCTAGTCTAGGGTTACTGTATCAGGCCAAGCTCTAGTCTAGGGTTACTGTATCAGGCCAAGGTCTAGTCTAGGGTTACTGTAGCCGGCGTCAACATTAAATCAGATCTAGTACTGTAGCCAAGAAAACGCACGGTCATTATACATTAAATTACATTAAGCCAAAACTAAATCTTGGCCTGATACAGTAATCGTAGGCTCTTGTCCGAATGGGTAAATAAAAATACAAATAAAATTTTCAGTGGATTGGTGTCGTGGATGCATGCGGATCATTTATAATTCTCGCGAGCACGATTTACAGTTTTGCCGGTAGCAGGTAGCACTAAAGCCAACACAAAACAAAGCTACAAAGAGTCATTCAGCGAAACGATGCATCCACTGATCATCATTTTTCATTTTCTCTATCATATTTCATTGGCAATTTCATTGATTATTTTCCCATTGTATCAGGTAAGTGAAAGTAAAAGGAAGAAGGAAAGGAAGAAGGAAAGGAAGAAGGAAAGGAAGAAGGAAAGGAAGAAGGAAAGGAAAAGGGGAAAGGAAAAGGGAAAGGAAGAAAGGAAAAAGGCAAGGAAAAAAAACTATTATAAGAAGATTTCTTCTATAAAAACACTACACTATAAAGCTAGTAAAAATTAGTTACTACTCAAATTTGTATACTATTTCACTTCATCAATCAAACGCCATCCTTCTACCGTAATCCTATAGTAGTTATAAGTTACCTAAGCTACCTAAGCTACCTAAGCTACCTAAGCTACCTAAGCTACCTAAGCTTCCTAAGCTTCCTAAGCTACCTAAGCTTCCTAAGCTTCCTAAGCTTCCTAAGCTTCCTAAGCTTCCTAAGCTTCCTAAGCTTCCTAAGCTTTCAAAAACCTTTTGAAAAATCCTCGTTGAATGGAAATTTATCAAATATCAAAAATCTAGAGCCGATCTCCAACGAAATCCTTTTAGATTTGTGTCTCCGAGCGTATCCACGAGATTCCGATCGCCCGGCACACGCTTCTCATCCTAAGCGCTATTCGCTTTTTCTCGGTGAGCTTTAAAGAATCTGCATTGCTGGCGAAAAGGCAAACGTTTATCTTTATCTAAAACCAGCTAAAAAACCTAACATCGGGTTTTTGTCTGGCTCCGTGCAGATGGATTCTATTTTCTTCACCACTAGAGGAATCAAAACCGTCACCTTTCTCACTCAAAAAGTGAGAAAAACAAAGAAAGCAGAAAGCAAAGAAAGATTGCATCGGGCAGGGATCGAACACAAGACTAACCGAGCCTAACGTTGCTCAACTTGGCAGATCGGACGCTGGGACGTACTACCTGCCAAAAAGATAGACAGATAGACAGACAGATAGACAGATAGACAGATAGACAGACAGCCAGACAGACAGACAACCAGACAGACAGACAGATAGATAGACAACCAGACAGACAGACAGCCAGACAGACAGACAACCAGACAGACAGACAGATAGACAGACAGATAGACAGACAGATAGATAGATAGATAGATAGACAAACAGACAGACAGATAGACAAACAGATAGATAGACAGATAGACAGACAGACAGACAGCCAAATAGACAGACAGATAGACAGACATACTCTCTCGCTTATAATAAGTAGAATAGGATGTTTGTTTTTCTAGATTTTAACCCAATTGGACTATCGGGGGATTGGTGACGATTTCTATTACACTTGGCAACTCCATCATTTCGTTGAAATCGCCTCAATGTTCGGCTGTTTCTTCTCGACAATCTTGGTGCTGCGAATCGAGAAGTGAGTCGACTTTGAATATGAAAATGATTGACAAACATTGCCATTGCCACAATTTTATTATAATTATGAAAGTGAAGGGTAATCTTTTTCGTAAAGATTGCGCTTTTAAAGAGAGCTGAGACTTAGGGTAGTTTTTTTTTTTTGAGTCACATTCAAATTCAAAATTGTGTAGCATTCATTTAGTCACAATTATTCTAAAAAAAAAGAAACCTACATTTGATGTTTGCTTAAAAAAAAAGACAAGATTAAGGTATTCTGGTTTTCTGGCTTCTGGCTTAGTCTTTCTAAAAGTAAACTAAACTTTTCACTTTGCATTCAATCAAATACAAACTTTCTTTCAGTTTAATCAATCCGCTTGTGTTGAACGAGAATTTCGGTGTGATGGAGTTCGACAATCCGCTAGCGGGCGAGCTTGAATCAAGCAATTTCTCTGAGGGATACATTCAGTTAAGACAAGAGGAATCAATCTCATGAATGAAAAACAAAAAAAAAAAAAAACAAATTGCCTTTGTTGTATAAAAATAAAGTATTTACAAAGAAAATCTATGTATATTTTATCAAAAAAAAAATACTATTTGATGGATTAGATATAAAAAGAAAAAGAAAGCAGCAGGATAAGGCAAAAGAAAGGCAAAAGAAAGGCAGAAGAAAGCCAAAAAGAAGGCAAAAGAAAGGCAAAAGGAAGGCAGAAGAAAGGCAAAAGAAATCCAAAAGAAAAAGGAATTACCGTATTCTCTCTAATAGTGCACCCAGCCGAGTTGATGACTATTTTCCAGTTTCAAAGTTTTCGCAGAAGCTCAACACTCTAATCCCCCAAAAGATCTCATCGTCAGCTACATTTTCCGATCTCAAATCGATAGGTTCTGATAAACGGTTCTCGAGATTTCGAGTAATTCAGGGAAAGCTCAGCACTACTATTAGAGAGAAATTTAAGGCAAAAAAAACTAATTCAAACCTATGCTTTAAAGATAAAAGTATCTAAACAAACAACGAAAAACGAAAAAAAAAAAAACAAAACTAACAACTCTAAAATAACAATACTTTAAAATTTGACTTTAAATCTATTTTTCATTAAATGTACAATAGTCTAATAAAATCTAAACTAAGAAAGCAAAAGAAAAAAAACATAATGACAAATCTAAAATCTAAAAAAAATTGGCTTCGATCGAGTTTAATGGAGAATAGAAAAGAATAGAATAGAATAGAATACAATAGAATACAATAGAAAACGACTATTCATTTCTATTTAGCACTAAACTTACCCTAATCCAAGGTTAACAAAAGGCAAAAAAAAAATATCTAAACGAATACTTGCTATAGATCCAAAAAATATTGATAAATCAAAAAAAAATGGCTAAGATCGAGTTTAGTGTATGACTATTCGTTTCTATTTCGCAAAAAAAAGCTTATCACAATCGCTAAGGCTAGACAAAAAAAAAATGAATCCAATCACCGTTTCATCGTTGATGGCTTGAAGCACTTGTTCGAGTAACGATCCGGATACATATGCACGAGGAAGAAATGTAGCATGATTGATGAAAGACCCCATAAACGAATCTCCGACATTGACGGAACGAAAGAAGCGGGTGATGAGGCATAGATCTGGAATGGGAAAAGATATGGAGTGAATGACTAGCATTCGACGAGTCAGATTTACGGGTTTCCTATCCGAATCTGAAAGAGAATCCAGTAAAAGCTAGAGAGTAATCCTCTATTTATCTAATACAGTCAAAAGTCGTTAGTGAACGATGGAAGAGGATCCTAAAAATTCTAAATCCTAAAAGGATCTTAAATCCTAACAAACAAATAAACAAATAAACAAATAAACCTGAAAATTTCGTATTCGAAAAATGGGCATCGTGTATAGGATTTTCTTATCGCAAAACGTTGTGAACTCGGTGGAAGCGACGAGTTCATCAATTGATGCCGAAAAAACGGAATCCACCTGAAAGAAAAATTGTGAGTTTTTAAGATAAAAAAATCATTAAAAAAAACCTCATCAAAATTCGGTTTAATCTTCTGCAGATGCTCTTCTTGAATCTCACCAACAACTGGAGTGACAAAGCTCGCCGGTTGTCTTGTGGGAATCGATTGTAAATGACCCCAAACATCGACAAGCGATCGAGAGATACCAATCTAAAACGAAAACTTTATAGAAATAACTTAAAAAGATCTAAAAACCTTTTTAGAAAGCTTTTAGAAAGCTTAAAAAGATCTAAAAAGCTTTTAGAAAGCTTTTAAAAAGCTTAAATTTCTCTTTTTAACATGACTTATTGTGATTTTTGATATTTTCTTGAGAAAATGCTTTTTGAATTTGAAAAATGAACTAATAAAATGAAGATAAATCCTTAAATAGGTCTAGAAATTTGTAAGAAAAATGAGTAACATTTGATAATTTAGTTGTTAAAGTCAATATTTTCAATTCTTTTACCTCTTCTTCGAGTTCTCGAATGGCCGCTTCGTCAACGGTTTCATTTTCATCGGCTCGTCCACCCGGGAAACATACTTCACCGCGATGCGCCTTCAAAAGCATTGATCTAAAAGATTCAAATTGTTATCTAATAGTAAAAAAAAATGCGGTGCTTTTACTAGCACCTCAAATAATCTAAATATTGATCTATTAGGTTGATGCATAAGTCTTTTCGTTCCTTTTCGTCTGCCGTTTCAAGCCAACAAATGCACCAATTAAACTACGGTTGATTTCATTAGAAAAACCAATTATTTTTTCTGCAAAATAACATTAAAACGGGTTTAAAAATATTGAATGCCTGGATTTTCTTGAGAGTATGAAGTCGGGTAGTCAAAAAGGGCTAACTCGATGATGCGGTTTAGACACCTTAGCTAAAGAAAAACTATCTTCGTGTCAATAGATAAAAGATAGAGAAAAAAAACGTTTGATATTTCGCCAAAATTTCAGAGAAATTCATTCAGCCAATTTTTCCGCAGAGTTTTTTTATAGATTCTTACGAAAAAGGTGTTTTTCACTCTCGAATTTGCTTGAAAGTGAAGCGAAATTGATTTAAAAAGATGGAAATTGAACAAAAAAAAAAACCATTTTTTTATAGAGCAAACTATAGATTAATTGGTGAATTTGTTACTTTTTAACAGAAGTACGAAAAAAACGAAAACACTTATGCATCAACCTAATAAAAAAACATTAATCTAAACAAGAGCCTAATAATATTTTATTCCACAAGCCTAATAATATCAGTAAGCTATTTAAATATACAATTTATTCCACAACTTTTTAAAGCATTGATCTAAAAGATTAAAATAAAAAAAATTTGTGGAATTTGTTTTGAAATTAAAAATTAAAAATTTGCCAAATGACTTGGTGGACGCATAAAAACTTGATTTTACTTTATACTTTTAAACAATGAATTCTTGGCTATCCTATAAAGGTATCAAACTAATAGCTATCGTAATATTTGACTATCTACTATATATAATTCTATTAATAAAGAGGCTAAAAATTACTGGCGCTATAACGTTTCATTCAAAAGAGTCTAAATTGATCGAAATATGTCGTGCACCCACTGCATCATCGGTCACCTAGAATGCTTTCAAGCTTTAACGGTATTTTTGGCGTAAAGTCGCGTAGTCGTTACAGTTCTATTGATAATTTGGTGTTTAATAAACTCTATTAATAAAGAAAATTTGATTCTAAAGATGAGATTGAACCCTCAATCTTTTACTTAACGGGCAATTGCTCTACCATTGAACTATTTAGAGCTCTTTACCAAGAGAAAGAAGGGAATATAAGGAAGGAAGGAAGGAAGAAAGGAAGGAAGAAAGGAAGGAAGAAAGGAAGGAAGAAAGGCAACGAACCGTTTCGTGAAAAGAATCGAATCTCCGTGATTTCTCATTGCAACGAGTGGGATGATCACAGCCGACGAGGAAGAGGAAGAGGAAGAGGAAGAGGCTGCTTTTTGAAGGTGCCGCGTTGGACTTGACGGAGGATCGCTTGTCATTTGGCCTAAAATAAAACTGTCGTACTTCTAATCGAAGTTTTATGTTATTTAGTTTCATTTAGCTAGTAAATCCAATTCTTAAACGAGCTTTTTTTTCTAAAGTTTTTGTCGTTTCTCGATATTATTAGGCTTTTGTTTAGATTAATGTTTTTTTAGATCAATATTTAGATTTAGATTATTTGAGGTGCTAGTAAAAGCATTTTTTTTGCGCCAAAATCCTTTGCGCTAAATTTACACCTATGAAAATCACTGTAACAAATCACTTTTTCCCAACGTCTAAACAACTTTTTTCAGTTTTCTGCTTCACAATTTTGGTTCTCACTGTTTTCAATTAGAAAAAAACACGTTTAAATACCTATCAAGACCCCAAAAACAGTCATTTTTGTGTCCCCGATTGAGCTTTTTACTTTCTATATAGTTTTTATGCCATTTTCAAATCTGGTGAATGCGGTAAAATAGCGAGCATTGTCAACAAGGAAAAACTGAAACAAATATATGTTGTGTCCGATTTAGATTTCCGTCCGATTTAGATTGAATCTAAATCGGACGTCCGAAGATTGAATTTCGCGGACGTCCGATTTAGATTACAGTCTATATCGGACGTCCGATTTAGATTCAATCTAAATCTTATATGGATTGAACAATAATATAAACATGCTTAATATATGTTCTTAAGCGTTTTCTGTAGTTTTCTGCATTTTTCAAAGGTCTTTTATTGATTACAGTCTATATCGGACGTCCGTACGATCGAACAATAATAAACGTGCTTAACATATGTTCTTTGAACGCGAAAGCAAAAACGCAAGAACATATATAGCTTATAGTTCGATCTGTATCGGACGTCCGATATAGACTGTAATCTAAATCGGACGTCCGCGATAAGTTCAATCTAAATCGGACGGAAATCTAAATCGGACACAACATATATATATATAAATGGTCAATCAGAATTGGTAGGAAAGTGTGTTGAAAAGCGCAAATTTGGCACAAAGGAAACGCAAACGTGGCGCAAATGATTGGCGCAAAGGAAGCGTGGCGCAAATGATTGGCGCTAATGAAACGTGGCGCTAATGAAATGTGGCACTAATGAAATGTGGCGCAAATGATTGGCGCTAATGAAACGTGGCACTAATGAAATGTGGCGCAAAGGAAACGTGACGCAAATGATTGGCGCTAAAGAAACGTGGCGTAAATGATTGGCGCTAACGAACGTGGTGCAAAGGAAACGTGGCGCTAATGAAACGTGGCGCTAATGAAACGTGGCGCAAGGGAAGCGTGGAGCTAATGAAACGTGGCGAAAAGGAAGCGTGGCGCAAATGATTCGCGCTAATGAAACGTGGCACTAGTGAAATGTGGCGCAAAGGAAGCGTGGCGCAAATGATTGGCGCTAATGAAACGTGGCACTAATGAAATGTGGCGCAAAGGAAACGTGACGCAAATGATTGGCGCTAATGAAACGTGGCGCAAGGGAAGCGTGGAGCTAATGAAACGTGGCGCAAGGGAAGCGTGGAGCTAATGAAACGTGGCGAAAAGGAAGCGTGGCGCAAATGATTCGCGCTAATGAAACGTGGCACTAATGAAACATAGCGCAAATAATTTAGCGCTTTTGCTAGCACCTCGATTAAAAGAATTATTTAAACAATCCTTTAGTCCTTTTTTTTAAAAATTTCAATCTCAAAAGCCACTCACCAACACTCGTTTTCGTCGACGGAACATCCAGATGAGCGGTCGGATCATTCGATAACTGAAAAAAAACAAAAGTAAATCATAAAGATAATACAGTTAAAGTTGCTAAAAATATCAAAAAAAACTATCAAATTTCAACAGAAAATTCATCAAAAAGCACTAAAATCATAAAATTATCAGAAAAAGAATGTTTTTTTTTCACTGAAAATTCACTGAAACTCTACATTTTAATCCGAAAAACGAAGTGAAATGATCATTTTTGCATAGTTTAAACAAAGCTTTTCAAGAATTTTCAAGAATTTTCAAGAATTTTCAAAAAATTTCTCAAAGAAACCTGTCTAAATCTTCTTTTCGCCTCCTCACTAAAGTGTCGTTTCGTCGAATTTCGGCTACTGCAGAGGCGCATTGCTAGAAAATCCTCAAATATGATTGGGTTGATGGAAAAGTCCTTTCCGATTTTTTTTTTGGGAGATTACCTTAAATTTGTCCAATTTTGACGTTTTATAGCTCATCCTAAAGCTGAATTTCACGACGATTTATCATTTTTTTTGATGTTTTTGAGAAAAACGAAGGAAAAACGCAAAAAGCCGCGGAAAGGCTATTGATCTGAGGGTCGCTGGGTCGACTTCTACCGGTGACAATATTTTTCAAAAATTTTTTGCTAAGATTCTGAAAATGCGTGTCTAGGGGTTATTTTTGACGCCGATCACGAAACACATGTTTTTAGCCTAGGTTTCTGCACGGAAAACTAACGAAACGTGAAAAGAGCAATTTTTTTTTTGGCTATGCCGCCCTTTACTAAAATAGCTGTAAAAACTTTTCGGGAAGAGATATCTCAAAACGGTTTTTACCAATCGATCCGTCGTGAAATTCAGCTTTAGGATGAGCTATAAAACGTCAAAATTCGACAAATTTAAGGTAGTCTCCCAAAAAAATCGGAAAGGACTTTTCCATCAACCCAATACATCAAAATACAGTAATCTAGCTAACAAATATCTCTAAATTAACGAAAAACAAAATAAAACATTAAAATTTAAATCAAAATCGCAAAAAACAACAAAAAACATTAAAAAAAAACCACAAAAATTCATATAGTGCATTATAGAATTTCACAAAAACCGAAAAAAAAAGAAAAACGCATATTTGCTGTTTTCTAAACGGTGCCCTTTTCGGGGAAAATTATTAATTAAGCTTTATGATTAAATATTTATTAATTTCAATAATTTAATTAATTTTTCGTTAATAATTTATTACATATCACATATTGCACAAAATTTTTTTCATTATTGAAAATGAGAATGAGAAAAAACGTGAAATTTTGCGATGAAAATCCCGTTAAAGGCACCAGGCGAAGGGGAAAACACTTTGAATTGCTGAAATTTTTGAAATTGATTTCTATCGTAGCCGTTTACAAAATTCAGCCGCTAACAAATGATTCGTTATCGGCTAGCCGTATTTAGGAATGTAATTTTTCGTTAGCCGTTTACGAATCATTCATTAACGGGCTAGCCACTAACGAATTTGTTTGTTATAAACGTTAGAAATTTTATTTAACTTTTTCTGATTTGTTTGCTGATTTGTGTTTTGTATAAATAGTTTGAAATCAAAAAAACTCATTTGAATCGAGCCATGTTCGCAGAATGGGATTACAAAATTGTACACGGTTAGCGAAAAAAAAATTTCATTCGTTCAATCGGCTAGCCGTTAACGAATCATTCGTTAACGGCTGAACTTCGTAAACGGCTACGACATTTACCGTATTTCTTCGCATAGAAGACCGGGTAAAGAGTATCATCGCGTGCTCCTGTGTAGCAGCCCTTTAAAATTTCTTTTCTGCATAAAAGCTTTCAATCAAGTGCTATAGAGCTGGAAAATGGCTCAAAAATCTGTTAGCTCATGTGGTATTTTTGAGCCACTTTCCAGCTCTATAGCACTTGATTGAAAGCTTTTATGCAGAAAAGAAATTTAAAAAAGGGCTGCTACGCAGGAGTACGCGATGATACTCTTTAGCCGGTCTTCTATTCGAAGAAATACGGTATATCTAATAACTAAAGTATTTTTTGGGCAAACTACCGTAGTCTTTTAATGTCAAGATTACGGTAATATTGCGCTAACTTTTCACTGAAAAAGCTATCATAATCTTTTAAAATCAGCCTACTATAGCTACTATCGTAATCCATGACTTATTTACGGTAAGATTACGGTAATTTTTCCGACAAAATACCGACCGTAGTACAATTCTCAAAACACTATAGACTGCGTTTCTAAAAGGCATCCATTTTACCGTACTCAAACGGAAAATACTGTAGTTGATCGAGGCTCGATTACGGTAGCTTGTCGGCGCCTTTTAAAAGACTCTAATTTGTGAGCAAAGCCACCGTAGTCTATTCTCACTACAAAGCTACCATAATCCCTGAATAAAGCTATTGTAATCCCTGAACAAAGCTATCGTAATCCCTGAGTAAAGCTACCACAATCTCACCTTTCTAATACAAATGAGTGTCACGGTGTTGAGTGAGGAAACCCCTCTCTCGAGCGCTTTCCGTCAATGAGTCAGTGCCGCGTTGGAAAGCAATCAGATCGTTTGCCTGAGATTTTTCTTTTTGAGTTACGGTATGGGTATTCTAAGATTGCGGTCTACAGTAGTCTACAGTAGCCTACAGTAATCCTAGCTAGTAAATCGAATAAATCATACCGTTTTGTGCCAAGCGGTTGTCATTAAGCGGCATTCTTGCTCGTGCATCATCGCCATTTGCTCGGCACGCGCTTCAAGGAAACGAATTCTATAAAGAATCTCGATTAAGCTACAGTAAACTAATGATAAATCTAGACAGTTTCTTTACCGTTTCTCCTTTTGCTCGATTTCTCTTCGCAATGAGTCGAATTCGTGTCTCGAAAGACCATTGGAATCGATTGCTTGACTCCGAGCTTCCTGTAGATTTTTGGTAATTTATTAGCTCAATATTGAGCTTATTAGCTCAATATTCAAGCTTAATTTTTTACTACTTCAAAAAAGCTAAAGTAAAGCTTACTGATTTCCTATTAACTACCAAACGTTACAGTCTTTAAATCAATGCATTTATAGTCCATTTAACTAATAAATAACAATTAAAACAATACCTGATCAGTGATGACCAATTTCGCCTTCTCAAGATACTCATTCATCGTCCTTTTCGTCATCTCCACCTAGAAAAAAAACTTTTTGAAATCGCAATCGCAATCTTTCGCAAGTTCGGAAGCGTACAAATGATCCATTTCTTGTCTTTACTCTTACATTACTTTTTAGCTCTTTTTATTCTATCTAGGTACAGATAAAGACCAATATAGTACAACAAAAGATCGTAGTGCTGCCGAGTGAATGGCTGAATGGCTGCTGAGGCAGTGAAAAATCCTTCTCTAACAAACCTGCATCTCTGCATCGCTCAATTTCTTCCTCAACATCTCCACCTCTTGTCCGACATTCTCGTTTTGAGTGGCGAGCGCAGACTCGGCTTTTTGAGCCTAGATTTGAGGATTGGCTTTTAATTAAGTGCACCAGAAAGGGTGCATTTACAAAACAGCTCAAAGTAAATGCAAAAACCAACCCTTTCCCTCATTTTCGCCAACTCGATCTCCAATTTCTCAGCGGCCACCCGTCTCTCGCGATCGCCTCCATTCAACGTGCTCTGATCAGTTTGATTCTTTTCGAGAGCGTCGTTTTTCGTCTGAATTTTTTTTCATAATGGAATACGGTATTATATCCGTACCTGTAGCTCGGTATTTTTTAGATTCGAGATCCTCAAATCCGACGTCAGCTCGACGATCGTTCGTTTCAGGCTTTCGGTTTGGGCCCTAAAAACGGATTACTGTAGAAGGAGACTGGGATTTCTGTAAAACTGTAGGCTGGGATTATTGTAGCTTTATTGTAGACTGGAGTTACTGTAGAGTTAGACTGGGATTGCTGTAGCTTTGTAGACTGGAGTTACTTTAGAATTAGACTGGGATTACTGTAGCACTTTAGACTAGGGTTACTCTAACCCAATTGACTGGATTACTGTAGAATTACAGACTGGGATTGCTGTACCCCCCAAAAAAAAAAGAAACCGCAAACCCTAAACCTCATCCCATCCTACTATCGTACCTCAAATCGTCGGCATTCTCAGCGGCATCGGCTTTCTCCTTTAGTCGACTGTTCTCGATCTCTAGCCGCATCATTTTCTCGATGATCCTAAAATTCGCATTTACCATAACCCTACCATATGAAAGCTATCGTATCTAGCTTATAAATGTTAAAGCTACAGTAAAGCTACAGTAATACTTACTCAAAAAGCTACAGTATAAAACTCACGACACTCTCTCAGCTGGATCGTTGTTCGTCAAGGCAGAAACCATCGAATCATGCAGTGAGCTTTCATCAAGATTCGATTCAAGAGAGGCTAAATTATTGAAAAGTTACAGTAATCCAAAGTGTCTGTTCAATTCTACAGTACCGTAACCCGAAGTAGTCCTAAAACAGGTAAAAAGAGGTAGATTTTACAGTAATCCCATGCCTACCCAGTTTTACAGAAACAACAGTACACTCTGAGTAATCCTGATTTGACTAAAACCATGCTACAGTAAACCCTACAGTGAGCGTCTTAGTTAGCTACTACACCTTTACAGTTACTACTTCAGCTACAGTATGCCCTATGCAATAGCCGCAATCTACCGTAAACCCACTATTATGTCTGATCATCTCCTCCTCCAAACGATCCTTTTCACTTCTCAGTCGTCGATTCTCCTCTTCTAATCCGTTTTTTCGTTCTTGTACCACGCCCAACTCATAGTCCAACTGAATATCTTTTTCTATCGAGTTTACGGTAACTATTGGGATTACGGTATTTTTTAGAAAACGTCAGAAACCAAACGTTTTGCTTATACAGAGCCTTCAGAAAGTTATAGAATATTTTCCAAAATGTGAATACGATACAGTACGCCATAAGTGTGTAAATAAATCGTAGTTTAATTGAATATCTTTTTCTATTGGGTTTACAGTAACTTTTTGGGGGATCTTTTATTCAGAAACCAAGCGTTTGACCTATCCAGAGCCTTTACCAAAATTCGTAGAACATTATACAAATCATGAGTACAATAGGTAACTAAATATAGTACAGTAGGGGGTCAGTAATGTACAGTAATGTACAGTAGTGCACAGTAATGTCCAGGAAACTCACCTTATCGATATTCAGCGTCAATTCTCGATGCGCTTTTTCCTTAGCGTCAAGCTCGCCCTTGGCCATGGCGAGTTGTTGTTGGAGGGCCTAAAAAAAAAGAAAATGATGTAATAGGGGGGAAAATTCGCCTAACATTCTAATCTTATAGTATAAACACATAAGATTACGGTAAAAAAAAAACACGGTCACTATTTAACCATAGGCTTTAGTGAGTATTTTTTCTTGGTAGAAAAGCTCTCAAGTCAGTAAGACTAAAGAGTGAGATGACTATCGTAAGACTTAGGTACTGTAAATGTAGCTAAATGTAGCTAAAAATAACTAAATATCTACATATCTAAATATCTGCATAGCTAAATATCTACATAGCTAAATAGCTAAATATCTACATAGCTAAATATCCAAATATCTAAATATCTAAATATCCAAATTTCCAATAAAGCTATCAAAATCCTCACTTGATTCCTCTTTTGCATGTCCTCGAAATCCATTTGCGCGTTCATATACGTCTGGAGGCGTTCGTTGAGCAATTTGTTCTGCAAAAAAATAAATCGAATACTAGATTTAAAATAAATACTTTAATAAATCAAAAAAACTTAAATCTGAAAAATAATCAAAATCTATAAGTTCATAGTCATCTTAGATCTAAAAAAAAAAAGACTCACATCTGAAATTAAATTCTCGCGTTGATCGAGCTTTACTTTAAGCTGAGCGATTTGCACCTCCGATCGTTCCCACTTTCGCTCGAATTCTTTATAAATCTGAAAACATCTCAAAAATTTGCATAAACATTATCTAAATATATAATTTATATTATATTCATTTAAAAAAAAAATGCCTCTATTTCGTCTCTCAAATGATGCACTGTTTCGAGTTCATTTTGCAAGTCGCGGATCTGAAAAAAAGGGATAAATAAAAATTATTTAGATAAAAAAAAGACAAATCTAGATTTAATTTTAGATAAATCTAGATCTTCTTATAAGTAAAAATTGCCAAAAAAATCAATTTTCAGCAAATATTGAGAGAGAGATGACCTTGACGAGATTACTTATCGAATTTTTGAGATCTAGTAGATGTAGATTGTTGGTGCCTTTCCCTGGAGTACTCTTGGCTCAGGAGGGGTATTTGTGCGTATGCTGGTTTTGATTTACAGTTGTAGTCGGAGAGTCCACGGTTCTGAAGACCCAGATATCTCCTTCATTCTTTCTCTTGGAAATCTAAGGTACCGAATGCTTAGAGTGCTTAGAGTAATTGCCTGAAAAGCGAAAGATCAAGGGTTCAATCACCTCTCCGGAATCTACTTTGTCTCCAATTCCTTCACCTCTTTATTAGGACTATTGGTAGTTGAACTATAGCATACTCAAATGAACTATAGCATACTTTTCTTGCCAATTCTTTTACTCCTGCAAGATTTCAATGATTTCAATGATTTTTTTTTCAATCATCTACACTACAAACTAAGCCTTGAACTACACTAATCCCTACAGTAAGCCTTAGCCAATTCTATTGTAATAGTGTACTTTATAGAACCAAATAAACAACAACAAGAAGCTTTATCAATTAATGAAGGCTCGTTTTGCGAGAAATCTCTACCAACAGATTGAATAACAATTTTATATTCGTAAAAAGTGCATCGTTAGGTTATGATTACAGTTTATTTTATAAAGAAAAGAGAAAAAACAGCAGTCGTTTAAGCGGTGAATGCTAAAAATTGAAAGGAGAGAAGAAAGGCATAGGATTCGTCACTTTTTCAAGCAAAAGCGTTTATTGAAGCTTTCTAAAAGGTGACCTTTCGAATCAAGCTACCGTAATTCATTGTTTGATTCAACAAAGACAACGATTACAGTAGTTTTAGCTAGATCTTTTAGGCAAGCAAAGAAAGGACACATTTTGCACCCCAGCTAAAGTACGCCTAGATTCATCTACACTACAAACTAAGCCTTGAGCTACACTACAAACTAAGCCTTGAGCTACACTACAAACTACGCCTTGAGCTACACTACAAACTAAGCCTTGAGCTACACTAATCCCTACAGTAAGCCTTAGCCAATTCTATTGCAATAGTGCGCTTTATAGGAGTGCTTTTAGACTTTCGCGTGTGCCAGAGGGCGTGCCGTTTGGTGCACAAAAAGAAGTACACACCAAATGAGGGAGGGTGGTGTAATTACGATGAAAATACTCTACCAATACTATAGATTGGACGATATTTTTTCTTTATAAATAGCTATTTTCTTATGAAAACTCTTCTTATTCTTATGCAAACGCCTTACCTTTTCATCTAATCGCCGATTCTTGTCATCCAACTCCTCTTTTGCCTCTTTTACATGACTTTTCTCGATTTCCGAAACCGTTAACTCGTCCATTAAAACGCCGACTTTCAACTAGAAAATAAAATTTCATTTGAAAATTTGAACTTTTCAAGTTTTCAGTTTTTTTTCTCCTATTTTTCAATTCTACTTTCTCTCCTATCAAAAAAAGCTAATCGGCTTGAAAAAAAAAAGCTTATACGGGGTTTAAAATGTTTAAAAAGTTGAATTGAAAAAAAAACTGACTAATAGAAAATTGTTGCTACTTTTACAACTCACTCGCAATTCTTGCAGTTGAGTGGTGAGCACATTTTTCGAATCCCCCTCCTCTTCTGAAGACAGCTTTTCTCGTAACGAGTGCACTTCCGACTCCAAACGATCCCTTTCCGCGGAAAGCTTTTTGTTCTAAAGTATAGCTTTGTTTTTATAATTTTACATCACTTTCGCACATTTGCATAAAGGCTTAGATAGTGCTTGTCGATTGGATCCTGATTTAGAACCATTTATCCTGTCCTGTCCAGGGCTAGGGTTTAGACTCAGAGGCTTAGGTTCAGATCCTGGGCAGATCTAAGGACCCAGTTCAGGGGTCAAGTCCAGAACTAGATCCAGAGCTAGGTTCAGATCCAGATCCAGGTCCAACTCTAGGCCCAGAGCTAGGTCCAGGTTCAGGTCTAGGTCCAGAGCTAGATTCAGTTTCAGGTCTAGGCCCAGTTCCAGGTCTAGGGCCAGGGTCAGAACTTGGTTTAGGCTCAGGGTATAGGTCAAGGGCCAGGATCAGAATCAGATCCAGAGCCAAGACTAGAAACAATTCTGGTCCGGGTCCAGGGACAAGTCTAGAGCTAGATTCAGGGCCAGCTCCAGGTCAAGAATTGGGATCAGGACCAGTTCCAGATCTAGGGCCAGGGTCAGAACCAAATCCAGACTCAAGGTTCAAGCTAGGAGAACATAATAAAACCAAAAATCTCCCACTCTTTCTTGTAGTTTCTCGATCTTGAGTGTCGTCTTTTTATCATCTTCGGTCTCATTTCCGTTGTTGAGCGGCTCATTTGGCTCGTTTGGTTCCGGATCTTTTGAGGTGGTTGGCTATGAATAAAGAAATAAACAAAAAGAAATAACAAAGAGATCTCCGAGGATAGATTTTGCAAATTGGCGCAACTTAAGCCATAGAAATTAAACCGAAAAAGTTTAAGGTCTCCGAAAGAACTTCAATTTTCAAAAATGAATCAAAAAAAATAGCTCTATTCTACTCATTTATCTTTAGTAATAGTGCCCAATTTGCACAAAACCCGGGCAGTTTTTACATGGAAATTGAGTCAATAGATAAATTTACCTAAAGCACTCATTTATCTTTAGTTACCGTGAAAAAAATTTGCATAAAATTTACCGAATTCGGCGCACTCAACATGGCGGTTTTGTGCTGAATGAGAGTGATCTGATCGGCGAGCGTTTTCATGACGTTTTTCGGAATCGAATTCACGCCAGTGATGTAAGCTAAAGAGAAAAGACATTAGTGAATACAAATTTCATACTCTAATGCACCTTTTTAGGCACTTAATAGGCAAATTTAGAAGAAAAATTGATGTAAATTGATGTAAATTGATGAAAATTGATGGAAATTGATGTAAATTGATGCTAATTCACTTAGATTTCTTTGCGTTTTTTTTCCAAATTGCCAATATCAAAAACTGGTTGTATAAATGCAATAAGATCGTGTAGATTATCGTATCTCTATATTTTCAAAACAAACTTTCTCGATTTGGTCCCAAAAACGCGGCACCGATGACAGTGGAGAGGAAAAGCACGGCAGCGCTCACGTCGCCTCGGACTGAAATTGATGAATTGTAAACTTTGCACTTGAAACTCCGATAATTGCACGCTTTCTGGCGCACTAGAAACTTTATTGATGGAATATTTTGTTCAAAATTGATGAGTTTCTTTAAAAAAAACTCACTGAAATCCCTTGAAATCTCGCTCAAATCGGCTAGCGGTTCCAAATTTCGATGAATCACCGCCTCATAGTACTCGGAAAGCCGGATTCGGATCTGAAATTGAAAAGATTTATGATAATTTCTCATTTATTTAGATAATTTACTATTTATTAGATGATTTAAATCTAAAAATAGCTAAAAATTAGGGCTTAGATCAAAATTAGGGCAATATTTAGTGCGCTAGAGAGCTCCCGTTTACTCATTTCGGTTTATTTTGCTTTCATTCACAAAAAAACAGTGCTTAACTTAAAGCTTAGACTATAGAGATTGCTGTATTATAGTTAAAAATTATCTAAAGAATGTCAATAATCCAAATAATCTAAAAAATAGCTTACTTTTCTCATTGAAACTTCTTTTACTCCATGTGCCGAGTCAGCTCTGGTAAAAGTCGAGATTTTATTCAAAAAATCGTCTTTTGAGAAGAAAATCGGGTCACTAGAATTGAAAAACAATGTATTTTCTATATAGAAGATCGATTTAGATAAGCAATAATTAGTTAAAATTTACATTTTATGCAAAAATTCAGCAATTGTTCGCCCGGTGCCAAGCGCGTCGATACTCCAATCCACAGTCGCGTCCGCCAAAACGCTTTTCATCTAAAAGAATGGCTATTTAAAGGATCGAATACTATATAATAACTATATAATAACTATATAATAACTAGATAATTACTTATTCTTTAATAATAAGTCCTTATTTACTTAATATTATTGCTTAATTGTTGCATTTTTTCGAAAAAAAAAACGAAAAAGAAAAGAAAAGGGACGGTGAATCGAAAAATTTTCTATTTTTTTTGCGTAAAACTCGTTAACCACTTGGCGAAACGGTCAAAAAACTATTTTTTATAAATCTAGATATGCTATTTATCTAGAAACATTTTCTATATAAGATAAAAATAATAAAACTCACCCAATAAACGATATTCTCAAAGATTTCTTCTTCATTTCCCTCGTTTGATAGAATTTCTTCCTTAAAATTTGCAAATTAAGAAAAAAACATGTTTAGATAATAAAAAAAACAGTACTTTTCAGTTATAAATCCACAAAAAATAACCCCTCATCATTTAAAAATCAAAAAAATCAATCAAAAAAAACATAAAAACAAAGATCCCTAAGGTAGTTGTTGAAGTCGACCGCGTTGTTGTGATTCATCTCCAATTCTTTCGCGACAATCGTTGATTGAAGTCTATTGTTGAGTCGATCTATAGATGATAGGATTGCGAGAAACGACAGGATTGAATTTTCATTGATTTCAAACGAAAATTTCGAAAATTCCCTTCATCCATGAACGAACACGCAGGCCGATCGCTGTCCGGTACCACGTTTTTTCACATCTCCATCAGGGATTCTGATTAAGCGATAGCTTCATAACGTAGAGGATTGACGCATTTGCGAGTAGTAAGCAAGATGCGGTGAAAGCATCGACCTTGATAGTCGATAAGCGAAACGTGAATCCCCGTGCATCTCGATTTGGTCCCAAAAACGCGGCACCGATGACAGTGGAGAGGAAAAGCACGGCAGCGCTCACGTCGCCTCGGACTTCATAACGCTTCATAAAGTAGAGGATTGACGCATTTGCGAGTAGTAAGCAAGATGCGGTGAAAGCATCGGTCTTGATAGTCGAAATTGCCTCGGCCTTGATAGTCGATAAGCAAAACGTGAATCCCCAGCGCGACATCAGGAAATACTAGTTTTAGGGAAAAACTCCTGCACTCAGTTGCGAGAAATTCAATTTTTATGCGCTTTAATAGCAATAACAATAATTATTCCTCAAAGTATAACCAATGATTATCTACGACTTTCTACCATCGATCTGCAAGCTTTCTGGATGTGCTGCAAGATGATTCGAAGTGCTAATCTATCGGTTTCAAATCAAAGAACTTCTGGTAAGCTTCTTCAACTTCTTCAAATGTTTCCATTTCCAGCAATAGCAGATGAAAACTCGAAGCTCTTTTTCTTGCATAAAAATTGCATTTTTTCGCAGCTGAATCAGAGCTTTTTCCTTAAACTAATAGCAAAAGACTTAAGTTTCTGTGGTTTTCCCTGTTTTCCTTCTTCATTTTCATGAAAGGATGCAAATTTTGGGGATTTATAACGGAAAAGAACCTAAAAAAACATATCTAGATCTAAAAATTCTATACATAATATCTAAATTACCTCAGCTGTATCGACGCTTAGCATTTAAATCACTTGAGCAATGAGTTGGCTGTTGAAAATCTATAAATTTATATAAATTATTATCTAAAATATATGAATATAAGAAAAATCTCAAAAAACAAAGAAAGAAAGAAATAAATAAGCTTTCTAAACAAAAGTAGGGGGGTGAAATGGTCAAAAAACGAGGAGAAAAAGAGAAATTGGTACTCTAATCTAGAAATTGCTCAATTTTCTGGCAACTATCTTAATCTTTGGCTATATTTGGCTCTAGTTTAGCTCTATTTGACTTTATTTAGCTCTATTTAGCTCTATTTAACTCTAGTTTAGCTCTAGTTTAGCTCTATTTGACTTTATTTAGCTCTAGTTTAGCTCTATTTGACTTTATTTAGCTCTAGTTAACTCTATTTGTCTTTATTTAGCTCCAGTTAACTCTAGTTAGCTCTAGTTAACTCTATTTGATGATTTCGAGGCGACTTTGGTGGAATCGCTTTTCGATAAGGCAAACAAAAAAAAGGTGTTAATGAAGCTCGGTGTAAAGTACACGTTTTCCTTTAGTCATAAATCACTTAAGCAATGAGTTGGCTGTTGAAAATCTATAAATTTATATAAATTATTATCTAAAAGATATGAATATAAGAAAAATCTCAAAAACAAAAGAAAGAAATAGATAAGCTTTCTAAACAAAAGTGCACTTGTGAGTTTGCGATTTTGGGTAAGTAATCGATCTTGGGGTACGGTAGATGGTCCACATGATAGGGGGGTGAAATGGTCAAAAATCGAGGAGAAAAAGAGAAATTGGCACTCAAATCTAAAAAGTGGTCCATTTTCTGGAAACTACCGTAATCTTTGGCTATATTTGGCTCTAGTTAGCTCTAATTGACTCTATTGAGCTCTATTTGACTCTATTTGACTCTAGTTTAGCTCTATTTGACTCTATTTGACTTTATTGAGCTCTAGTTAGCTCTATTTGACTCTAATTGGCTCTAGTTTAGCTCTATTTGACTCTATTTGACTTTATTGAGCTCTAGTTAGCTCTATTTAACTCTAATTAGCTCTATTTGACTTTGTTTAGCTCTATTTGACTCTAGCTTCATCAAATCAATCCATTTTTTGGCTCTTTCGATATCTCTCATAGAATCAGACCCAAAAAAGTGAATAGATTTCATGAAAATAGAGCCAAATAGAGCCAAAGATCATGGTAGTTCGAAAAAGAAGAGCTAAAGTTTACGATATCCAAAGAAATGGGACACGTTTTAAGGAAAAGAAGTCGAAAAATGCGCGGAACAAATGACAGACAATATATTGATGATCGTTTTCAAAAAAGAAAAACAATATTGGTGATTCATTTGAGTGAATGGGGGTGGAAATGAAAAATCCCCTCACAGCCAGATCGATTCCTCTAAAAATGCTTTTTCTCATCTTTTTGCTCTTTTTAATCGATTCTGAAGCGAAAATTGGTAAGAATGAATGGCTAGGAATTGGCTAGGAATTGGCTAGGAGGGCTAGGGGCCAGCTAGGAATTGGCTAGGAGGGCTAGGAGCCAGCTAGGAATTGGCTTTGGTTCTTCTGTAATTGGTAGAACAACTTAGGCTTTGAATTGATTCGATTTGACTTTAGAATTAGCTTAATTTATAGATTTTACTAGGGAAAAGTTATAGAATTTATGAAAAACTAATTAGCTGTAGCTGTAGTTGTAACTGTAACTGTAGCTGTAACTGTAACTGTAACTGTAACTGTAGCTGTAGCTGTAGCTGTAGCTGTAGCTGTAGCTGTAGCTGTAGCTGTAGCTGTAGCTGTAGCTGTAGCTGTAGCTGTAGCTGTAGCTGTAGCTGTAGCTGTAGCTGTAGCTGTAGCTGTAGCTGTAGCTGTAGCTGTAACTGTAACTGTAACTGTAGCTGTAGCTGTAGCTGTAGCTGTAGCTGTAACTGTAGCTGTAGCTGTAGCTGTAGCTGTAGCTGTAGCTGTAGCTGTAGCTGTAGCTGTAGCTGTAGCTGTAGCTGTAGCTGTAGCTGTAGCTGTAGCTGTAGTTGTAACTGTAACTGTAGCTGTAGCTGTAACTGTAACTGTAGCTGTAGCTGTAGCTGTAGCTGTAGCTGTAGCTGTAACTGTAACTGTAAGCTAAGGTCTGTAAATCAGTGCTGACTTTGTTGGTTATTGTATTCTGCTTTGAATCACTGAAGAACTGAAGAAAGAAATTGTCAGTTCATTGTCATTGTCATTGTCAAATCATTGTCAGCTTTGCCCACTCAAACTCTTCCTCCATCATGCGGTCTCTCCAGTGTTGGAATGGCGAATCAAAGTCAATCAGCCGGAAGTTTGAACGAGAAATTTTACATCGTGCGTGAGCTTATCGAAACCATTTCCCCAAAAAAAGACCTGGCAAAGTCTGGTAAGTTTGAGCTCATCTCCTAACTCAACAACATTCCCACTCCACTAGGGATACTTTTCGATTTACACCTTAGGCTTTCCCACCTGTTTAGGCTGAAACCTAGCACTTTCCTTGTTCATTATCTAGCAAATTTTGTTCAGTTTTTTGCGCTGATTCTGATGGTGTATTTGGGGATGACGGTTCTAAAATTTTGAGATATATCGCTTGAAAGTTTACGTTAAAATTCAGCATTCATGATTTTCTAGAAATTTCAGGTTAAATAGATAAAGAAGAATTAAAAGCAAGTAGAAAATTAACTAGAACACGCTTTCTATTTCTAATGTCAAAATAGAGTTACATGATTGTTAGATAATAAAGAAATCTGGAAAAAAATCTTGAAACAGTTTCTAGCAATAGCAAAAAGGTGCAGCTGGATTTAAACTAGGGACTTGTGAGAGCTCCAGCTTGCGAGAGCTCCAGCGAGAGCTCCAGTTTGCGAGAGCCTCAGCTTGCGAGAGCTCCAGCTTGTGAGGGCTCCAGCGAGGGCTCCAGCGAGAGCTCCAGTTTGCGAGGGCTCCAGCTTGCGAGACCCAACCTGTTCCTTGTTAGCTTACCCCTAGTAGCTCGGGAAATCACGCGGAGGTCAAGAACACTTCCTCTTTCGCCATCTAGAGGACAGTAGAACACTAGACACTGAAATTTTTCTAGCTAGGTCGGGTTTTGAAAATCGGTAAGGTGAAAGTTTAGTTCGATTGCAAGACACTGACGTTGAGACAGTGATCTGATGAAAGAGGTGAGCTAAGAGGTGAACAACAGCTGGGTGGACCTTCAGTGAATGAAGGCATATCTGGTAGCAGACTTAATCCTACGAGTTAATCCTATCAGTTAATCCTATCAGTTAACCCTATCAGTTAACCCTATCAGTTAACCCTATCAGTTAACTCTATCAGTTAACCCTATCAGTTAACCCTATCAGTTAACCCTATCAGTTAACCCTATCAGTTAACCCTATCAGTTAACCCTATCAGTTAACCCTATCAGTTAACCCTATCAGTTAACCCTATCGGTTAATCCTACCACTTCATTCAGACGATAGACTTCAGAAGTTTCATGAGAATGTTTACTAAAGGAAAGAAAAACGCTAAGCGAAACTCTTTTCAGCTCCCCGAGAATCGAGTGGTCGGCGGTGTGCAAACGGAGGCACATGAGTGGCCCTGGGTGGTGCAACTCTTCTATAAGTGAGGAAGGCAAAAATTTTCGATTGTTTATTGTTTATTATCTATTGTTTATTGTCTCTTGTCTATCTACCGATCTAAGATTTTTTTTACAATTCAATTTTTGTCTCCACGTAGCCAATTTGATGCCAACTTTAAATTCAAATTTCTCTTTATTCTACCGTTCTGTTCATTATCGTTTCTCGTTTCGAAAAAGCGCTTTTCAAAAAGAAGCGATGTGAGAACAGACGATGTAGCTGACGATGAGATGTTGAAGAGGATTAGAGTGTAAAGTCTCTGGGAAAACTTTGAGAGTGATCAACTAGTGATCAACTAGTGATCAACTAGTCTGATGGTTAAAGTCTGTGCTTACCTTATTGTGTCAGCGTGATTGAACCCTCGACCTATCGCTTAAGAGACAAAACTCCTTAACCGGTCGGCTAGCTGGCCAAGTACCGTATTCTCTCTAATAATAGTGCACCAAGAGCGTCGTCTAAATTCCTCGAAATCTCGAGAACCGCTTATTAGAACCTATCGATGTGAGGTCGGAAAATGTAGCTGACGATGAGATCTAGTAAAGGATTGAAGTGTTGAGCTTCTGCAAAAGCTTAGAAACCGTCAAATAGTCATCAACTCGGCTGGGTGCACTATTAGAGAGAATACCGTAATTCCTTTTTCTTCTGCCTTTCTGGGTGCACTATTAGAGAGAATACGGTACGGTAAAAGAACGCCGAATTCAAATGAAAACGATTTCCAGTGGCTCAGCAAGGTGCGGCGGTGCAATCATCGACAATCATTTAATCCTCACCGCAGCTCATTGTTTCGCAAGAGGGTTTGTTTAATGAAAAAAAGAGATTTAGAAAAAAAGAGATCTCTTTGAATCAAGCTTAAAGTACTAGAATTTTCCTTTAAATCATCACCTATTCACTTTCAGTCCCGATCTTTCATTGTACCGAATCGTTTCCGGCGTTCATCGCTATGGAGACGGTGCAAAGCATTTGGTAATGTAAAAAGTCGATAAATCGATGAAAATTGATGAAAATTGATGAAAATTGATGAAAATTGATGAAAATTGATGAAAATCGATGAAAATCGATCAAAATCGATGGCGTTCATCTATATTATTCTAGATTTAGTTTTTTTAAGATTTCAATCTATCTCTCAATCAATAAAACATTTTAAGATTGTAAAAATTCGACCACATCCATTGCATAACATTTTATGGACATCAGCCTATGATGCTGCAATTGCTGAGTACTTGAGACATCGATTTTACAGAAGTAAATCAAAGAAAAAAAACTTTTAGAATTTGGCCACCATTAAATTATTCGAGAACGACTCAACCGATTTGTCTTCCCGTTTTACCAGTGACACCATTTAAGATTTGTGTGGTTGCAGGTGAGGTTTAAGCTTTTGAAAACGCCGGCTATCTGGTGCACAGCTGAGCTATTACGATAGAAATAGTATGCTAGAAAGCTTGTGTTTAGCAGAGGATAAAGTACGGCGATAAAATGATAGCATCTTGTACTTTGTACTTTGAAAAGCTAGCTCACTTGATCACTTGATATCTAGCTATATCTAGATATTTAGCTAGATTTAGCTAGATGGCTAGATAGCTAAATATCTAGCTATATCTAGCCATCCAGGTCACTAACTCTCTAGCTCACTAGCTATCTAGCCATCTAGCTATCTAGCCATCTAGCTATCTAGCTATCTAGCTATCTAGCTATCTAGCTATCTAGCTATCAAGCCATCTAGCTATCTAGCCATCTAGCCATCTAGCTATCTAGCTATCTAGCCATCTAGCTATCTAGCTATCTAGCCATCTAGCTATCTAGCCATCTAGCTATCTAGCCATCTAGCTATCTAGCCATCTAGCTATCTAGCCATCTAGCTATCTAGCTATCTAGCCATCTAGCTATCTAGCTATCTAGCCATCTAGCTATCTAGCCATCTAGCTATCTAGCCATCTAGCTATCTAGCTATCTAGCCATCTAGCTATCTAGCTATCTAGCTATCTAGCTATCTAGCCATCTAGCTATCTAGCCATCTAGCTATCTAGCCATCTAACTATCTATCTATCTCACTTGATCATCTCTTTGTATGCCAGATAGCTGTGTTTGTGAGTATAAAGCTTCTTTCTGTACTTTGTACTCTCAAATCTCATCTAGCCAGTGTTTTATCTCAACCAGTGTGTTGGAAAGGTCTCGTTTTACTTTCACTTTCACCAGGTTGGGGTTTAACGAGTGAAAATGGTGCTTTATCGGAATACCTACGAGAAATTCATGTGCCCATTCTACCACTTTCCATTTGCAACAATCATCTTCACTATGGTGGATGGGTGCATGCACCGTCAATGCTTTGTGCTGGATATACTCAAGGACAAGTTGACTCGTGTTATGTGAGTCGAAGATTTCCCTGCTTTCTCTGCTATACAAAAAGGTTTACAAAATAAAACAGCCGACTTCTTTGCACTGATTTTTGTGGTGTGCACACACAGTAAATGATAAGTTCCAGTAAATCCTTAACGTAAATACTGCAGTAATAGTACCCCATCGCCCTCGTACAGTCTCGTAGTTGCTTATAAAACTTGAAACACTTACCGTAAATACTGTAATAGTACCCCACCGCCCATAATGACGGTGCGGAGTGTTGTGTAGTCTAGCTTTGAGCGAGTTTTTCTCGACACTGGTTTAAGCTAAAATCTTCGTTTTGGTATCAAAAAATAGCCCTGAATTTCAGCTATTTTTTGATATCAAAACGAAGATTTTAGCTTAAACCAGTGTCGAGAAAAACTCGCTCAAAGCTAGACTACACAACACTCCGCACCGTCATTATGGGCGGTGGGGTACTATTACAGTATTTACGGTAGCTATTAGTTTTACTATCTTGCAACAAGATCTACATGAATAAAACTAGCAAAAAAAGCTAGTAAAAGATCGACGAAAACATTGCTAATCTTAACTTTAGTACTAGCTCTAATTATAGGAAAATTATGACAATTTTGACGATTTGATTATTACAATATTCCCCTGGCTTCCTTGTTAATTTCCTTTTCTTGCACTTAGATTCCATTTTCAGTTTAAAAATTAGCCCCTGGCAAATCCAAAGGCTACTATTGAATACCCTGGCTAACCTAGTAGCCTTTGGGTTTCCCCAGGGTCAACTTCTAATCCCTTTCCAGGGTGACTCAGGCGGTCCATTGATGTGTTTGAACAAAGGGAAATGGGAGGTGCAAGTGAGTGGATGAACAATGTGTTTGAGAATAGATTCATATAAACGGCTTTCGTTAGTTTTTGATATTTCAAGAGAGGGTACGGTAGCTGATAAAGCTGGACTACGCTAGTTAGTACAGCTGGGTACGGGAGCTAATTCAGCTGAGTTCCGGTAGCTGATAAAGCTGGGTTACAGTAGCTAGTCCAGCTGGGCTACGCTGGCTAGTACAGCTGGGCTACGCTGGCTAGTACAGCTGGGCTACGGTGGCTAGTACAGCTGGGCTACGGTGGCTAGTACAGCTGGGCTACGGTGGCTAGTACAGCTGGGCTACGCTGGCTAGTACAGCTGGGCTACGGTGGCTAGTACAGCTGGGCTACGGTAGCTGATAAAGCTGGGTTACAGTAGCTGATAAAGCTGGGCTACGGTAGCTGATAAAGCTGGGTTACGGTAGCTGATAAAGCTTATAACTTAGGGTCTCGTCTCGTGGGGTGTCGGCTGTGGTCGTCCAGGTCATCCAGGTAGATTTTAGAGTTACATATTGTTAGGTAGAAGAAATATTTCAAAACACAGTTGTTAGGGAATAGAAAAATGTTAGTCTAGGAAGTCTAGAAAGTCTAGGAAGTCTATGTCTAAGCCTAGAAATAAAGCAAAGCTAGAACAACGCTAGAAACAAAATAAGCAAAGCTTATCAACTTTCATCTAGAATCGTGGAATTTGAAAATGATTGAGTAATCGGAAATCTCTAGGTATTTACACGAAAGTCTCCGCGGTGACGCCATGGATCCGCGTCACATCAACGCAGCTAAAATGGGAACGAGAACATCAGAAATCGTTGAAACCGTGAAAACTCCGGATAAAAAGTCAAATATAGAGATCATTTTTGAGCAAATCAGATCCTTTTTTATTGAACTTTTGAACACAAAAACTATTTAAATGATTTGTGTAGCGATGGGGAAACGATCGAATGACAAAGATCGTGCAATCAAGGTCAAGACCGTATGAAGGACGAGATCCTACACAAGTGATTGGAAAACGGTAGGTGTTTCAAAGAGGATTTTTCAAAGATTTTTTTCAAAGAGGTCCACAGGATAAGGGGGTGAAATGGTCAAAAATCGAGGAGAAAACGAGAAATTGGCACTCTAATCTAGAAAGTGGTCCATTTTCCGGAAACTACCGTAATCTTTGGCTATATTTGGGTCTATTGAGCTCTAATTGACTCTATTGAGCTCTATTTGACTCTATTTGACTCTATTTGGCTCTAGTTTAGCTCTAGTTTAGCTCTATTTGATTCTATTTGACTCTATTGAGCTCTGTTTGACTCTATTTGACTCTATTTAGTGCTAGTTAGCTCTAGTTAGCTCTAGTTTAGCTCTATTTGACTTTATTTGACTCTAGTTAGCTCTAGTTAGCTCTATTTGACTCTATTTGACTCTAGTTAGCTCTAGTTAGCTCTATTTGACTCTATTTGACTCTAGTTAGCTCTAATTTAGCTCTATTTGATTCTATTTGACTCTAGTTAGCTCTAGTTAGCTCTATTTGACTCTATTTGACTCTAGTTAGCTCTAGTTTAGCTCTATTTGATTCTATTTGACTCTAGTTAGCTCTAGTTAGCTCTATTTGACTCTATTTGACTCTAGTTAGCTCTAGTTTAGCTCTATTTGATTCTATTTGACTCTAGTTAGCTCTAGTTAGCTCTATTTGACTCTATTTGACTCTAGTTAGCTCTAGTTAGCTCTAGTTAGCTCTATTTGACTCTAGTTAGCTCTAGTTAGCTCTATTTGACTCTAGTTAGCTCTAGTTAGCTCTATTTGACTCTAGTTAGCTCTAGTCAGCTCTATTTAGCTCTAGTTTAGCTCTATTTGATTCTATTTGACTCTAGTTAGCTCTAGTTAGCTCTATTTGACTCTAGTTAGCTCTAGTTAACTCTAGTTAACTCTAGTTAACTCTAGCTAGCTCTAGTTAGCTTTACTTGACTCTATTTGATGATTTCGAGGCGACTTTGGTGGAACCGCTTTTCGAATATTCGGCTTTACCTTTAATGAAGCCATATTTATTTCTTCGTTTTTGTTTTTTCCCTTTTTCCACCGATCGAAACACGCAATTCAGTCAACTTTTGATAAAGAAAATGCTATTTATTTCTCAATGATTTCTGAATGAATAAGGCAAACAAGAAAAGGTGTGAGTGAAGCTCGGTGCAAAGTACAAAGTACACATTTTCCTTTAGTCATAAAGCACTTGAAATGACGTCAAATTTTTACGAAAGCACATAAACGGGAATCGAGATTTGAATCGTTTTCACAAAGTTTTGCAAAAGTGAAATTCGAAGAGCTATCAATGAAAACCTTTATAAATATCAGTTAAACAAATTTTCTTTTAAATTTTCTTTTAAAAGATTACGATAATCTGGAGAAATCTGGAGAAAGAAAACGAATTTTCGGCTGGAGCTTGGAGATTCACTGTCTACAGTGATTACGGTAGAAATTACGGTAGAAATTACGGTAGAAATCCTTGTGCTTTGTGCTCTTTCTTTGGCAAATCAATCATCGCTTTTTCTTTTCTTTTTCAATCCGCTAGATGGTACAGTACTGGACAATGAAATAAGATATTTGAAAAATGATCGTCACATTGGCACGTCTGTAACTTCCTTGTCTTTGAGTTTAAACTATTAGTGTTATACATTTTCTGAAAGCTCTTTTCAAGGGCTACACAATGGTAATATTAATATTTAGAAATACCGTATTTTTTGACGCATTTCAACGCGCGCAAAAGTGGTGCCAAAAGTGGCAAAAGTCGTTTTTCAAATATGATATTTCATTGTCCAGTCCTGCGTGTGTTTACCAGAAAGTAGGTGGCTCAAAGAAAAGGCAATGAAATGAAAAGAAGAAAGAAGAAAATGAGCTGCTAGCAGATTGACATCGATCAGAAAATAAAGACTAGAAATTCTAAGTAACAACGCAAACGAAAATGAAAAAGATTGAAAATTAGCTATCCCTGTACAACCCGATCTTGATACGCCATTCGCATCAAAGCTTCGAAGAGGGCGGGTGAGTCTCTGAAAAAACATTCGGAAATAGCTTGGAGAACCTTGGGACTACAGTAGTGCAAAGGTGACAGTAGTCCTACAGATTCAGCTCTCATATTGAGCGCTAGGGGCTCTACGCTACTCAATACAGCGGCTACAGTACTCAAACAACGGCTACAGCACCCAATACAGCGGCTACAGTATCCCTTAGAATCTACAGGACCCCTACAGTACTCCATAGCATCTACAGGACCCCTACAGTAACCCTTAGCATCTAGAGCACCCCTACAGTACCCCTTAGCACTACAAGACCCCACAGTAACCTTAGCACTAGAGCACCCTACAGTACCCTTAGCACTACAAGACCCAAGTAGCCCTTAGCTCTCACCCCTACAGTACCCCTTAGCATCTACAAGACCCCTACAGTAACCCTTAGCATCTAGAGCACCCCTACAGTACCCCTTAGCATCTACAAGACCCCTACAGTAGCCCTTAGCATCTAGAGCACCCCTACAGTACCCCTTAGCATCTACAAGACCCCTACAGTAACCCTTAGCATCTAGAGCACCCCTACAGTACCCCTTAGCATCTACAAGACCCCTACAGTAACCCTTAGCATCTACAGTGTCGGCAATTATGAATCCTCCAGCTAAATTGGCTACACTATACCCTGGTACAAGCTACAGTATCCTAAAATTGACCATAGTACTTTTACGGCCTCTCTAAAGAAACCTTGCCGCATACCCAACAAAAGCCACAGTCCATGATTAAACGCGTAATTCAAAAGCTATTTTAAAGCCGATTTCTTGAAAACCCACTTGAAAGTGTAATCGGTTGACGCGAAATACCCGGTGGCTGTATTGAAAAGTGAGGAGAGTTGTTGGTTCGTCTAAATCGATTGAAGATCAAGCGAGTGATCAAAGTGATCTAGATCAAGCTAGTGATCTAGATAAAGTCTATCGATCATTTACACAACAACTTAAAGATCAAAATCAACCCAAACCTTTAGCGCAGCCATTTCCCCAACTGCCGAAATTCGACTATTCATAATCGGCTCTCGTTGACTCATCCGCGGTGGTCGATCCGGTGCATTTGTTTGCTGTTTTATGAACAACTCGAGCAAGGCGATGATTGCCCGGAATCTGTAATCTGTTATTGAACCGACCCAGTACTTTAGAAAGACTTAAGATATTGGTATAAGTTATAGTGATGAGTCTTTCATCGGAAATCCTACTTGTTCGAGTATTGATTCTTCTTCGAGCCGATGATCCCTGAAAGAAGACCTTGCTTTTCTTCGATCTTCGATCTCTCCAACCATCGCTGTAGGCTTTGAAGCGGTTCTGAAATCGGATCTGGAATGGAACAAAGCAAGAATCTGGTTGAGCTATGAATTGGATTCGAATTGCAGCAGTTGGCCAAGCCACTAGGGCAGGGCTAAATCAGAAGCCAAGCCAAGTCAGGCCAAGCCAAGCCAAGCTCAAGCCAAGCCCAAGCCAGCCCAGACCAAGCCAGATCAAGACAGGCCAGGCCAAGCCAGATCAGGCCAGGCCAAGCCAAGCTTAAGCCAATCTCAAGCCAGCCCAGACTAAGCCAAGCCAAGCCAAGCCAAGCCAGATCTAGCTTCTAGCTTCCTACATCCTGGCCTGGCTAACCTTTTCCCTCAACTAACCATTCAAAGCCATAGCTGACTGCGTTTGACCACCGCTAAACCATCGAACAAGCCATTGCATCAATCTACGTAAGAGAACCAGAACGGCTACCTCATCATCGATATACCTACACATTTTTAATCATTTAAGTACCCTGTACATGTGCTAGAGTATCCTCGTACTACTATAGTACAGTTTTTTTGACTGTAAAACACACTTTGGCTTCAACTTCTCAAGGTAAACGATAGTTCTCAAGAAAATCTCATCAGAATGCAAGCCGTGATCGAGAAGAGATCGAAGAGTCAACAATAATGGAGTAGCTTTATTCTCGGAGCTGAAAGTGAGGAAAATGAAATGTTTGAACTGGATTTTGGACTGGATTTTTAAGGATTCAAGCTAAGCATTCGACTCACTTCGGCACTGTTAATAAGTAGTGAAAAATTGCTGGCACTTTGACTTCCGGAAAAGCGCACCACTCGAAAAGCTCCACCCATTCGGCGTCAGGTTCTGGAAAATTGAAATAAGTGTCCGGTGAGTTTGAGTGGGTGAGTTTTCTCGTGTTGAGTCAAATTAAGCCGCAGGCTCCACTCCTGGTGGTGCGATTCCGTCAATTCCTTTACGTTTCAGCTTTGCCTTTTCAGCTTTAAGTTTACTAAGCTTTTCAACCAAAATTTCAACCAAAATTTCTAGATTTTTCAGTCTTTGAACATCATTTTATCGAAATCTATTGAAAACAAACTCTGAAAATATGCTCGTATCGCTTTTTCCATCACTTTTAACGCTGTGCTGAGTTGATCGTTTGAAAGCGAGTCGATCACTCGATGAACGGTCAAGAGAACGAGGGGAGATGAGGCATTTGTGGAGAGATACGTCATGAAACCGTTTACCAGAGTTTCTAAAGAATAGAATATCTTTGGATTTTCAAAGGCTTTAGCTACACCCTTATGAAGGATTATTTCTAGGAGTGGTTGAGGTGTAGCTGAAGTCTCTGGAATGAAACCAGGCCAAATCTGGACCAGACTCTAGATCCAGCTAGATCCATCTAGATCCAGCTAGATCCAGCTAGATCCAGTATCCAGCTAGATCCAGCTAGATCCAGCTAGATCCAGCTAGATCCAGTATCCAGCTAAATCCGGCTAGATCCAGTATCCAGCTAGATCCAGCTAGATCCAGCTAGATCCAGTATCCAGCTAAATCCGGCTAGATCCAGTATCCAGCTAGATCCAGCTAGATCCAGATTCAGTATCTAGCTAGATCCAACTAGATACAGTATCCAGCTAGATCCAGCTAGATCCAGTATCCAGCTAGATCCAGCTAGATCCAGCTAGATCCAGTATCCAGCTAGATCCAGCTAGATCCAGCTAGATCCAGTATCCAGCTAAATCCGGCTAGATCCAGTATCCAGCTAGATCCAGCTAGATCCAGCTAGATCCAGTATCCAGCTAGATCCAGCTAGATCCAGCTAGATCCAGTATCCAGCTAAATCCGGCTAGATCCAGTATCCAGCTAGATCCAGCTAGATCCAGCTAGATCCAGCTAGATCCAGCTAGATCCAGTATCCAGCTAGATCCAGCTAGATCCAGTATCCAGCTAGATCCAACTAGATACAGTATCCAGCTAGATCCAGCTAGATCCAGCTAGATCCAGTATCCAGCTAGATCCAGTATCCAGCTAGATCCAGCTAGATCCAGTATCCAGCCAGATCCAGCTAGATCCAGTATCCAGCCAGATCCAGCTAGATCCAGTATCCAGCCAGATCCAGCTAGATCCAGATTCAGTATCTAGCTAGATCCAACTAGATACAGTATCCAGCTAAATCCAGCTAGATCCAGTATCCAGCTAGATCCAGCTAGATCCAGTATCCAGCTAGATCCAGCTAGATCCAGTATCCAGCTAGATCCAGCTAGATCCAGTATCCAGCTAGATCCAGCTAGGTCCAGTATCCAGCTAGATCCAGCTAGATCCAGTATCCAGCTAGATCCAGCTAGATCCAGCTAGATCCAGCTAGATCCAGTATCCAGCTAGATCCAGTATCTAGCTAGATCTACCACTACTTTGTAAATCTAGCTATAGATACTTTATAGAGCTTCGCTTTTGTAAGACTCCGAGCCCTAAAACTTTAAAGCCGAATATCTCGCGATTTGCAGGGTGTTTAACAAAAAATCTTATGATTTCTTGATCTCCATGGTCGATTCTAGAAGATCTGAAGCGATTCGAAACTTCAAGATGCGATCATTCCTTTGTTAGCTCAACTGCATAAAGTTCAGCCCAATCAAGACCGGATCAGCTTTAATTCAAAGCCTAACAATGCGATCAATTGCCTGACCAACTGGCTCTAGACCAGGCAATCCGGCTTTCTATAAACCTCACCTCCCATCTTGACATCAGAAATCTGTGCCCAGACAGCTGTCAATTCACGGGTGACAAGGGAAAAGTTGCGGAGATCGCTGGATCCTGAAGAGATGATTTGAAAGCGAATGTAACTAATCTATCTCTAATCTATCGCATGACCAAAACGCTCAACTCTTATCAATTTGCAACTCACGATAAGCTTTGGCAATCGAATTACAGTCGGCGATGAGGGCAACGTAGTGGACGAGCGCGTTGGCGGTGTTTCCCCTGAAGAATTCGTAAAATCTGTTCAGTTCGTAAAAAATTTGCAATTTGAATTTTTCCCTATCATTTTAACAATTCAGCTTGAGTGAAAATCAAATTTTCCCCAAAAAAATCAACCTCAAAATCAATCGCAATTCCGCCTTGATGTAGGCTTGTTGCTTGAGGAGAATCTCGGCATTCACACTCGAATCTTGCACCGAGAAATAGCAAACATTTCGCCAGAGACTGTAAACAATTCAATTCTGTATCTTTTTTAGCATTTAGAATTAATATGAGAAACGTTTTTCACTAGAAAAACAAAGAAAAACAAAGAAAAACAAACTCACGAGAAAAAAAGCGACAAAACATCGCTCGAATTTGTCAATGCATCGCTCGGAAAGCTTTCGCTTAAACAATTGGCAATCTGGAACGAGAAAAGTGAGTAATTGCTAGAGAAAGGCATTAAAGAAGCTTTTTTTTCTCGGCACTTACTAAGACAACGGCTTTATAGTCTAGCGCGCTATCCTCAGGCCATCACTGCTCTTGGTTTCCTCCACCTTAGCGCCAACTTATAGGCGAGTTGGGAGATTAAAATTAGCCTATAATAGCTTAGAATGCTTTAAAAGGCTCTTTTCAAGCTGGAAAAAGGGGCGTGGATAAGTCAATAGGCTACCGGCAATAGGCCATAAGATCAAGGTTCGGTTCCTGATGCAGCGCCGCTCGGAAAGCTCGGAAAGCTTTCGCTTAAACAATTGGCAATCTGGAATGAGGAATTAGGCTTAGGCTTAGGCTTAGGGTTAGGCTTAGGCTTAGGCTTAGGCTTAGGGTTAGGGTTAGGCTTAGGCTTAGGGTTAGGGTTAGGCTTAGGCTTAGGGTTAGGGTTAGGCTTAGGCTTAGGGTTAGGCTTAGGCTTAGGCTTAGGCTCAGGCTCAGGCTCAGGCTCAGGCTTAGGCTTAGGCTTAGGCTTAGGCTTAGGCACTTCATAGACACTTCATAGTTAAGGTAAATCTCAAAACGACTCAAATCGGGTAAACGAATGACTCTAAAATGCAAAGTTACGGGCAAATCACTCCAGCCGGGGGTTTCTTCAAAAACTGGCCTCGATTAATGTTAAACAAACAAACCCCCCATTTAAACAAATTTTCCACAAAAAAACTTTTCCACTTCTCCCACCTTTTGACAATCATCAACTGCAATCGATTTCCACTCATTCAACGAGCCAAACTGTTTCAAGAGCTCGCACAATGAGGCTCGGATCTAAACTGTATTGTAATTGCATAGTACTGGAGCAAGCTATTGGCAACACAGTATGCTTTATTATAGTGCTTGTCTTACTGTAGTGCTTGCCTTACTCCATCCAGGAGTCAAAATAACCCACTTTTGCATAAGTTTGCTGTCTAGAGACGAGCCTTGTCGTGATGAAGAGCAACGTCGACATGTAGCTTGCGCGGATTTCAACGGGGATCTGAAAATTCTCATAAGCAAAGATTTAACTCGTACAAGAGGACTTGGAAATTATTGGATTAGTTATGGTAAAGTTATCAAAAACGTAATCGTCTTTTCATATGATTTTTCTTTTGCTTTGTAGATGACCCAAAAAAAAATTCAGCTTTAAATTTGTAGCCCAGGGTTTTTCGGGGTCAGCGGATCGACGAAATTTTGCGGCAAAAGGATTTAAATCCCTTGACACATGGGCATGGGCATTGCAGGCATTGCTGACAAAAACAGAGCCATGAACAGAGCCGTGAACAAAGCCGTGAGCCGAGCCGTGAACAAAGCCGTGAACCGAGCCGTGAACGGAGCCGTGAGCAGCGCCGTGAGCAGCGCCGTGTACAGAGCCGTGTACAGAGCCGTGAACAAAGCCGTGAACAGCGCCGTGAACAGAGCCGTGTAGAGAGCCGTGTACAGAGCCGTGAACAGAGGAGCTTTTCATTTCAAAACACGTACACTTTTCGAAATCACGTCCATCCACGCAATTCGCACGAAAATTTGTGCCACCACCGGGAAACAGTCAGCCGATCGAGAGGCGAAGATCTGAAAATCGATTCTACAGTACGACGAGGCTACAAGTATAGTTTAGTACTGCAGTTCTGTAGTACTGCAGTTCTGTAGTACTGCAGTTCTGTAGTACTGCAGTTCTGTAGTACTGCAGTTCTATAGTACTGCAGTTCTGTAGTACTGCAGTTCTGTAGTACTGCAGTTCTGTAGTACTACAGTTCTGTACACTTTTAAACTCTACCTCATTCATCGCGGTGAGCGCACGAAGTGACGGCCAAAATGAGGGCCAATGAATGCGCATCAGGTGCGTTTCCTGAACAGAATATTTTTCACTGATTCAGAGCTAGATCAGATCATAGGTATCTGCGATAAAAGCTAAACGTAAACATTGATTTTCTTGTACCAAAGTCGCGTAGTAGTGAGCCGTTCCATGGGTCAACCTCGACAACTTCTCGCAGAAGAATTGCCACACAAGCGATTGAGCGTTTTGTTGGCCTAAACGTAGGAGATTGGCTAAAAAACAGTATTCAAACTACAGTAGACCAGAAGCTAAACGTTTAGAGTAAACTCTGTTCTTTTCAGCCTCGCTCTTTTCAGCCTCACAAACCCGGTGCCAGTGTCGTGTTGTAGGGAAGTGCGTTGATAAGTTGAACCATCCTTTCCACACATAAATCTGTCTCTTTTGCATGCGATGGCGAGAATGGAGGAACGGATGATGAAGGAGGCACGATTAATGGAGAAAACAACGAGATCACTCGCGAAAATGCGTCAACGAGAGCTAAAGAATGACTTCAGAAATCCCTGCACTAGATAAACCATGAATAGTACGAAAAACTTAGGCTACACTATGACAAGCTCCCTTTTTGCTCACCTGCATTCGAAACCGATTGCGGAGCGCTTGCATCGAATGATTCCCGGACGGCTGTTTGGAGGAAAAGTTGTGCGAGACGAGTGATCGGATCGAGATATCTGAAATGGCATCAAGGTATTTCATTAAGGATCAGAATCAAGAAGTTAGCTAGGTTTCTATATTAATGTCTTTTGTGACTTCCAGATCTTTCAAAAAGTTACGAAAAGTTTAAGGAAAGCCACTGGAAATTTGTCGATTCACCTCCAGATGCTCTTGGAGCAATTCCAACGATTTTTAAAAGGCTTCTATCTCCATTTTTTCTTTACCATTATCTCCCGTGACTTCCAGATCTTTCAAAAAGTTACGAAAAGTTTAAGGAAAGCCGCTGGAAATTTGTCGATTCACCTCCAGATGCTCTTGGAGCAATTCCAACGATTTTTAAAATGCTTCTATCTCCATTTTTTCTTTACCATTATCTCCCGTGACTTCCAGATCTTTCAAAAAGTTACGAAAAGTTTAGGGAAGGCCACTGGAAATTTGTCGATTCACTTCCAGATGCCCCTGGAGCAATTTCAACGATTTTCAAAATGCTTCTATCTCCATTTTTTCTTTACCATTATCTCCCGTGACTTCCAGAACTCCCAAAAAGTTCAAGAAGAGCACGAAAAATTTAGCGATTCACTTTTGAAAGTGGGTGGTTATCGCTCTTTTGCTAGGATCAGGTCTAGATTAAGAACAGGAGTGATATTCAAGGCAAGAACCAAGCCAGGGCTTGGACTAATTGTAAGACAAGGACCAGGAGAGTTGTTAACCCACAAGCAGAGCTATGATAAAGCCATGCCAAGAAAAGCCAAGAAATCTCTTATTAGCTGAATAAATATTATTTTGGGGTATCGGTGAGAAAAAAATAGCTGGCTTAAACACTCACTTTGCCCAAACAGCGAACAAATTCGCGCCCAACAGCGCTCGGCCCTCGCTTAACCGTTTCGTGATCACCACACAGCACTCGAGAGACTAAAAAATGGTAGGATTACGGTAGCATTGTAAATCCCTTTCCTTAGACTCACCTTAATCCCGTTGATCACGAATTGTCCTTTAGGCGCCTCCCATTTCTCTCCATTGAGCTTTTCAACGAAAATCTCGAAAAGTGATGCCGGAGCGGCGCCTGTATTGCAACCTAAAGATTTTCGTAAATTCGTAAAACGAAACTTTATCCCAACCAGCTAAAGCAACATCGAGTCCGTAGACGAAATTCAGCGGGAACTTGTGGAAAATGAATGTGACTAGGTGCTTGAGGCAAAGCTCATGCAATTCGGTGCTCGGATCCGGCTGTGAGGCGACCTGAAGGCTCAAAAGATAGACGAAGCCTCAGCATATAGTATACGAAAGTTCTTAATAGCTGCAGTAAGATGGCTGCAGTCGGCTACAGTACACCCTTGCCCAGCTACTGTACCCATTCCCAGCTTATGCTTTTCCTGAGCCCCCTAACAGTCACAGTACGCGTACATTACTAGTGCTATGTCAAGTGCGTAAGGCTTCAAACAACTCTAGACCGTAATCCTTGGCGGAGATTCGCAAAGGAAAATCACTGGCTCAAATGCTATTCGACCTATACCATTCGCAGAATGCTGATTCCGAATATCTATTCCGTTTTTGCTAAATGACAATCTCTTAGGAGTTATAAGTTTTTAAAGTTTTGTAAGGACTTTGAAAATGTGGTCATTTGGCCTCCTTGCTGACCTAAAAATGTGATCATTTGGGTCTTAGCGGTCCTCTCGTGGACCCCTTTCACTGCAGGCTTGGCCGAGTGGTAAAGCGTTCGTTTCAAGAGTGAAACCTCGCGAGTTCGATCCCGGGCTCTGGATTTTTCTTTTGCTTTTTTCCAAGAAGCGTTGAGTCAACGGGTCAGTCAAGGATATTCTTTGTCTTTCTTCCAAAGACAAAGAATATTCTTCCAAAGAAAGACAAAGAATACCCTTGACTGACCGTTGACTCAACCCTTCTTGGAAAAAAGCAAAAGAAAGATCCCAGGCCGGGGTCGAACTCGCGAGGTTTCACTCTGGAAACGAACGCTTTACCGCTGGGCCAAGCCTGCGTGAAAGCTGACCGCGAGAAGACGGCTAAGACCCAAAAGACCATTGTTTCAGAGTCCGCAAGTAGGCCGCTAAGACCCAACACATTTTCAAAGTCATAACAAAACTTTAGACACTTATAACTCCTGACAGGTTGTCATTTAGCAAAAACGGAATAGATATTCGGAATCAGCAGAAAATTCTGCGTGATTATATAGGTCGTAGGCCCGTTGGCCGTTGGCAGCTGGCCCCGTAAAACTTTACGTTATTGAAAGCGATCGGTATCAGCGCCATAAACTGTTGAGCCGGCAGTGAGCTGGTCGTTTTGTCGATTGCGAGTCTGCCTGTAATATGAAAGTTTGTAAGGAAGTTTGTAATGAAGTTTGTAATGAAGTTTGTAAGGAGGTTTGTAAGGAGGTTTGTAAGGAGGTTTGTACTGAAGTTTGTAATGAAGTTTGCAATGAAGTTTGCCTCTATTTGCCTTGTTTTTTTGCGAATTTCCTCAACAACTTACCCAGCAATTTGAAAGCTCGTTGCGATTTCTCTAAATGTCCGACGGATTCGCTCAATTTTGCATAACAATCGCAAAGCTCTTGACTTCCCAAACATTCCGGTGTGAAAACCTGAAAAGAAAGGAAAAGAAAATGATACTTTATCTTCATTTTAGACACCTCAACAAGTGGATCTGACAAGACGAAACCGTCAAGCACTAATCGCATCACATTCATTTGTTCTTCAGGGCGTAAACGGACGAATTCCTAATATAGAAATCATTCAGCATCCACTTAAAACCTCGAGGTCTAACCCAGAATTGCTGGAAGTACTTGTACTAAGGTAATGGAAGTACTGGAAGTACTGGAAGTACTGGAAGTACTTGTACTAAGGTACTGGAAGTACTGGAAGTACTTGTACTAAGGTAATGGAAGTACTTGTACTCAGGTACTGGAAGTACTTGTACTCACTGGAAGTACTTGTACTCACTGGAAGTACTTGTACTCACTGAAAGTACTTGTACTCACTGAAAGTACTTGTACTAAGGTACTGGAAGTACTTTCCAAAGGACAAACCTTTCCCAAAACTCGAAGCACATTCTCAAAACTTGAAGTAGCAGCTGGGAAAAGCATGACCTCCGACGAAATACTGGAAATCGTTTTGATTTGATTAATTTGATTACTTCTAAAAGTAGAACTAAACCTTGACGTGGTCAAGTAGAAAAGTGACCGTCCAGTGCCTTGTGCTTTCACCCGTTGAGCTCCGTCCATCATCGAGGCGAATACGGCCACTTGTCTAAAACGCTTTATTCACTCTAAAGTCTTGCTCTCCACTCACAGCGCCACGAATTCCATGCTTGCCGTTTGCATTGCTGCAGCGTCAAGAAGGGAGGCTTGTGCTGATGTGATACTTGTCCCGCGGCGTTCCCGATTCTGCGTCATCTCCGCGTCGCATTGCGCGCTGAACTCGGTGGCTGTCACCTGAAACAAATGGACACTAGATACTGTAGCCGCTCTAGAGAGTATTGTGAAGTGTTCTAGAGGGTTCTTGGATACTGTGGGTTACTGTAGCTGCCTAAAGAATACTGTAAGGGCAATTGGGGTACTGTAACTAAGCCCTACAGTACTAGAGAGTACTGTAGAGTTGTGAGAGGTACTGTACTGTATGGAATACTAGGATTTGGGATACTGTAGCTTCTCTAGGGTACTGTAAAGGTTATAGAGATACTGTAGCTTCTCTAGGGTACTGTAAAGGTTACAGGGATACTGTAGCTGCTCTAGGGTACTGTAAAGGATACTGTAACTGCTCTAGGGTACTGTAAAGGTACAGGGATATGTAGCTCTCTAGGGTACTGAAAGGCTAAGGGTACGGTGGACAGTTGGTACTGTAACTGCTTTAGAGGGTACTTTAGACTTGTGAGAGGTACTGTACTGTTTGGAATACTAGGATCTGGGATACGGTAGCTTCTCTAGGGTACTGTAAAGGTCACAGGGATACTGTAACTGCTCTAGGGTACTGTAAAGGTTACAGGGATACTGTAACTGCTCTAGGGTACTGTAAAGGATACTGTAACTGCTCTAGGGTACTGTAAAGGATACTGTAACTGCTCTAGGGTACTGTAAAGGATACTGTAACTGCTCTAGGGTACTGTAAAGGATACTGTAACTGCTCTAGGGTACTGTAAAGGTTACAGGGATACTGTAACTGCTCTAGGGTACTGTAAAGGATACTGTAACTGCTCTAGGGTACTGTAAAGGATACTGTAACTGCTCTAGGGTACTGTAAAGGATACGGTAGCTCTGTAGGTGTACTGTAACTCTTCAACTCGTTGCCTTTAACCCAGCCTACTTGTACTGTAGCCGACGAAGGCCTCGGGCATCTCGACGAGCATTGCACAATCACGGTGATACTCCTCTGCACAGGCAGATACAATCTCGAGATCAACTCGCAATATCTCTGATCATTTTCCGCTAAATCATCGGAAACGGAGACAAAGTTGCTAAAGTTTTTTTTTTTGGCTTAAACAATTAGAGAACTCGATGAAACTCACTCGCTCAGCTTGTTCACGTTTCGAATCATCGGCGCGAAGAGGCTCATGAGCACGTCTTGCGATTGAATCATTGAGTAGTCGATCTGGAAATGAGACAACATTGAATTTAGAGTCAAATTTTGAAGTTGTCTTCTTTACAGAATCAGTTTTGGCTAGCTAAACCGGATGAACAAGACTGACTAGAATGAGGTAAACAAATGGTTTTTCTATAATAAAGAAGTGAAGGAATTGACAAGGGAAAGTAGATTTTCAGAGAGGGAATTACTTCCTCCGCTTTTTCTTTCCGGGTAATTGCTCTAAACACTGAGCTATTCCGGTACCTTAGATTGCTAACAGAAAGAAAGAAAGAGAAGGAGGAAGAAGAAAGAAAGGAAGAGAAGGAGGAAGAAGAAAGAAGGAAAGAGAAGGAGGAAGAAGAAAGAAAGAAAGAAAGAAAGAAGCCAATTGCAAAGCCAACCGATCTCGGTCTTTGCTTGGGATTCTAATACAAAAATCCTAGCTCTTTTACAGTACCCTTGGCGGGGTGGGTAGTCCAGGATGTGTTGGGAGTGTTGGAAAAGGCAATGCCCGCACAGCTCGATCCCTTTCTGACGGCCCTTCCCAACCATTTCGGGCGGCCATTCGACGCTCCTCATGGCAAATCGCTTGATAGAGCTGAATAGTGTTTCCGATTACTTACTCACTTGCCCAACTCACTTTGATCTCGTCCAGTGAACTCTGGTGAATGTGCGCGAGATTCACGAAATCCATCCACGGGCTCGCATCACCGGAAAGCAACATTTGAAGCAGATAGTCCAAATCGAAACATGAGAAGTTGAAATTCGGCACATTTAAGTCACGATTCGAGAAAACCCATCCGGAAACAGCCTGAATGAGGCTTTCGAAGATATCGGCCACGTTGCTCAATGTCTTTCAATGTTTTCTATGTTTTCTATGTCTTTCTATATCTTTCTATATCTTTCTATGTCTTTCTATGTGTCAATTCTATGTTTTCTACCTCTACATCCTATTGAAATGTGGAACTCATTTGACTCAATATTAACAAAATGAACAAATTGCCTAAGCCTAAGAGGCCTTCGCCGAAATCCTTTCATGAAATGCTCAAGTTTTATTGCCTATTGTGCGGGTTTTTCCATATTCATTGATTCAGGACATTACTGTTAACTTTTTGGCTCAGGCTCAGGCACAGGCTCAGGCTCAGGCACAGGCATAGGCACAGGCACAGGCATAGGCACAGGCATAGGCACAGGCACAGGCTTATGCACAGGCTCAGGCTCAGGCTCAGGCACGGCACAAGCACAGGCACAAGCTCAGGCACAGGCTCAGGCACAGGCACAGGCTTATGCACAGGCTCAGGCTCAGGCACAGGCACAGGCTAAGGCTGAGCCTAAGCTTCATCTGTTGCCTGACGATCGTTTGACCTGTTGTTCGTTCAACGACGATCGTTCAACGACATTCCCGGATTTCTCTTTTCTTTTTAGATGCCTTAAAAGAAAGAGATTCAGCTCTAACATTGTTTTCAGCCTCGGCAAATCAGTTTGCAGGGTTTATTTAAGTAAAAGAATAGCTTACGCTTTTGAAAACACAGTATAAATATTGTATTGAGTCTCAAGTTCCCGAAATCATGATTCTTTTCAAAACCCACTTTATAAAAACCCTTTGGATGCGCTTTTGACTCGAGCACATTGCGACAATCGGCGAAAATTTGAGCACAAGACGGTGTGCTCACGATTCGTTGAGCGAAGACGTAGCTCTTTCTGTAAAAAATGAATCTGAAATGAAAACACGAACAAAGAAAGCAATGATATGAATGCTTGAGTCGAGTTTAGAAGGATATTCTTTAAAAAGTTGTTTAACTTCGCTTACCCAAGAGTGGATCGTCGCTTGAAAAGTGTGGCGCCGAATTGCTGAACGATCAACGGGAGAATCTGAAGGGATTTCGGTGGAAAGTACAAGAGTACAAGAGTACAAGAGTACAAGAGTACAAGAGTACAAGAGTACAAGAGTGTTTGTAAGTAGAAGAATACGGGAGAATCTTTAGAGTAATTTAATTTTAGGTGTACTATAGGCAAGTGCTAGTTTCGCTGAACTGACAAGGAAAAGGTCAGAATTGGCCGTGGAATTTTGACTAGGAATAAGTGTGGTAAGGGTAATTCGGACCCGGTGATTCCGAATCTGAAGTTAGTTTTTTCGCAGCTATCACCAATCGCAAGGAATCTGGCATACAAATTTTCCAAGTGAGCGCACTAGGAAGAGCCGAGCTTGGTACTTGGCTTGGCTAACGCTGAAGAGCCGAGCTTGGTACTTGGCTTGGCTAACGTTCTGAAGATCGGAGCTTTAATCCCGCGTACAGATTTTACAGAATTCTAAAAAGCATTCGGGTTACTTACTTACTTACTTACTTACTTACTTACTTACTTACTTGCTTACTTGCTTATTTACTTACTTATTTACTTACTTATTTACTTACTTTACTTACTGTAACTAAACTCCTTCGGGTTACCGTAACTGCAAATTGAATACTTCAAGTTTTCGCTTGTTTTCAAGCTTTCGAATTCTCACCTCAGAATCCCGGCAAACCGCAATCGCATTCGCCCATCGCATTGCCGGAAGTCGATCCGGCGTCAAAGCTATGCCCGACTTTTGAGCAGCTTTCTAAAGCCTTCAAATCTTTCACCGCCTCACTTCAATCACACCTTGACGGCTTGATCCCCATTGTTCTTGTCCTTTTTCGCAAAAGTCTCCCACAGATATGTGTAGAATGATTGAAAAGCTTCCTGGAAAGTGTTTTGACTCTGGCTTGGAGGCTTGGCAGACAGATAGAGGCTTGACAGACAGACAGAGGCCAGCAGACGACCTTGGCATGGTCCAGTTTTACTAGATCTAGCTATTCGATCTAGCTTCATGGCTTAACTCTGCCCCCAAACCTTAGTATAACTCTTCTCTGCCAAATCGGCTCTTTGCTTAACCCTGGTTTTACCTTTTTAAACCTTATACCAGTACCTGTTTTTAAACCCGTACCTGTTCAATTAGCAGCAAGAAATAAGTAGCCCACGGAGAGATCGGGTAATAAGCGGCCAGCAGAAGACTTGGCGGTGATGAGTCTCCAGAAAACAACGAGAAGAGTCCCCTCGATTGCTCTTTTGACGAAGATTGAAGAGTCTGAAGGAAATTCTGTTTAAAGGACGATTTATAAACATTATTTTAAAGGTCAAAGACTACCAGATAAGCCTCAGCGAATTTCCCGCTCAATCCAAGCAATCCAATCGAATCATTCGAGAAAGCGATTTGCACGATCGTGCCAAGGATTTGAAGAGCAACCTGGGATCTTTTTTTGTGCATTTATCAACTCACTTGATCTATTTTCATTTATCACTTGCATTTATCAACTCACTTGATCTGTATTCCAGATGTAAGTCCGTTGAGCAAGCAGAATCTCTGCCCAGGCATTGAGAAATGCTCCTTTGTCATGCATGTTTTGAGAAAACACCTGAATGTTTAGCAGAAATTCGGATAATGGGAACATTTTTCGAATTGATCTAGCAATTTTACGCTTGTACAAAGCAGTTGTACAAAGCAGCCGACGAAGATCATAGCTCATAGCTCGTGGATAGCTTTTTGGATAGATTTAAAGCCTTTTTCAAAGCAAAACACACCAAAATTTGTGCCCTAATCAGCCGAACAATCGGCGTCGGTGTTGACGAGGGACCGGTGAGCAATTGAACCGCGTACGAGCATTGATCCGCGTGCAGAACCCGTTCGGCCATGTCGATAAAGCTAAAGTCAATGATTTTATGTGGAAAACGGTTGTTTTTTTTGGTTAAAAGTTGTCTTAAGATGATAATTGATTGGACTTTTTTTGAACAAAGCTCTAACAAAGCTCTAACAAAGCTCTAACAAAGCTCTACCAAAGCTCTACCAAAGCTCTAACAAAGCTCTAACAAAGCTCTAACAAAGCTCTAACAAAGCTCTACCAAAGCTCTAACAAAGCTCTACCAAAGCTCTAACAAAGCTCTACCAAAGCTCTACCAAAGTTCTAACAAAGCTCTACCAAAGCTCACTTGTTATCAGCGACGAGACTCCCGATTGCTTTGTGATGTTGTTGCACAACGCGGCCGAAAAGGATCGCGCTTGCAATCGTGCATCCTGAGTTTACCAACTCGTTCATCAATTGGACACCCTTGTCCAAGAAGATCTCGGGCCTAAAATAGCTATTGTACAATGGAAACTACGTGAACTCACTTTGCAATCGCGTGCTTAGCTGTGTGCACATAGAAAGCGGCTAAGTCTTGCTGTGGGACAACGGTCGAGAGCTGAAAAGGAAACGTTACAGGACAGTTACAGAGCTCATACCCAGCTCTATCTACAGGCAACTGGCTACAGGCAACTGGAATCAGTTTAGCCAGGTCATTGCTTAGTTTAGCCAGACCAATACATTGAATTGGCTAAATTAACCCTAGACTCTGCTGGGTGCAAATGTTTGTAGACGTCCAGCGGTACTCTAGAGTGCTGAAGGTACTCTAGAATGCTGAAGAATTCTAGAATGCTGAAGAATTCTAGGTTGACCTAATTCTAAGCTGACCAGGACAATTCTAAGTTGACCAGGACAATCTGAAGCTCTTGTCCACTTCAGTTTTGTCTAAACTAGGTTTGAACTGAATTCGTCTGACATCTGATGCCTGCAAACTAGACTATAAACAAGATTTGGCTTAAAACTTCCCTAAAGAAGATTGACCTAAAGAAGCAGAGCCTTTTCTAGCCTTGATCTGGGCTAGATTGTCGCCAGTTTGTCGTCTAGATTTGACCTCGATCAGCCTGGCATCTGGTCAAGGCTGTGCCTTGACTTGTCTTGACTTGAGAAGCTCAAGGTAAGTCATTTGGAACAGAAGCCTAATCGAAAGCTAGTGAATGGAAAAGTTGCCTTCAAAACCTTCCTTACCCTTCCTTACCCTTCCTTACCCTTCCTCACCCTTCCTCACCCTTCCTCACCCTTCCTCACCCTTCCTCACCCTTCCTTACCCTTCCTTACCCTTCCTTACCCTTCCTTACCCTTCCTTACCCTTCCTTACCCTTCCTTACCCTTCCTTACCCTTCCTTACCCAGCCATTTCCCTTTAACCCTATCTCACCTCAACGGTCAGCTTCAATTTGATCAAGATGTCCCAAACGAATTGATTGAAATGCGCCTCGTGATCAGCGATTTTGCTCGCCAACTTGGCCACCTGAAAGCAAAAAAAATGAGTGAATTGCTTTTGGAAAGGCTATTGGAAAGGCTTTGATTCTACAACTTCAATAAGCCTACGAGAAAATGCACCTTTTGAATACTCTTCGCAATCAACCCATTGCTCTTTCCACAATGAGCGGCATGAGCCTTGACGACCGTACTTGCGCACATCTCGTGAACACCCGCATCCATCCAGAGTTGACCCGATGAGTCGTAGCCCCAATTTAGAGAAGAAAGGACTCGACGTGCCAAACTGAAAGCAATTTAATTTACTTATAGATTGATTCAATTTGAAGCTTTAGAAGTTTATTTGAACTGTTTAAAGCTTTAGAAACTTGTTTGAACTGTTTAAAAGCTTTAGAACTTCATTTGAACTCGTTTAAAAGCTTTAGAAGTTGATTTGAACTGTTTAAAAGCTTTAGAAGTTTATTTGAACTGGTTTAAAGCTTTAGAAGGTTGATTTGAACTGGTTGAAAAGCTTTAGAACTTCATTTGAACTCGTTTAAAAGCTTTAGAACTTCATTTGATCTCGTTTAAAAGCTTTAGAAGTTAATTTGAACTGTTTAAAAGCTTTAGGACTTCATTTGAACTCGTTTAAAGCTATAGGGAATACTGTAGGAGTACTGTGGAAACCTGTAGCTTTGTAGGGGTACTGTGAGAGGCTGGGATCAGTTTTCTCATTGTTTCCCACTCACCGATTGGCCACGTGATCGGCGCCGCGATTGATCAACCATTTCCCGAGCACACTCCCCAGAATTGCTTGCGACACACCGCACTGCGAGAGATCGCATGACGCGAGAGTATCCACCGCGTACTGGAATAAAGAACATCTAGATCTTGATCTGCTCTGGGATTTAGACTAGAGTAGTTAAAAAGATGCTAGCTCTAGCTTCCAGGACAAATAAATCTAGGTCTGCTCTAGATCTAGTAGATCTAGTCAAGCTAGATCAGCTCTAGATCTAGTAAAGCTAGATCAGCTCTAGATCTAGTAAAGCTAGATCAGCTCTGGATCAGCCTAGATCTAGTCAAGCTAGATCAGCTCTAGATCTAGTCAAGCTAGATCAGCTCTAGATCTAGTCAAGCTAGATCAGCTCTAGATCTAGTAAAGCTAGATCAGCTCTAGATCAGCCTAGATCTAGTCAAGCTAAATCAGCTCTAGATCTAGTCAAGCTAGATCTGCTCTAGATCTAGTAGATCTAGTGAAGCCAGATGAGCTAGGCTTTCGGTTAGATCGAGTACAATTAACTGGTAACTAGCTGAATCCCTTTCTTACTCACATTTCCCATATGATCAATCAATCGATCGAGCGTCGTCAGAATTTGATCCAAAAGTTTCGGTTTCCGAAGAATCATCTGCGCCAATGCCTCACCACCAACTTTGTACAACTGATCTCGAGTCGATTCCTCACAAAAGCACAACTGAAATGATTGAGTTTACGGGGTGGGGATACTGTAGAATGCTGTAGGATACTGTAGAACACTGTAGAATACTGTAGGATACTGTAAAAGCTTTTGTGAGGCTTTTGTGAGGCTTTAGAGGGCTTTAGAGGCATTGACTCACCTCCAAAATCTCCTTGATGAACTTCGTTGGGTCACCGGAAGAAACACTAGCGATCGTTGCTAACGAGTTGATCATGAAAACGCTGTCCATTTCTTCTGGATTGTAGATTCGATACTTTAGTTGGCCTAGAGCATGATTGTTGTTAAGAAATCTAAAGAAAAGTCTGACAAGACAAGCCAAACTCGGTCTAGAAAAGGTTTAGCTTCAGAACAGAACGTTCAGCTTCAGGACAAACACCAGATTGACTCATTTAAATAATCTTAAGTAGAATGATAATGTTAAATAGAATAATCTTAAATAGAATAATCTTAACGTAGAATACTCTAATAGAATAATCTAATAGAATAATCTTAACTAGAATAATCTAATAGAATAATCTAATAGAATAATCTTAAATAGAATAATCTTAATTTAAAAAAAGCTATTCAATCCAAACTATTCAACCCCAATAAACCGACATTTCTCGATCTTCGCTGGCAATTCCTCGGTGGGAATCTCGTAGAGCTCTTTGGCAGTGATCGGCTGGGGGCTTCGGAGCAAGAAAATCACTCTTTGTCGGCACTCCTCCGAGACGAATTCGTACGGCAAATCGACGAGAAATTGGTAGAGACCGAGGCTGAAATGGAATTCGAATTAAAACGGAAAAAAAAAATCGATTGCTAATATCTTTATAGCTCTGTAGAGACTAGAGGAGTACTGTAAAGCTTTTGGGGCATTGTATGATGCTATAGGAGTCCTGTAGAGGATGTCAGGATACTGTAAGGGTAGTAGGAGGTAGCCATTGATGTACTGCAGAGGCTTTATGGTACTATAAAGGTTGTTAGGGCACTTTAGGGTTACTGTAGAGGTCCGGCGGTACTGTAGGGTACTGTAAAATGCTAAAGAGGTTGTTTAGGGTACTGTATGATGCTGTAGGAGTACTGTGGAGGGTGGCAGGGTACTGTAGGATGCTGCAGGGAAACTCTGGGGTGCTGTAGGGTATTCTAGAGGGTGCAAGGGTACTGTAGGAGGCTGCAGGGATACTGTAGGGGTACTGTAGGGTATTCTAGAGGGTGCCAGGGTACTGTAGGAGGCTGCAGGGATACTCTGGGGTACAGTAGGGTATTCTAGAGAGTGACAGGGTTCTACAGGATACTGCAAGGGTTGTGGGTACTGTAGAGGTTCTAGGGAATACTCGAAAGCCCAAAAATCCCTCACTTCTGATGGCTGATGATATATTGCACGGCGAGGATCAAAATGCGGTCAATCTCCAGCTGCAGCTGGTCGTATTCGGCCGGCGGCAGCAAGGATTGCGTCGTTCGCCACAAATTGCACAACTCGCGCACGGATTGTCTAGAAAAAGCTGAGCTTTTCGAAAACCAACGAAATCCCACCTCAAGTACATCCCAATTTGCTTGCAAAAGAGCTTATTGCTCGGCTTCCCGTACTCATTTAAACCCTCATTCAACAGCTTCATCAACAACAATTGAAATGAGATCAAAGAGACGAATTGAGCGCTCGACTCATTGGCTAGAATGTAAGAATTTTGGTTTTTTGGTTTTTGATTTTAAAGAAAAACGAACTCTCTGATGTAAAGTGGAGAAAAGCGAGCGAATAGAAGTCGGCCACTGGTAACTGATCGAGGAATGAGATCAAATCTTGCTCGTTTATCGTCACAAAGGAGAACTCGGGCTGAATGGATGAATTCATTGATTGAGTTGATTCATTGAATTGATTCATTTTTGAACATTGGCTCATTCTTCATGATTTGGCTCCAGTTTAACCCCAGCTAAGATCAAGGTGAGAACAGGCTGGATTGAGACCAGAGACAGGCCTGTCCGGCTCTAGATCGAAGGTTTGGGCTGAGCCAGGCCTAAGCCAGGCCTAAGTTAAACCCAAGCCAGGCTGAATCGAGGCCGAATAGAGGCCGAATCGAGGCCGAATTGAGGCCGAAGTGAGGCCGAATCGAGGCCCAAGCCAGGCCGAATAGCGACCGAATAGAGGCCGAATCCAGGCCGAATTAAGGCCGAATCGAGGCCGAATTGAGGCCGAATTGAGGCCCAAGCCAGGTCCAAGTTAGGCCCAAGCCAGGGCAAAATCAGGCCCAAACCGGGGCAGGGCCAGGGCAGAGCCAGGCTCAAGTGCAGCCATTGAGCCAGTGACCTTGGCATAGCCTGGGCTGGTTCACTACAACCCTAGAGTCAAATTGGGTGACTGGTTTGGCCCCAGTTTAACCCCCAGCTCTGGACTAACCAGCTGCAGATCTAATCTTTCGATTATGGCCCTCTGATTAACACAAACTAATCAAAAACAAAGACAAAACGCCACTTTTCCACCTACATCATCTCCATCATCGTCTCCGAGAATCGCCCACGATTCCTCTTCGCCCTCGCTTTGACCGACTTGTCGAAGAAAGCTTTCACGTGCTCTAAAGTTATAGGGGTGAACGCTCTAAAGTTATTGGGAGCCTGAGCTCATCAGACTTTCCTCTCACCTAATCGGTGCCATCAAGTGTCCCAACATCGTCATGCAGTGGTCGATCTTTAGTTTATTTGGCGCTGTCGTTCCGGCAAAAGTCTAGAATACTTGATAGTTTACAAAGCTTTTCAAAATCTACTTGTACTAAAGGAGTTGCCCAGTCGGAGATCGGTGATGGAAGACGCAAGAGATGAAGGAGAATGAACTGCGCATCTTCGCTGCTACACCGCTTGAAGAGAGCACTCGACTGAAAACAAGAAGTCTGGGCCAAAGGGAGTTCAGTTCTCAACTCTGGTCCTTCAGCCATGATCCAGAGCCAGGATCGGGCTTTGGCTCAGCCTAGTTTGGCCTAACTAGTCTGGTTTTAGACAGCTTATTCTGATCAGCCTTGATCAGAGCTAGCCAGGAATTCCTGGAACCAGTTCTAGACAACAGTAAAAGTCCTAGAACCGGTTCTAGACAACAGTAAAAGTCCTAGAACCAGTTCTAGACAACAGTAAAAGTCCTAGAACCAGTTCTAGACAACAGTAAAAGTCCTAGAACTGGTTCTAGACAACAGTAAAAGTCCTGGAACCAGTTCTAGACAACAGTAAAAGTCCTGGAACTGATTCTAGACAACAGTAAAAGTCCTAAAATCCCAAAACTTACAATCTCCGTTATCCACGCCGTAACCGCTCCGATAAATCTCTGAGGTAAAGATGGGAATCGTAGATGAAAGAAAAGATCCGATAAAGCACAACGAATCAAACGCGATGAACCATTCGGCAACATGTTTGAGTGCACTAAAATCTATATTATAATTTTGGAAATTGTCTGTCGGTTTATCACGATTTCATTTGTGTTTTACAAATGAAATCGTGGTAATAGCATCGAAATGGCAATCGTGAGTGAGAAAAACCGTCGAGTAATCAATTTTTTAAAGTCTCTTCTTGCTATCGTCTATCTGGAGTGCACATTCGGTTACGGTAGCTTTAAAAAAATTAATCTATAAATCTACAGTATAACAAAGTTTAAGATATTCAGCTAAACAATAAGAGCAAACAAGCGGCTTAGCTCAAAGCCCTGTGAATGGCTGTGAATAGGTCATGAATTTTAAGTAAGCCAATTGCATAATTCCGATATGACCTAAGAACAAAAGAGTGAAACGGACAAATCACACAAGCTACTTCCCGCCGAACAGGACTACCTCATTTCCCCGAAAAACAAAATGGATCAAACAAAGAGCAAACAAGATTTGGCGACCCTGGATGACACACGAGTGATTTATAGAGTCAACTCGCCGAGGGCAGACCTATCCATAAATCCATAATGCAACGATTCGGGAGCTGAACCCTTTTCGCGCACCCTAGCCACCGAATCGTCGAATTTGCCGCCGATTCGTTATTTCTGGAGTGCATGTTGACATGTTAGCGGATCAAAGGGGACGGCATCTTCAACTTATGTTATGCAACGATTCGGGAGCTTCGATTCGAGAGCTGAACCCTTTTCGCGCACCCTAGCCACCGAATCGTCGAATTTGCCGCCGATTCGTTATTTCTGGAGTGCATGTTGCCTTGTTAGGGAATCAAGTTAGACTCTAATCATCTAGATTGGTCTGGCTTTCTGGTGTTGGCCTTACCTGGTCTAAAATCCTAATCACTTACATGAAACGGGCGATTGTTGTCCCACATTGTGCTCGGCCATGAATTGATTGTTGATTGAAAGCACTTTCCACTGGATTTGCAAAGCCAACGAGCTGTAAAGGTTTGTTGTAAGCGAAAAATCGATCGGAATTCTTTTCCTATGCGATTGAGAACGTTTTTTTTTCCAATCTAAAGCTTGCCCGGTTACCGTAACCGGTTTACCGTAACCGTAACCAGCTTCTGAGTCAATCTTTAAACTCACCGAAATTCCACTTCATGATTCAAGCGCTGATTTAGCAGAACATTTCGATTTTTCGTCAACAAGCGTCTCATTTCAGCGACTTTCTCGCCGGAAAGCGTGGCACTCTGATAGCTGCCATTGCCAGTGCCTTCTCTGTCTTCCCCGCAACGACCCTAGAAATGAGAAGTCATCGCTAGAGCCAGCTAGAGCCAGCTAGAGCCAGCTAGAGCCAGCTAGAGCCAGCTAGAGCCAGCTAGAGCCAGCTAGAGCCAATTCTTGCTTGAACCCACTTGAAATGTGATCGGTTTCTCGTTCAACGTCCAGCATTCCCTCAAGCATTTCTGCAGTGCTTCCGAGTTTTCCTTTTCGGCAACTTCCCCGAGAATCGCTCTCTCCGATAGATCTTTTAAACGAGCCAACAATGGGAAAAGTGGACCAGATGGAAGCTCTTCGTCCTGAACATAAAATTTAGCAAGAAGATCCTAAGCTAAAATCTCTCCCCATCTACCTTATGCTGGAATCTAAGCCTTGAACAACTCTTCTAACAACTCTAACAACTTGATTCTTCTCCATCCCCTGCACTCACCTGTATAAATCGCGTCGTCATCTCGTCAGCCACCTCGTAAAGCGGATTGTGGTAATAGGTGAGAAGATGTTGTTCGCTGAGAAGACCGTGTCGATTTCGCTCAAAGATCATCTTTGACACGCCCGGGTATAGCGGTGGAGCATCGATTTGAGCAACTTTTGGCATCACTTGAGAAACATGGGCGGCTGGAGGGACTACAAATTTGTGACAGTAGACTCCTAATCCAGTCTTTTTAGCTTCTGGCTTTGATGGTCTGAATTTGATCCAGGCTTATGCCAAGGCCGGGTTCAGGCTCAGGTCAAGGACTAGGAAATGTTCCCTAGGAAGACCCTAGATCCTGACGTTAGAGTCCCGCGGTCAGGAAGAAACTAGACCAAGCCAGATCGAGCCACGAGCCAAGATCGAGCCACGGGTCAGCCCAGATCGAGCCACAACTATTCGTGGCTCGATCTTGGATCGCGGCCAAACCCAGATCAATGCGCCAATCCTGGATCTGCCAATCCTGGATCTGCCAATCCTGGATCTGCCAAGCCTGGATCTGCCAAGCCTGGATCTGCCAAGCCTGGATCTGCCAAGCCTGGATCTGCCAATCCTGGATCTGCCAATCCTGGATCGGCCTTCCCAGGGCTCAGGGTCCCGGATCTGCCACCGTTTAGAAGTACTATACATTCTAATTACCATAATACAAATATTACTTACCAATTTGCGGCACTTGACTCGATCGAGCCTCTTGCATCAATTGAGCATAAGAAGGCGGTGGTGGATTTAGCGTCAAATCGGTCATCAAGCCAGCGGTGAGACTCGGCACGGCTGGATAGGCTGCGGCATTTCTCACCGTCTAAAGTTATGCAATCTTATATCTTAAATCTTGATCAAAACCAACCGTTCTCTCCTCGAAATCGATTGGCGGCTTTTCTGCGGAAACGGCACTAGATAACAACTTTTAAGGAACATTTTTGAACTATCTCTTTATTCTTTAGCTAACGTAATCCATTTTACAAGTGTCTTTTCTTAAAAGGCAACTGATTTACCGTAATCTCATTGTCAGTTTTCTTTTTTGATCAGCTCATCAAATGAAAATTGATTGAACGAGAGTACGGTGGTTTTTTCAAGTGCTTAGGCTTAGGCTTAGGCTCAGGCTTAGGCTTAGGCTTAGGCTTAGGCTTAGGCTTAGGCTTAGGCTTAGGCTTAGGCTCAGGCTTAGGCTTAGGCTTAGGCTTAGGTTTTACCTGCCTAAAGAGCAAGCTTTAGCCAGGTTTTGCTTACCGTAATCGATTCTCTATTCTATACTGAAACCAAATTCTAAACACCCACTCGGTTTTCGGGAAAATTAAGCGATGAGTCGGGATTGGTGGCGCTGTGCTACTTTGGCTTTGTACATTGTTTGTTTGAGTGGCCGTGAAATCAATCTCTCTGAAAAAAATGAGAAACTTTAAAGGATAAGGCCAAGCTAAAATCTCCGTCAAAACGAAAAACCGTACTCTGGCTCAGGCGATACAGATCTAGAGCGGACGATCGACGCGGCGAGACGACTTGAGGACGGTGTTTGCTGAAAGGGTACTGTGGGCTTTAAGAAGTACTGTAGCTTGAGGCTAGAAGCTACAGTGCTGTAGCTACAATGCTGTAGCTGTAGCTACAGTCACCAACAGTTATTGTAGCTCGACTGTAGCTTGGCTCTCCAATCCGCTTTCTAAAAAGTGCCCCTTTCCCTGACTACTGTAAGATTTCTATTTTATTCAATCTATCCACTTTTTGACTCTAATTCACAAAAGATAGAATCTCCAATTCGAAAGCTCTAATTCTGACTCTATTTCTGGCTCTATTTCTGACTCTAATTCTGGCTTTAATTCTGGCTCTAACTCTGCTTTAAGTCTGGCTTTAATTCTGGCTTTAATTCTGGCTTTAAGTCTGACTTTAATTCTGACTCTATTTCTAGCTCTATTTCTGGCTCTATTTCTGGCTCTATTTCTGGCTCTATTTCTGGCTCTAATTCTCACTCTAATCCTGGCTTTAATTCTCACTCTAATCCTGGCTTTAATTCTGGCTTTAAGTCTGACTTTAATTCTGACTCTATTTCTAGCTCTATTTCTGGCTCTAATTCTCACTCTAATCCTGGCTTTAATTCTGGCTTTCAAACGCAAAAATTCAAAAAGGCTATCGAAACATACAAAAAGTGGATAGATTTCGATAAAAATAGAGACAAGATTACGGTAATCGAGAGAAATGAGGCATATTTTAGACTCGACTAACCTCTGGCACTTGCGCAATCGAGTTTCCCCTTGGCGGAAGTGGTGGCGCTTCCCTGATCGGCGTCCTCTCCGTTCTCTCCGCTCTCTCCTGTTCAAATCCATCTTGCGGAATAGCCACTCGCGGTTTTGGCTTCGGTTTTTTCACTTTAACCGCCTCCATTCTATAAATTTTCATTCGATAACGTTTCCAATCGTAAAACAGTGTTTTTTTTCGAAAATTCTTTTAAAATAAAGCTGCATTAAAGGAAAAATGAATAAATTTCTTTAAAAAGAAGAAGGGTTTTTCTTTAGAATTTCTCAAAGAAACGTTCAAAAGAGTTATTTGGATTGAAAAGGCTTAAAAAATGAGGTGATTTAGATCCAAAATCGACCAAAAACTAGATGAAAATCGGTTAAAATCGGTCAAAATCAATCAAAATCGGTTAAAATCGGTTAAAATCGGTTAAAATCGATCAAAATCGGTTAAAATCGGTTAAAATCGGTTAAAATCGATCAAAATCGCTCAAAAATGACAAAACCATTTGAATAATATAACAAGAACGAAACAAAAGTTGCGAAACAAAGCCTAAATTCCATTGAAATCAATTGCTAAACAACGCAAATTCTAGAGAGATTTCACGCAAATCACAGATTCATTTTTGATGTAATAAAAATCGCTGAAAATCGCTGAAAATCGATCAAAATCGACCCATTTTTGATGTAATAAAAATCGTTGATCGTTGATAACGTGACATAAGGGAATTGGCTCAAGAATGGGGAAAACGGGGAAAAGAGAGAAAAGTGGTGAAATCAAAGCACTCACTAGCACAATTGGGAAGCGTTAAGAGGAGTGCAGTGTAGCTAGGGAACTTTTAACACAAATCGGTTATCAAATCGCACAATCTACTTTTAATCCTTCGATTCTCATTGAACCTTGATTTGCTAAGATTTTCAGTAGATCAAAACTAGTAGTAAGCCTAGTCTAGTAGTCTAGTAAGTCTAGTAGCCTAGCCTATCCTCGTAAGCCTAGTCTAGTAAGCCTAGTAGTCTAGCCTAGCCTCGTAAGCCTAGCCTAGTCTAGTAAACCTGGCCTAGTAAGCCTAATAGCCTAGCCTAGCCTAGTAGCCTAGCCTAGTAGCCTAGCCTAGCCTAGTAGCCTAGCCTAGTAGTCTAGTAAGTCTAGTAGCCTAGCCTAGCCTCGTAAGCCTAGCCTAGTCTAGTAAGCCTGGCCTAGTAAGCCTAATAGCCTAGCCTAGCCTAGTAGCCTAGCCTAGTAGTCTAGTAAGTCTAGTAGCCTAGCCTAGTCTAGTAAGTCTAGTAGCCTAGCCTAGTCTAGTAAGTCTAGTAGCCTAGCCTAGTCTAGTAAGTCTAGTAGCCTAGCCTAGCCTCGTAAGCCTAGTCTAGTAAGCCTAGTAGTCTAGCCTAGCCTCGTAAGCCTAGCCTAGTCTAGTAAACCTGGCCTAGTAAGCCTAGTAGCCCAGTCTAGCCTCGTAAGCCTAGTCTAGTAAGCCTAGTAGCCTAGCCTAGCCTTTAGTAAGCCTAACCTAGTCTAGCAAGCCTAGCCTCGTAAGCCTAGCCTAGCAAGCCTTATCTAGTAAGCCTAGGCTAGCCTAGTAAGCCTAGCTTAGCCTAGCCTAGTCTAGTAGTAATCTAGTCAAGTATGGTCCTGAATTTGTTAGTTAACTTTGGAAGATTAATTTAAGAAAGCCTTGGCTTGAAAATTGAATCACTTTCCTGCCATTTTCCTGCCTTTTTTCAGAAATGAGTGCTCGAAAAGTCCGTGTCGATCTCTTCTACGACATCATCTCGCCGTACGCTTGGATCAACTTCGAAGCATGGCTACGGTATTCAAAGGTACGAATGAGATCTACAGTGTCAAAGAATCGATTATTTATTGGATACTTTAGCTTTTAAATCCAAGTTACAGTATCGAATCACAGAATTTCCTACAGTACTTGTTCCAAGTTCTTCCAACTATTATACAAAAAGCTCTACTGTTACTGTAATCGTTTCCTTCTAGAAATGGCCAGTCGATTTGCACCTTCGACCCTTTTATTTGCCTGGGATCTTTCAGAAAACAGGTGAGCCATTTTTGAGCCTTTTTCTTAAGCCTTTTAAGCCTTTTAAGCCTTTTTCAGGCAACATCCCACCGATCTCAATTCCCGAGAAAAACGACTACTTGAACAAGGATTTACAGCGTTTAAACGAATACTGGGGCACTGAGCTGGTCTGGCACAAGGTCGGATTTGGAAATTGATCCAATTGATAGAGCTAGTGAAGAGCTGAAGTAGCCTAGTGTCCAATCTTGGAAAGAGGCGGATCAGTTGTGATGAGTGCTTTTGCTAAGTTGCTTGATGCTTTGCTTGTTTGCTAAGTTGTTTAGATCAAAGAAAACTGTAATCTGTCAGCAGGTCAAGAACAAAAAAAAAGGAAAATAAAAGATTTCTAGGATTTTCGTGCTCAAACGCTTGCTCGATCGTCGATCTACGCGCAACGCTTTCTGGCCGCCGTGCAACTCTATGAGCCAGATAAGGTGGGTTTTAGATTGAAAAATGAAATCATTCATGACTTGCTGAAGACAAGAACTGGGTAATTGACTAGCTGATAGCTTTTAACGTTAGCTGATAGCTTTGAACAGCTGATAGCTTTGAACACTGCTGAATCGTCGAATCGTCTTTACTAAACATCTTTTTACATTAATTGCTAATAAAGCTGTTCGATTGACTGAAAACCTTAGCATTTCTCAAAAGAAATCATATAGTTTTTAGTTAAAAAAGGCCTTAAAAGAGATATTTAAAGAGATATTTAAAAAGATTTTAATCAAAAGAGATTTTAAAATTGAAAATTCAGCTAATCCCGGCGTCTCGGGCTTTCTGGAAACGTGGATGGGTGGAGAAGGAAAGTGTTTATGAAGAAGGAGATGTAAGGAAGGTAAAAAGTTCAAAGTTTTATTCGATTTTTTCAAATGATTATAAGTTTTAAAATATCCAGGCTATAAAACTAGAAAAAAGAAGGCTAAATATAAAACTTAGATTTCCCATGATCTAAAGCTGAAATGCGAGAAGCGAATTCTTGGATCACTGAAAAGTGACGAGGTGAAAAATCTCATCATTGACAACACAAATGAAGCTTTGGCTACAAAGGTGGGCTGATGGGCTTTTAGGGTTACTGTAGCTATTTACATAGCTCTAGGATAGATTTATAGCTCTAGTATAGCTTAGGATTAGGCTTAGGCTTAGGCTTAGGCTTAGGTTTAGGTTAGGCTTAGGCTTAGGCTTAGGCTTAGGTTTAGGCTTGGACTTAGTGCGAAGGCTAGCGGCTAGCGCCTAGCACTAAGTCTATTTGGGTTTGGGCTGAACCCCCATTTTCTGGATCTCAGCCGGTTCTCGGAGCTAAGGGACACCCGTTTGGTTAGACTTAGGCTTAGTCTCAGGCTTAGGCTTAGTCTCAGGCTTAGTCTCAGGCTTAGGCTTAGGCTTAGGCTTAGGCTTAGGCTTAAACTTAGGCTCAAGCTTAGGCTTAAGTTTAAAAGCTGATAGCTCTGATAGGATACGGTTCAGAGTCTGGGATAACGAATCGCTCATCCCAGAGTCTGAAAGTGTTCGCTTGGCCGACAATTATAAGACCTAGATTGGCCAAAATTGAGTCAAACGTTCTCTTTTTCCTGAAGATAAAGTATATCTCCTAGAACGGTGTCAATTATCTAAACAATTTAAGCTTTCAACTTTTTTATATAGGCTTCCAAAGTTGATAGCTTTGATAGTTAGCTATAAATGTGTAGAGTGGCTCGGCTCTCAACTTTGAAAGGTTATATAAAAAAAAGTTGAAAGCTGGAATAAGTTTAGCTAATCGGCACCGTTTTAGGCGATATACTTTGAATTTGTTTCCATTAAAAATCAGAAAGATTTACTGATCGTTATCGGTGAAACGAAATGAGCTCTCGGTGATGTGTACTCGACCTAGGGAACAAATATTTCATGATTCATTTTCAACTCACTCGACTTGTTCTGTGACTCTGTTCCCAATGAATCGTTTATATTGTTGTTCATTGGGCTGGATTTGATTTGATTTGATTTGATCTCGATTTGACAAGATGAAAACCATCCCAAAGATCTTTATTTTGACGAATCTAGGCGAATCTAGGGTTATAATTGTTGGCCATAGTGTAAATGAAATGAAATGAAATGAAATGAAATGAAATGAACTCTTGCAATGAAATGAAAGATTCTAATAGGTGATCAGTTTGAAAGTCCGATAACTTAGCGGTCTTTTAGAGTCAACTGACAGAGCCGACTTTCATAGTCAACTGTCAGAGTCAACTGTCAGAGTCAACTGTCAGAGTCAACTGTCAGAGTCAACTGTCAGAGTCAACTGTCAGAGTCAACTGTCAGAGTCAACTGACAGAGCCGACTTTCATAGTCAACTGTCAGAGTCAACTGTCAGAGTCAACTGTCAGAGTCAACTGTCAGAGTCGACTGTCAGAGCCGACTTTCAGAGTCAACTGTCAGAGTCAACTGTCAGAGTCAACTGTCAGAGCCGACTTTCATAGTCAACTGTCAGAGTCAACTGTCAGAGTCAACTGTCAGAGTCAACTGTCAGAGTCAACTGACAGAGCCGACTTTCATAGTCAACTGTCAGAGTCAACTGTCAGAGTCAACTGTCAGAGTCAACTGACAGAGCCGACTTTCATAGTCAACTGTCAGAGTCAACTGTCAGAGTCAACTGTCAGAGTCAACTGTCAGAGTCAACTGTCAGAGCCGACTTTCATAGTCAACTGTCAGAGTCAACTGTCAGAGTCAACTGTCAGAGTCAACTGTCAGAGTCAACTGTCAGAGCCGACTTTCATAGTCAACTGTCAGAGTCAACTGTCAGAGTCAACTGTCAGAGTCAACTGTCAGAGTCAACTGACAGAGCCGACTTTCATAGTCAACTGTCAGAGTCAACTGTCAGAGTCAACTGTCAGGGTCGACTGTCAGAGCCGACTTTCATAGTCAACTGTCAGAGCCGACTTTCATAGTCAACTGTCAGAGTCAACTGTCAGGGTCAACTGTCAGAGTCAACTGTCAGAGTCAACTGTCAGAGTCGACTTTCATAGTCGACTTTCAGAGTCGACTTTCATAGTCAACTGTCAGAGCCGACAATGCTTTGTTTTCCTCATTTCAGGCTTTCGGTACGCCGTGGCAAGTGTTGACGATGGAGGATGGTAAAAAAGAGGCTTTTTTCGGCTGTGATCGAATGCATCTCGTTGCTCAGGTTCACTTTTTATCTCAAAAAAGAACTTTCAGTAAAAGTAAACAGTAAACTGTAAACAATGAGAGCAATGAGAACATTGAAAACAAAACTTCTTCACATCATTTCCCTCTTTCAGACACTAAAACAGCCTTATTACGGACCATTGAAGGAGCTGGCAAAGGAAATCTAAAGCTAAATCTAAATCTAAATCTAAATCTAAATCTAAAGCTAGATCTAAAGCTAAATCAAATTCCTAGGTAATTTCTTTGTACACAAGCGTTTTATAGGCTTTTTTTTGTGATTATTTGTGTTTTTTTGTTAGTTTTTTGCAAAATAAAGTCAATTTTGAGTAAAAGAAAGCTCAGAAAATCATCGATACTAAAAAATGAGGCTCATATCTCGAGGCTTCTACCTCGAGATATAAGCCGTTAGAGTTGACGGGCTTTTGCTGGTTAGCCTATCAACTTTGACGTTCGTTTTCTCGGTGTTCTTACAAGTGAGTATACAAAACAAATTGCACTTTTCTTTAACCAAATTTGACGATAATTCTAATAAAACCAAGCGTTAGTCGATCCAATGCTTCTATCTCGAGATATAAGCCGTTAGAGTTGACGGGCTTTTGCTGGTTAGCCTATCAACTTTGACGTTCGTTTTCTCGGTATTCTTACAAGTGAGTATACAAAACAAATTGCACTTTTCTATAGCCAAATTTGATGAGGATTCTAATAAAACCAAGCGTTAGTCGATCCAATGCTTCTATCTCGAGATATAAGCCGTTAGAGTTGACGGGCTTTTGCTGGTTAGCCTATCAACTTTGACGTTCGTTTTCTCGGTATTCTTACAAGTGAGTATACAAAACAAATTGCACTTTTCTATAGCCAAATTTGATGAGGATTCTTTTAAAACCAACCATTAGTTGATCTGCTGCTTGTACGTTGAGATATAAATAACCGCATTTTCTCTAGTTTTTTTGAAATTTCCAAAATTTAGTGTCATTTTTTGAGATTTTTTTTGAGGCTTTTTTTAAAATTCAATTTTCAATTCAAATACAAATTTCCCTTAATATTTTCCATTGTATTTTTTGCATTGAAAACGTTTAAAACGTGAACACTACGATAGGCTACTGTAGCCAGTAACTAGCTTAGTGTAGCCAGTAATTAGCTTAGTGTAGCCAGTAACTATAGTGTAGCCAGTAACTAGCTTAGTGTAGCCAGTAATTAGCTTAGTGTAGTCAGTAACTATAGTGTAGCCAGTAACTAGCTTACTGTAGCCAGTAATTAGCTTAGTGTAGCCAGTAACTATAGTGTAGCCAGTAACTAGCTTACTGTAGTCAGTAATTAGCTTACAATAAGCCGGCGAATTTTCCAAATTTCCCTTCACCAAATGACTCAGCGATCATCGAATTTCTCTTGAAGTCAACGCTGGAACCTATCAACCGCATTTCCTAGCCCAATTTCCCCAATTTCCCCGCCTCCCTTTTTCCTTTGGCTTTTTTTCTGGACTGAAATCGTGAAAGAAAACCCGCAAACCCGTAAACCTTTCCCTTTCCCTCGATTTGAGGTCACCTTGTGGATTCACCAATTCCCCAATCGAAAATCATTGAAAATCTTCATCGAAAATCGAAAAGTTTACATAATTTAGACGTTCTGGAAGGCACTATGGAGAAATATGAGCTTAAAAACCAAAACAAACCAAAACAAACCAAAAACAATTCCTCTAAAAGTTACAGTAACCCTAAAGATTTAGCCTCATCTAGCTACAGTAATCTTTTGAGTAAACTTTTAATTTCGAAGTGTTTTTGGTTGAACTGGAGCGCACACTATTTGGATATTTATTCGGATTCAGGATAGGTTCAGGATAGGAACAATCCGTAGTCTTAGCACTAAGCGATTCAAGAATTCAAGAAGGTCTACTTTTTTAGGCTGATGAAAAATTGAGAACCCTTTTCAATAAAGTAAACTTTGACTAGCTACAAGGTATAACTTGGCTTGATTCAGTACAGGTGGCTTATCTTTAGGCTACGATGAGACTGTAGTAAGATACGGTAGCTCATTAAGAAAGTAGCTCATTAAGAAATTCAAAGTAAGATCTTAGATTTAGACTGAATTTCTTGTCTGTGAGTCTATGAAAAGCAAAGCTCTGGAAAGCAAAGCTCTGGAAAGCAAAGCTTTGGAAAGCAAAGCTTTGGAAAGCAAAGCTTTGGAAAGCAAAACTCTGGCTCAGTCTCAGGCTCCGGTTCAGCTCTGGAAAGCTTAAAGCTTTGAAAAGCCAAGCTTTGAAAAGCTTAAAGCTCTGGCTCAGTCTCAGGTTCAGGTTCAGCTCTGGAAAGCCAAGCTCTGGAAAGCTTAAAGCTCTGGCTCAGTCTCAGGCTCAGGTTCAGCTCTGGAAAGCCAGGCTCTGGAAAGCTTAAAGCTCTGGCTCAGGTTCAACTCTGGAAAGCTTAAAGCTTTGGAAAGCAAAGCTCTGAAAAGCTTAAAGCTCTGGCTCAGTTTCAGGCTCAGTTTCAGCTCTGGAAAGCTTAAAGCTCTGAAAAGCCAAGCTCTGAAAAGCCAAGCTCTGAAAAGCAAAGCTCTGAAAAGCAAAGCTCTGAAAAGCCAAGCTCTGAAAAGCCAAGCTCTGAAAAGCAAAGCTTTCCAGCCTATCCATATTTTCAAGTAGAATCCAGCGACTCAAAAATTTCTTGAAAACTTTTATCAGCTTCCTCTGAAAGAAATCGGTCACATTTTCTAACGCTGAAAATGGGGAGAATGGCTGAAAGAGAGGCTGGAATGGCTAAAAGAGAGAAAACTTGATCCCGGTTGGACCTCTTAGCCCGTGCACTGGCTAGGCAAACCCTCAGCCTCTTTCTCCAGGCTTACCCTGCCCTCCCACAAACCGAAAGCATTTTCAAGATCTCTTTTATCTTTCATTTGAGGGCGATGGGACGACTGGAGTTTCAGTTTTCCGGGATGTTCCCTTCGAGCTCCTTCGAGCTCCTTGTTGAGATCCGCCTCAATCCCCATTCTCCCATAGCATCCCCTCCTCCTCCTCCTTTAAACTCTTGTCAGCATTTTTTTTTGTCTTCGTTTCTCTTGATTACTGTAGGTACTGTAATCAAAAATGAGCTCTATTTCTAGGCATGGAAACGGCCGAGCAACGCGAGTTGCGCCGAGTGGCCTTCTTCGCAGTCGTTGTCTCGACAGCAGCCGCTATTGCAGCAATCATCACTCTTCCGATGCTCTACACTTATATCGCAAATTTTCAGTCTCATCTCATCATTGAAACCGATTTCTGCAAGGTAATTTATGGAGAAGTACAGTAGCTTTTCCAGACAGTTAAAGAAAAAGAAGTACGGTAGCTTTTCCAGACAGTTAAAGAAAAAGAAGTACAGTAGCTTTTCCAGACAGTTAAAGAAAAAGAAGTACAGTAGCTTTTCCAGACAGTTAAAAAGAGTACGTAGCTTTTCCAGACAGTTAAAGAAAAAGAAGTACAGTAGCTTTTCCAGACAGTTAAAGAAAAAGGAGTACGGTAGCTTTTCCAGACAATATAATCAAGCCAAAATCAAGCCAAAATCAAGCCAGAGAATTGCTTTAGTATATCTCATCTTTAAAAATCTATCTTCAATCTTTCAGACTCGATCTCGGGATATGTGGGCTGAGATGCGTCAAATTGACACTCCCGTTCGACAAAAGAGACAATACGGTGGATCGGCTCCAGGTAATCATCAAAGAAATAAGTGTTGACTCTAGGTCTTGTCCCTCTATAAGTCTTGACTCAAAACCTTTGTACTTTAATACTTTGTAGCGGCTCCTTTAGCTGAAATAATCTTCTGAAGTCTTCTGAAAATCGATGAGACCAATTTGAGACACTTTGTTGAGACACTTGTTGAGAAATCGTCATCTATACTTGTTCCACTTGAGTTTATAGTGCAGTCTTCGTTGTGACACTTCTGTCACTTCTGTTTTTTTTTTCAATTTTTGCTTTACAATCGACCACAAGTGTTCGGGTTGATGTCGGAGCTGTAGGCTCAAAGTAATGCTACATTATTTTGACAAAAACAGCTCAACATCCTTACGAAAAATCCTCTTCAAATCATCAGCCATCATCAGATTGTATGCTAGAGCTATAAAGCTATGCTAGAGCTAGAGTTATGAAGCTATGCTAGAGCTAGAGCTAGAGCTATAAAGCTATGCTAGAGCTAGAGCTATAAAGCTATGCTAGAGCTAGAGCTAGAGCTATAAAGCTATGCTAGAGCTAGAGCTAGAGCTATAAAGCTATGCTAGAGCTAGAGCTAGAGCTATAAAGCTATGCTAGAGCTAGAGCTAGAGCTATAAAGCTATGCTAGAGCTAGAGCTAGAGCTATAAAACTATGCTAGAGCTAGAGCTATAAAGTTTTGCTTCGGGTTCCCATCTTGCACCATCCTTGTCCCATTTTGGCTTGTGCATGAGGTAGTATGTGAGTTTCCAGTATGTCCTTGTACTTGTGAGCAGCTATGATTCCTCGATGATTCACCCATCTATGAATAACCACCAGTGAACCAACGCCGCAACCTGAACATAGACCGCAACCTGAACAACACCATAACCTGTACCTGAACCTGAATCTGAACTTAGATTCTAGGAAAATGAACAAACCCCAAATTCGCCACCATTCAATTTGACAATAGGACGAATACTTAAGTTTCTAGCGTGTTCCAATAGTCGAATCATTTGACCACCAACATATTGATCTTTGTCTTTGTCTCATCACTCCCTCTTCCAATCTACCGTCCAATGCATCTTTTGCGAAGGTCAATCGCAATCGCCAATGCCTCAAAACGATCAGCGACTTTCAGGCAAAAAAAAAATCGAGTTGATTTGAGTCGTTTCCGAATCGTTTGTTCCATTACATTAACTCCGAAGCGTGCCTAAAGCATCTTGACTCGATCAGAGCGAAGCTATGCTAGAGCCAGAGCTATGAACCTATGCTATGCTAAACGTCGAGAAACGGAGAACAATTTGTCCTTCACAAAGCCTATTTGTGTCCTTTACAAGGATCCTGATCATCTCCCTTATTATTGGACTAGGTGGTCAACCGTTTTTCGCATGTCGTTGCACTTCCTCTTACAATTTTTCGTTTGCATCGTTTGCAAAGTCGAAAAAACGGAGAACAATTCACAGATCACAATCCATAAAAATAAATAGCTAGATATAGCTCTAATAGCTAGATATTAGATATTGAAATGCCTAAAGCTTATATCGATTTAGGTGGCGGCTACGGAGCTTCACCGGTTGTCAACAGCGAACCAGCGCCCACTTGCTGTGGATGTCAGCAAGGACCCGCTGGACCACCTGGACCACCTGGTAAAGCTTTAATTCTGAGTTTTATATAGAAAGCTTGTTTCAGGTGATGATGGAAATGCGGGAGATGATGGACTTGCCGGCAAAGATGCTGACAACGGAAGAGATGGACAGATTTTAACAAACGCTGTGCCGGTGAGCTGAAAGGATTACTGTAGCTTGAAGATTGTAGCTCTTAAGAGTTACTGTACTGTACTGTAGTTAATGTACTGTACTGTACTGTAGTTACCGTACTGTACTGTACTGTAGTTACCGTACTGTACTGTACTGTAGTTACCGTACTGTACTGTACTGTAGTTTACTGTACTGTAGTTACTGTACTGTACTGTAGTTAATGTACTCTAGCTACAGCTTTAAAGCTTACTTTAAAGATTACTGGGTTACTGTCGACGACAGTAGCCTAACCTTAAGCCTAATCCTGAGCACTGTTTAACAAGCTGTAAGTACGGTAGCTTTGAAATGGGTATGGTAGGCTGTACTAGGCCTTAATGACTAGATAAAAGCCAGTACAGTAAGACTTTAGATATCACTGGCTTAGATTTTAGCTCTAGATCTTAGCTAGTACTTTTATATCTCAAATTTTAGTCCGAACCGTGCATAATCTGCCCTCCAGGCCCGCCTGGACCCCAGGGTATGTCCGGATCGAAGGGACCGAAAGGACCAAAGGGAAAAGATGGTGAAAAGGGACCTGATGGAAAGCCTGGATCGATGGGAATGTCCGGAAATCCGGGCATGATGGGACCACCAGGAAGACCTGGAGTTCAAGGACCAAAGGGCGGACCAGGAAGAGTCATTCAGGTGAGGCTTACTGTAGCATGAGCTACAGTACACGGTATAGCTACTAGTAGAGTTTACTGTCTCTAGTTAGACGATTACTCTAGCTTCTAGGGTCATCTAGGTGGACTTTGAAGTAGTTCTGTAGGCCAACAGGATTACTGCAGTCAGGATTACTGTAGCCCAACAGGATTACTGTAGCCCAACAGGATTACTGTAGCTTCTTTCCTAACAAATCTAGCCATTTGATCACCCTAACAGCTACAGCAAGACTATAGTACCGTAGCTTGAGATAAACCTGGCTACTTGATCTTGTATCTAATTACAGCTACAGTAAGACGACTGTAAAATTACCATTGGACTCCGTTATACTCTAGTTTTCTAGATCAACGGACCCCCAGGGCCAATGGGAAATCGCGGAATGCCGGGGCCACCAGGAGCTCGCGGAGAAGCTGGCACAGACGGAGATTCATCCGACGGCCCACCTGGGCCCCCAGGCGCTCCAGGACCTGCTGGGCCAGCCGGACAGAAAGGAGAACCCGGTCCACAAGGTCCATCCGGATCCACTGGAGAGAGCGGTGGATGCGAGCGTGAGTTTTCTATATTGGTAGTACTGTAGTACTATAGCACTATAGTACTGTAGTACTGTGGTACTATAGTACTGTAGTACTATAGTACTATAGCACTATAGTACTATAGTACTGTAGTACTATAGTACTGTAGTACTGTAGTACTGTGGTACTATAGTACTGTAGTACTGTAGTTATAGTACTGTAGTACTATAGTATAGTACTGTAGTACTGTAGTACTGTAGTACTTTAGTACTTTAATACTTTCCTTTGGCTATTTCTTATTGCTTTAAACTTTAGATTGCCCTCCACCACGAACACCACCTGGTTATTAAGCCTATGCCCGATTTCCCTCAAGAAAAACGCCCATCTGGGTGCCATAGAAAAATTTTCTTCATAATAAAAAGCGAGAAAATAAACGTTTCATTGGACAGAGACAATTTCATTGGATTACTGTAACTATTGCATTGGATTACTGGTTTACAGCAGATATCGAGTACTGGAGATATTGAGATCTGAGTTTAGTGAGATTTTGAGATAGCTGACCTTTCAGATACTTTCAAGATAAGGAAATAGAGATAAGGAAATCAGAGATAAGGAATTTCTAAAAGGAATTTCTACCTGAACATTACTTTATCTTGCTAACTCATTTCACAGTATACCAGCAATCATTTATACAATTTATATAGTAATGGCTTATAGTATAAAGCTAAATGAAAGTTTATTAGCCATTTATCCAAGTCTTAGTACCGAAATTTGACCTCCAGGAGCTCGTGGAGAAGCTGGCACAGACGGAGATTCGTCCGACGGCCCACCGGGGCCCCCAGGGCGCTCCAGGACCTGCTGGAGCGAAATTTGACTAAACTTCTCCTGGAAAGTGTTGAAAGGAAAGGAAAAATTCAAGAAAGAGAAAAAAAAATGATGAAAATCGGGGGTTTTTCATTGATGTTTGGACATCGCCTAGCTGAATATGTCTCTAGTCATAGTCTTTCAAGCATTCATACGACTAACGAGCACATCCAGATGGGCAATTGCCCTAAAGGGAGGTGAATAGAGCATAAATGGATACGGGCAAATCAAGTTTAATCAAGATATCTAGATCTAGAGCCTTGATGAATCTGGGTACAGAGTGGTGAACGGATCTGTCAGTATCAGCTCTGGCCTAGTCCTGGCTTAGCCAGCCAGTGTTGACTTAGCCTCGACCAGTCTTGGCTTAGCCACAGCCAGTCTTGGCTTAGCCAATCCTGTCTGAGCCAGAGCCAATCCTGACTCCGTTCTGGATCTCGTTTTGTCCACAGATTTCTTCAAGTAAAATAGTGCACAAGATCTAGAATAGTACAGAGATACAATCATAAATTAAATAGATACAAAAGAAAAACTAGAGCTTTGGCTGGGCTTTTTGGTCTCTCTAGGGCCTCCGACCGTGGACAGCAAGAGACTGTGATATGTGCACTTTGGAAAACCCCACATCACACCTCATGCAGTCAACGGGCGGAGGCCGGACCGGGGAAAATGGGGCCAAGAAAAATCAATCTATCTATCAACTATAAGAAAGCTGAACGATCTACAAAACTGGGAAACATTTCTGGACACATTTCTGGCCACCACTCTGGATGAATGTTCACCCGGTGAGGCACCGAAGGCCCCACCAGGGCGGCATTCATCCAGTGAAGTGCCCGGGTTGTTTTTTTTTTGGAGTACAGTAAGCTAGATTTAGTCGAAATGAAATAATAGAAGAATAGAGAAGTTCTCAAACTGAATACGGCCTCAAACTGAATACCTAACGATTTCTCAGCTCATTTTATAGTCACTGGAAGAGGCGGGCTCAAGTTTTGGGATGGAAAAAGATGGTGCCAATGGCGACTCTCAGGGTTTTCCTGGGTACCCTGCGGCTACTTTGGATTGCCAATAGCACTCCTTGGTACCTAAAATCCCCTAAATCTTTAGCGATTCTTTCCTTTTCTTTGAATCTTTCTTTGAATAGATCCCCAGTGTGCCCTGTGGGTGAAAAGTGACCTGGAAATCGGTTCTCCTTTTGCTTATGGCACTATTTCGGTGAACAGAGCTCCCTTGGAGATTAGATATTTTAAAAAATTAGATATATGATTTCTAGAGATAGGATAAAGCACTGTTTACTGAAATTTGACGAATTTTTGTATGTTAGCGGTACAGATAAAGTCTCAGAAAGCTCAGAAATGTCTCAGAGTCTCAGAAATCGAATCTCAGAAAGCTCAGAAAGCTCAGAAATGTCTCAGAGTCTTAGAAATGAAATCCCAGAAATCTCAGAAAGCTCAGAAAGCTCAGAAATGTCTCAGAGTCTTAGAAATGAAATCCCAGAAAGCTCAGAAAGCTCAGAAATGTCTCAGAGTCTCAGAAATCGAATCTCAGAAAGCTCGCTGCTTGTAAAGGTTTATAGTGTTACAAAGTGCAGGGTTTATGTTAAAATATGTCACGCTAGCATTATATTGGATTAAAAGATAATTGAGTCACGGTAAAAAAAAAGGATTTTACCGTAAAGTTTTAGTTAATTTTAGCTAGTTGGCCCCTCAGTGTTTACCACTTAAAGAAATAACAGATTTCCCTTTTTTCAAAAAAACTTTGATCGATTGAGCATGCTTTCTTATTTCTTTATTAACTCGTTTTTTTGATTAGTGCAAATTTCCCAGAAATATTTAGCATTTTTGTTACTATTTGGGTTTGCTAAATCATCTTCAAGTCTAGTTCTAGCTCTAGCTTCTAAGCCTAGCTTCTAAGCCTAACTCTAGCTCTAGCTCTAGCCTAAGCCTAGCTCTAGCCTAAGCCTAGCTTCTAAGCCTAACTCTAGCTCTAGCTCTAGCCTAAGCCTAGCTCTAGCCTAAGCCTAGCTTCTAAGCCTAAGTCTAGCTTTAGCCTAAGCCTAACTCCAGCCTAAGCCTAACTCTAGCTCTAGCCCTAGCCTAGCTCTAGACCACATAACAAAATTCTATGATTATCCTCTTCAAGGTTCTCTTCGAGGTTCTCTTCAAAGTTCTCTACAAAGTCTCTCCAAGGTCCTCTTCAAGACTCCAAGATGGTTTTACAAGTTTAAAAAATTGGACAAATCCTGATCGAAAGCGATCACTCCGGGAGGTCAGGGTGTTGAGGTTGTTATTTAGAGTTATTGGATACTGCGATTGCTAGAAGTTATAGGATAGCAAGTAAACACTCAACTCTCAGCTAGATAGTAATCAATTGCAGAATCTGGTTAAAGCTTCTGAGAGAAAAAGAGCAAATCTGAAATTGCAGTATTGTAGGTCATATTGCAGCAGGAAAATGCTCGGCGACACACTGCTAAACTCGCTCTACAACTCTACAACCAAAAACCTGGACTGGGAACTTCTCCCCGACTAAGCATCGTCCCCAAATCGAGCTCCACCAGATTACTATTTATTTCGTTCAATGGGCAAATATCAGTGAGTACTTGGAAGATGAAAAAGATACCAAAAAAATGGGTACAGAACTCGTTTGACTCAAGATCGATTATGAAATAAGTCAAGCGCTGTGTCATTTTATATTTCTTATTTCATGTTAGCCAGCTTTCTTATCCAAATTTTGACTAAACCAATGAATCAAAACTTAAAATCTTGGCTTGATAGCTTGATTGATAGCTTGCTTGATAGCTTGCTTGATAGCTAGCTTGATAGTTTGCTTGATAGCTTACTTGGAAGCTTGCTTGATAGCTTGCTTGATAGCTTGCTTGATAGCTTGATTGATAGCTAGCTTGATAGCTTGCTTGATAGCTTGTTTCAAAGCTGGCTTCAAAGCTTGTTTCAAAGCTTGTTTCAAATCTAGCTTCAAATCTAGCTTCAAAGCTTGATTCAAAGCTTGTTTCAAGGCTTGCTTCAAAGCTTGTTTCCTAGCTCGCTTGATAGCTTGTTTCAAAGCTGGCTTCAAAGCTGGCTTCAAATCTAGCATCAAAGCTTGCTTCAAATCTAGCATCAAATCTAGCATCAAAGCTTGTTTCAAAGCTTGTTTCAAAATTGGCTTCAAATCTAGCATCAAATCTAGCATCAAATCTAGTATCAAATCTAGCATCAAATTTAGCATCAAATCTAGCATCAAAGCTTGCTTCAAAGCTTTATATCTTCAGAAATAGCTTCAGAAAGTTCATAGTTTTATAGAAGTTAAGTTAGTTAAGTTAGTCCAGGGTTAAGGCCCAGAAAAATTACGAAAATCACACGAAAATTGAGTGGTTTCCAAGTGAAATGGGTATTCGAGAAATCGCGGGAAAATCGTGGGGTTAAAAAGGATGAAACAGGGGAGAAAAGATCGGGCTTTTTATAAAGAAGAAATGGCTGGCGCGCGAGCGCGAAACGCGAATTTCAAACGCCGACCGATCCCCTGAGTTGTCCTTGGCTTTTTCCCTTTTCCCCCGAGCACCAGCTGGCACCGTTTCCCCTTCAACCTTTTCCCCTTTTTTCCAAAAAAGCCACAAATGATAAGCAGAGTTTTTTTTTCAACCGTTTTTCGCTCCTTTTTGACCATTCTCTCGTTAAACTCTAGATCGATTCTAGTCTTGGAAAAGTCTAGGGAAACTAGGATAGACTTGGATCCTGCTAGCGTTGCTTACAAGTTAATAACAAAAGTTGTAGACTTAAATGACAAGTGCTCAAGAAGTTGCTTGTATTTATTTCGTTGAGAACTAAGTTTTGATAACATAACAAATCATAGCTTTTATGAAAACACGATAGAAACTTGTTGCCGAAGTCAGAGTGCGCAAAAATCAGTGTCCATTCAGTAGATTAGCTCGCAAAAATCAAATTCAAATCTAATTTGCCGAATTTTATGTAGAGAATTGAAGCCCTTAATTTTGGCTACGTTTATCTAAGAAAAGTTTCCCGATTAGAGAGATATAACTCATTTTACAAGCCCTTAAATGTGTACTACTAGTTGATCACTCTCCAACAGGCTGCCATTTTAAACCATTTTCTAGCGATTTCTAACGATTTCTAGCGATTTCTAACGATTTCTAGCGATTTCTAGCGATTTCTAGCGATTTCTAACGTTTTCTAGCGATCTCTAACGTTTTCTAACGATTTCTAACGTTTTCTAACGATTTCTAACGTTTTCTAACGATTTCTAACGTTTTCTAGCGATCTCTAACGTTTTCTAACGATTTCTAACGTTTTCTAGCGATTTCTAACGTTTTCTAAAGATTTCTAACGATTTCTAACGATCTCTAACGTTTTCTAACGATTTCTAACGATTTCTAACGATTTCTAGCGATTTCTAGCGATTTCTAACGTTTTCTAGCGATCTCTAACGTTTTCTAACGATTTCTAACGTTTTCTAGCGATTTCTAACGTTTTCTAAAGATTTCTAACGATTTCTAACGATCTCTAACGTTTTCTAACGATTTCTAACGATTTTCCTAACGATTTAACGATTTTCTTTATAAAACAAACTCTTTAAAAGAGCTTTTTTTTAGGGATAACAGAAAAATCTAGTTCACAAAAGATCAAAGAGTCGAAAGCGATTGTTTTCAAATAAAAGCCTCTTGCTTGAAGTACTGCCATTAGATCGGGATGAAATTTTGCATGAAACAAAGTGCATGAAACACTTTGCATGAAAAAAACTAGACAATGCTTGACTGATTATCATATTAAAAATTTATAAAAAGTTTACTCTTCGATGAAATCAAAAACAAAAAAACAAAACAAAAAGTGTTACCAACAATTAGTACTCTAATATAACATTCTAATGTAACACTCTAATATAGCACTCTAATGTAGCATTCTAGTGTAGCACTCTAATATAACAATCTAATATAACATTCTAATATAACATTCTAATATAACAATCTAATATAGCAGTCTAATATAGCAGTCTAATATAACAATCTAATATAGCAATCTAATGTAACACTCTAATATAGCACTCTAATGTAGCAGTCTAATATAGCAGTCTAATGTAACATTCTAATGTAGCACTCTAATATAGCACTCCAATATAACACTCCAATATAACACTCCAATATAACACTCCAATATAACACTCCAATATAACACTCCAATATAACACTCCAATATAACACTCCAATATAACACTCCAATATAACACTCCAATATAACACTACCCAACTATCATCTACGACTTTAAAGTCAAAAATAGAGTGTGTTCCTTCCGAGTAAATTAGTAAACTCGAGTCAAATTATAGCAGTGTAATTTATTACTCGACTAATAGCACGTCTATTAGCCGACCTAATATAGCAATTCTCATTAACACGCCGAGAAATCGAACATCTCAACATATAAGAATTACCCACCAAATCAATCTAAACATTTGAACTTTAAAAGATCATAAATAGAGTGTGTTCCTTCCGAGTAAATTAGTAAACTCGAGTCAAATTTTAGCATGAGTAATTTTTACTCGATTAATCGACGTTTTTCGCCGAGTAACTACGAGCAATTCTCTTTACACGCCGAGTAAATCGAATATCTCTACATGTTGCGCAAGAAAATTTCCCGCAAAGTCGCCTACCCCAAACTTTGCAATCTTTTTAAGACTAAAGAAATCGTATATAGGGTCATTGCGCACTGGATCATTTACGCAACAGGTTCATTTACGCAACTTGCCATAACTTTCTTCTAAGTCAATCAATCTTTATGATTTTGGTATCATTTTGTTGCACTTATTGAGATCTACAAAATGAAACCAAAATCATAAAGATTGCCCGACTTAGAAGAAAGTTATGGCGAGTTGCGCAGAAAAAAAATTGCGAAAATTCGTCTACCCCATTTTTCACGTCAATTTTTTGCAATAATTTTCGTCAAAAGTACGGTAATTTTTCGCAAGTGTGCGTTTTAAAAAAACGTATTACTCGCGAGGAAAAAACTCTTGTCAAAAATGCTTTCTGGAGTTCTTCAGGAATCCTGGAGCATTAGCACGAGATTTTAAGCAATTTGGGAAACTCTGGGAAACCGGATAGACTTAGATACTTCAAGATTTCTTTTTTTTGTTCTTGGACCTTTACAATTCGGAGTAAGCGGATAAGATTTGCCATTGAAAATGCCTCCAGATTTGACTGAAAAGGGCTTAGAAACACTTCGTAAGCGATAAGCTCAGGGATAAGCGAAGAATTAGACTTTGAAGGAGAAATTAGACATAAATTAGACATAAATTAGATACAATTTGACAAGTTTTCACAAAGTTTAGGCCACTGATCATTAGATCATTGGAAAAGCGGAGGAAATCGTTCCCAAAAACGTGAACAAAATTCCTAGAGACTGCTTGAAAAGGCTCAAGATTTGCCATTGAAAATCCCTTCAGATTTGACTGAAAATGGCTTAGAAACACTTTCAAAGCGCACAAATCGACGAGACTTTGAAAAGCAAAAATTGCAAAGCAAAACTGGTAACGGAAACGAGCCACGATCACTCAATTGGTCAGCCGGCTTGTTACCCAAGTTACGAGCCACGATCACTCAACTGGTCAGCCGGCTTGTTACCCAATCAACCGGTATTTTGTAGAATTTTGAAATTAGCCTTTAAAACATTAAAAGTCCAAAAAAAAGTCCAAAAGCAGAGCAAATATTGACGATCAAAAACGGCTGATAAACAAACGAGGGAAAGGAAAGAATTGGGAAATGTTTGGACGAGAGAAAAATAAATGTTTTTTCGTTTCGATCAGATTTCCCTGTGATTTTGAGGAAAAAATCAACGGGGAAACGGTCAGATCGAATCGATTTCAATGAGGCTTTTTTAATGTTTTGTTTATTTCGTTTCTCAGCTTGGCAATTCTTGGTAAATTGTTCTTTTATCAATTTTCTTAAAGCGCTTTTACGAATCCCCAAGTCTACATCTATTCCCATGAGCAATGACTCTGATTTCACAGAGTCTAAAAGTTACCGCAGTTACGGCAGTCACCGCAGAACTTGAGCGAGTAGAACTCCAGGTCACGATCACGGTGAAAATCTTCGTACTTTATCTTCTTTGATAAACGCACATGCTTTCCTTTTCCAATTTATCTCCGGGCAATTCACGAATGGCAATATCACAAATCAGCTGAGTATCTTGAAAAGAAAATATGTCAAAGGAGCAAAAACTGAAAATTTTCACCTAAAAGCATGCACAACAATTAGACAAATCACAGAAAATGACTAAAAATTCGAAAAAAGCACTTTTACATTACAAAAAAATCAAATCTTTCTTGTAAAATTTTTTACATTTTTCGCTTGGTGGCCGTGTAGCGGAGTTGATAGTCTTCGTAGCCGGGTAAACTCTAAAAAATGGAAAAAAATTACAATTTATTGGAACTTTGTTGATAAAATTACAAAATTACACTCAATTGATACTTAAATTTGAAGAATAAATGTGCTAGTTAACTTTTTGAAGTTTAAAAAATGTCTTGGAGCAAAGATTGGTCATACTTGTATGGAAAAACCTTGCTAATCCAATCAAAATCGCTTTCATTTACTTATTTTCTTAAGCTTAAGTTTCTAAGCTAAGTTTCTAGGCTAATTTTACGTGCTACCACAAATCCAAATCTAAAACGAAACCTGAAAATCGGACTCCTGAAACAGATTCCCCGAATAGGCGATGATGCTGACTGGCGAGCTTTCGAGTAAAGCCTTCGTGAAAGCCGTCTTCGGAAGGCAATTCTCCTCGACTCGTAGAATCTAAAAAGATTATAATGCATGAAAAGAAAGGCATAACTTTAAAAATAAAAAAACATAGAATTCTATGCATTTACATACTTTCTGCTACAAAAAATGCGAATTTCAGGCTCATTTTAAGCTTTGATCAAATGAATTGAACACTTTCGACTGTCAACTAAAATCTCCTTCAACTTCCTGATTTTAACGCATTACACTTTGCCAGGCATCAAAATTTGTAGCAAATTTTGTAGAAATTTAACCCTAAACCCTTCACAAACCTTTAAACGCGGGCATTTGCTCAGATTTGGCGCCAACGAGGCGAGTTGATTCTGGTTTAGATTCACCTCGGCCGCGTTCAGTTCATCGATCTAAACTTTATTCTTCATAATATGCTGAAAAATGTAATACTGAAGTAAATGCTGCGGTAAATCTTTAAAATGATATCGGTATAGTATCAAATTTCGACTTAATTTAACCGGAAAAGTGTCCTTAAAAGTTTAAAACCTCAAAACAACTCACATTCTCCGGCAACTCAGCGATCTTATTCTTGGCCAGGTTGAGAATATCCAAATTGAGAAGGGAAATGACAACGTTCTAAAGGAAAAGAAACGTTTTCAGTAAAATTATAAAGTTACCGGGAATCGCTGAAATTCGTTTGAGTCAAGATTCAACGTGCGCAGATTTGCGCAATTCGAGAGCGAATCGGGCAACGCGCCGAGCGAGTTTTCCGACAAATTTAGCACCTCGAGCGCGTTCAGCGAACCGATCTCGTCGGGCAGCGAGTCGAGATCTGGAAAATTGATGAAATTGATTGAAATTAGAAGAATATTCTTTAAAAATAGTCATTTTTCGAATTTTATCAGCTAAAAGCGATCTTTTCCTACAATTTTTACTGTTTTAAAGCAAAAAAAGACACTACAAACATCTACAATCTTTAAACAACTACAACCTTTAAACATTACAATCTTTAAACACTTTAAAACCTCGACAAGCTTTTAAAAACTATATTAAACAGCTTAAAAATGCAAAAAGTATGGTTATCAGTCGAACTTTCAAACGAAAAGCCTCAAAAGCCTCAAAAACCGACTATTCGCCGAGAGATGCAACTGTTTTAGCTGATTAAAATGTCCGATAAATGGCGGAATTGACGAGATTCGATTCTGACTCAACTCCAGATTCCGCAACACGTCGCATAACTGAAGGAAAACGTTTTAGACTTGACTTGAAACAAAAAAACACCAAACCTCAGCTATATTGTCGGGTACTTTCTTCAAATTTGCGCCTTTTAGTTGCAAGATTCGACTCTTTCGTGCCATTTCCATGTGCTTTGTGACCGTTGATGAGGAGGGACCACCCTGGAAAAGAGAAATTTTACGTAAAATTCTAGATTTAGATAATGATAAATCAAGATAATGATCTATAAATATTACAAAAAATCAACTCTATTAATAAATGCCATCTGAAATCACTTAGAATAATCATAAAATATCAAATATATAGCCAAAACATTACTTAAATTGTAATCTATTCACTGATTAGTGGCTTAATCAAACAAATTTTTAGGCTCAGAATGTTAAGTTTTTAAAAGTTTACCCTTTACAACAGATTTTTAACAGATCAACAGATCAACAGATCTGGACAATCGTCCATAACCTTTTTCAAAGACCTTTTCTAGCTACAAATTTGTTAGTCTATTTGACTGTTTAGATGTAAAAAAACAGCTTCAGATCTAATTCTATAAAATAGCTTTAGATCTAAGTCTATAAAATAGGTTTAGCTATAAGCCTATAAAATAGCTTTAGATCTTAGCTTGTAAAATAGCTTTAGATCTAATTCTATAAAATAGCTTTAGCTATAAGCCTATAAAATAGCTTTAGATCTTAGCTTATAAAATAGCTTTAGATCTAAGCCTATAAAATAGCTTTAGATCTTAGCTTATAAAATAGCTTTAGATCTAATTCTATAAAGTAGCTTTAGATCTAATTCTATAAAGTAGCTTTAGATCTAATTCTATAAAATAGCTTTAGATCTTAGCTTATAAAATAGCTTTAGATCTAATTCTATAAAATAGCTTTAGATCCGGATTTAAGCCTCAAAAACCCAACCCACTCGTATCTCTGATATCGCTCCTTGAATCGTCTTCGACGGGCCGCTCTTCGGTTTCCCCTTTGATCCCTCGTTTCCCATGATCGGTTCTGGAAAAAGTAGAAATTATAAAGTAATCTAGATCAAAAAAAGTTTCAGTAAAAATTAAACCAAAAAAAAATAGCGGTGATTCAAGAGAAAGCATAGATTTAAATAAAATTCGCCGGGTAATAGTGCCGAACAGAAAGCACGCTAACGTCAGCAGTTGCCCTACCGTAGTCTCCTTCTATTTTGCACTAAGTTTAACCGTTAAACAAGTACAAGTACAGCCAAACAAGGAAACTAAAACAGCAAATAGATAATTGACCCGGTTTGCTCCCATCCCAACCCCCATTCTTTTCTCTTTCCCGAGGTCCCACGACGAATCGATTAGCCCATGAAATGGAAAAAAGCCAAGAGGAAGAAAGCTGAATTTCTTTTCTTTTGCCTTTGCATACAACAGTGCTTCTGATAAGAGAAATGGCGACAACACGCCCGAATCGGCCACCAATCGCCCAACTCACCGGTCAACCATACAACAGGTCAGTGAAATGTTTAAATAGATCTAAATAAGCACTTTACTTATTGTAAATATCCAGATGTCACTTGAAAACTTTGAAAATTTTTGGCATGCCATAAAATTGTCGAAATTTGAATCTTTAACCTTTTAGATATGTAGTGTGAGCTCCAGGATTGAAAGAAATTTCTTTGAAACTATGAAATTTGAATCTTTAACCTTTTAAATATGTAGTGTGAGCTCCAGGATTGAAAGAAATTTCTTTGAAACTATGAAATTTGAATCTTTAACTTGTTAGATATGTAGTGTGAGCTCCATTAGCCACTAAAACTATAGAAATTTAATTTTAAGCATGTTAGATATGTCGAAAAGCCATCCAGTTACTTTTTTTTCTTTAACCGTTTTAAATACCCACATTTTCGAATGGCCATCCAACCGGGTCGTCACCGAAGCGAAACCGCCTCGACCAGCTCAACGCTTGACTCGTGTGGACCGCCAAGATCGAGAGCTTCGACGAATCGACGATACTGTAAGTTGGCTTGAAAACAGAAGATTGATAAGCTTACTGTAAGATTACTGTAATGGCATACTGTAGCACTTCAGACTATTAAATTATCGTACTACCTGTAACAACACCGTGCCTCTATTCTAGGAGTTACGGTAGCTACAGCAATCAATATGGTACCATTATCTCTTTTCAAGTAGCTACGTTACAGTAATTAGTAAGCTACATTACCCTTGCTACAGTACCTTACAGTACCCTGACTACAGTACTCTACAGTATCTTAGCATTACAAGTCTAATACCTTTCCAGTGCATCATCGACGAATCCTCGAGACACAAGAGCGCTCACTCGATTTGGAGAAAGCACGAGAGTTACTGAACACAGATATTGATGAGCTTTTTCGGAAGGGGTTTGTCTTACTGTACTTTAGTTGAATCCTTTTATAAGAGCTCTACTACAGTAAACTAGGCTAAAGTAAACTAGGCTACAGTAACCTAAGCTACAATAACCATTCTAGCTTCCCCTCAATCGCCCACTTTGTCAACGAGCTTCAAGAGGCGATTCTCAAAACAATCGCCGATCAGCTAGATGACCCGGATTTTTTTGAACTCCTTTGCAAACAGTGAGTGGATTTTTGAGGTTTTAAAGAAGCATGTTATCCGAAAAATTACTGTAACCATTTCCCACCAGAGTCCTCCTCCTACTCCGAAGCGACTCCGAATCAGTCCGGGCTGCCGTTTTTCAAATTCTTCGCGTCTCCACATTTCAACAACGAAATCTCGTCTTCATGTTGACAAGTCATGTCGATATTTATGCTGTCAGGTTAGTGAAGAGACAGTAGCTTTATAGCTGGTGTTGGTTGATCGGTTACTGTAACTAAAGTCTACTAAAGCCTACTGTAACTAAAGTCTACTGTAGCTAAAGTCTATTGTAACTAAAGTCTACTGTAGCTAAACTCTTATTGTATTCAATATACATGTAATCAAAGTCTTACCATAGTCAGTGTCTCTGTTAGTGTCCAAAATCTCTGTAACTAACGTCTACTAGAGCTATGCCTTCTTGCGCCTAAACGACTGTAACGGTAGACTTTAGTTACAGTAACCGATCAACCAACACCTAAGCTACTGTAAGTCTTACTGTACCCAAACTAAAGCTACTGTAGTATAGATTTAATAAAAGCGGGTTAACATAGCCATTGACGGATTACCGTGGCCTGGAAGTACTATAGCAAAAACCAATCCCATTTCTAGAGCTCTCGACATTGTCTCCGAGAAAACAACGGAAAGAGAAGCGGCATTTCAACTTTTAGCGCATATGCTAAGAATTTACAGGTATTAATTTACATTTTTAGAGTTTACAGACTAAACTTTAAATCTCAAATATGTCAGGGAAAGTGCCCAGTTGAAACAACTTGTGATGGAGGCGAGAAATGATCCGACGTAAGTTTTCTAAAAGACATTTCCCGTAATCCATCTGTAAGTAGAGTACAGTACTATTGGCTACAGTAATCCAACTAGAATAACAAGAACTATAAGCATTTAAGGTTACTGTCTATAGCTATTATTTCACTACAGTATTTGTGCAAGTCTTAGCTTGGCTTGGCTTGGCTTGGCTTGGCTTGGCTTGGCTTGGCTCAGCTTGGCTTCGCTTGGCTTAGCTTGGCTTGGCTTGGCTTGGCTTGGCTTGGACTTCACTATAGTATTTGTGCAACTTATTTTAGATCTGGCTGTAGATCTGAGTGATTTTGGGATCTGGGTGATTAAAATTAATAACCTGGATTCAATTTTTAATCAATTTTAAACAAATCTCTTAAATTAATGTCTATTTTAAAGGTTTTTCTTAGATTTTCCTAAAGATTTTTCTAAAGTTTCTAAAGATTTCCCCAATTTTTCAGCAAAACTCAATACGCTTTCCCGAAATCGATTATGCAACCAGTAGTGGCGATTGCGTTGCGACAACTGAGTCGAGTTGATGAACAACCACAAAATGAGAATGATCCGTGCGTTTATCAAAATCTTTTATCAGTCTCAATTGAAATGTTTTCTAAAAGATGTTAAAATATCGTTATCGATATGGATAAGCTAAGATGTTAAAATACCGCACTTCACAATACAGCGGATAAGTCTGTCTTCAGCTCAGGCTTTCGTTTTTACCAAAAAGAATGAACTATGGTAGTTTGTGAAGTACGGTAGATTTCAATAGATCAGTAACTTTCAATAGAACTATAGTAACTTTCAATAGATCAGTAACTTTCAATAGAACTATGGGAACTTTCAATAAAACTATGGTAACTTTCAATAGATCAGTCTTTCAATAGATCAGTAACTTTCAATAGATCAGTAACTTTCAATAGATCAGTAACTTTCAATAGAACTATAGTAACTTTCAATAGATCAGTAACTTTCAATAGAACTATAGTAACTTTCAATAGATCAGTAACTTTCAATAGAACAGTAACTTTCAATAGATCAGTAACTTTCAATATAACTACAATAGCTTTCAATAGAACTACGGTTTGTACGTCTTTTAGAAATCAAATTTCATTTCTTGACTGAATATCTTTAGCCTAAGTCTTCCCTGTATCTCCCTTTTCCTCGAGTTGGCTGTTTCGGAGAGTCAACTCATTCTGGAGATGGCGGGCACGGATTGGATTGTCGCCGCGTTGACTGGTGAGCGTGGCTTTGCTAGAATTAGATTACTTTATCTTATAATTACTGTATACTACAATTACTTTAGATTACCATTACTAAGATTACAATTACTAAGATTACAATTACTTTAGATTACAATTAGATAAATTTAAACATCAAGCTAAGCATTGGACCCAATCTTCAGCTATCATTTGTCTAGTAAAGCAGGGGTTGAAGCCCGGCGAAATGGAATGAAAAAAAGAAATGGTACCTGGTACCTGATTGACAAAGCCTTCAAGCGTTACTTGCAATTGCTGGAAATTGAGTCAAAAGATGACTACAATATCTTTGGTACTTTCGCTTCTTTACTTTTTCATCGCATTCAATGGTTTTGAAATGGTTTTGAAATGGTTTTGAAACGATTTTGAAACGATTTTGAAACAATTTTGAAAGGATTTAAGGTAGAATTAATGTAGATAAATCTAGCATTTACCGTATTCTCTCTAATAGTAGTGCGCATCTAATAGTATTTTTTCAACCCCCTCCTTATTAGAGAGTGCACTACTATTAGAGAGAATACGGTATATTATTTTCCCGTATCTTTATTTAATTAGAGAAATTCTGGAGGAATTTTTGCTTTTTTTGGTAGGAAAAGATACAAATTGATCGATTTTGTTGAATTGGCCTCCGTGGGGTTTATGACTCGATTTTTATCAACAGCAAACAGCTTCCTCGGTAGTATAGTGGTTAGTATCCGCGTCTGTCACATGCGAGACCCGGGTTCAATTCCCGGCCGGGGAGAATTGTTTTCTATTTTTGCTTTTAACAAGTTTAGAAAGGAAGTAAAGACCGTAAATACTGTTGACCGGGGAGCCGTCAGCTATCTAAGTACATACCGTAAATACTGTAATAGTACTCCACCGCCCTCGTACAGTCGCGTAGTCGCAAAAGTTTTTTTAGTATTTCATTTTTTTCAAAGCACCCGTACTTTCAAAAAAAGCGTCTTTGGTATCAAAAAATAGCTGAAATTCAGGGCTATTTTTTGATACCAAAACGAAGATTTTAGCTTAAACCAGTGTCGAGAAAAACTCGTTCAAAGCTAGACTACGCAACACTCCGCACCGTCATTATGGGCGGTGGGGTACTATTACAGTATTCACGGTAAGTATTGTAGTTGTTGATTGTTGAATTAATGTCTTGTTGTTGAGTTCTAGTCAACAAAAGGTTTTCAAATGATAAGCAAATGTCAAATAAATCAAATTCGAGAATCGAATCCCTTTGATAAGTTCAATTATCTTTATTAAACAAGAAAAATACTTCAAATTCACTTTTATCCTTTTTTAATTGACGAGACAAAGATGTGGAAGTAAAATCTTTATTTAAAACTCACTTATCTCAGTGCCACTTCTACAATTAGCCTCTACTTTCTAACCTTCCATTTCTAGGCACCTCATCGGTCTCCTCGACGCTGGCCACTCTCATCTCCCGGGTGCTCGTGCTTTGGTTGGACGATCCAGTGATGAGATCCATCGCCAATCTGCATCTAGTCATCCAAGTATGAGAGAATTTGCATATAAGTAATGTACCCTGGTAAACGTGCGCTTTTCAGTGTACAAGCCTCAAATTTTCTCTACCAAATAGTACGCGAGAGTACAAAGTACCACTCTAAAGCTTTATTTCAGCAAATCTTTGCCCCACTCGTCGAGTACGGTTTTTTTCAAACCTCAAACATTGAAAGGTTAGTGGCACAGCTTTCTATAAAGATTTCCAGCAAATCAACAATGTTAACAATGTTAACAATGTTACTCAATTTCCCATTCAGCCAAGACCATCGTCCTCTTGAGTTGCCGCTCGACAAATACTCGGCCTCATTCTTGGCCATCATGCGCTCATGGGCGGGAATCTTTGCGTGTGGCTCGGTGGATAGTACTGGGCAAGTGATGAACGGGAGTCCGTTGAGGTACGCAGAAGGAAGGAAACTACCGTAGTTTTGCAAGTTCTGGCTGACGGCAGCTGGTAAGAATATAATAGCTTCGTTTGACTTTAGCTGGCTTGGCTTCGTTTTGGCTTGACTTTCTAAGCCTTGGTCAAGCCAAAACAAGCCAAGCGAAGTTATGGGAAGCCAAGGGAAGCCAAGGGAAGTCGAGGGAAGCCAAGGGAAGTCAAGGGAAGTCAAGGGAAGCCAAGGGAAGTCAAGGGAAGTCAAGGGAAGCCAAGCTAAGCTAAGCCAAGCTAAGCCAAGCCAAGCTAAGCCAAGCCAAGCTAAGCCAAGCTAAGCCAAGCCAAGCTAAGCCAAGCCAAGCCAAGCCAAGCCAAGCCAATCCAAGCCAATCCAAGCCAAGCCAAGCCAAGTCATGAAAGGCAAGGCTTTAACTAGCATAAAAGCTATAAAATAGCATTACTTTTCAACGGATTATGCTCTTTTTTGCATAGCTGATCTGATTTTTGACAGATTTTAATCGCTTTTTGGGCCAAAATCAGGCCAAAATCAGGCCAAAAGTCACCAAAACGTGGCCACAATCTGAGCAATATAACAAAATCCTATCGAAACAACGATCATAATCGTTTAGGAAACTGGATTACCTTTCAGACTGCTCGATTACCTCGGAATGGGCGTGATTGTGGGCGAGAATTTGCTGAAAATTCGCGACATGGTCGTCGACATTGCGTGCGAATTCGTCGATCGCCCATACGCGCACACAAAGTTCAACTCATGGAAAGAAGCGCTCACGTTTTATGGTAGAAAAGATCAACATTTATAAAGATCATCATTTCGGGAAGCTCGATTTTATTGAATTCATTAAAATATGCATTTTTTTTTTTTGCTCTTCGTTTACCGTAAGTTGTTGATGGCACTTTTTGGGACGAACTCTCGGCTAACATAAGCAAAAAAAAGTCGATTATTTTGATGAAAATCGAGAAAAGTTTACGATAGAAAGAGATAAGTTTAAGAAAACGAACAATTCCTGAATGGTTACGGAATAATCCTGGATGGTTACGGTTTCTTTTTTCAGCTAAACAAGACATCTCAAACGTTTCTCGAGGTCTCCTCTCGGATGAGTTCATCTTAAGCGAATTTGACGCAATGCAATACACGAAATCGGTTAGTTTATCATGTTTGATCGATTCATTTATCATGTTAGATCGGTTTGTTTATCATGTTAGATCGGTTTGTTTATCACGTTAGATCGGTTTGTTTATCATGTTAGATCGGTTTGTTTGTCATGTTAGATCGGTTTGTCTATCCTGTTAGATCGGTTTGTTTATCATGTTTGATCGGTTTGTCTATCATGTTTGATCGATTCATTTATCATGTTAGATCGGTTTGTTTATCATGTTAGATCGGTTTGTCTATCCTGTTAGATCGGTTTGTTTATCATGTTAGATCGGTTTGTTTATCATGTTAGATCAGTTCATTTATCATGTTAGATCGGTTTGTTTGTCATGTTAGATCGGTTTGTTTATCATGTTTGATCGATTCATTTATCATGTTAGATCGGTTCATTTATTATGTTAGATCGGTTTGTCTATCATGTTAGATCGGTTTGTTTATCATGTTTGATCGGTTTGTCTATCCTGTTAGATCGGTTTGTTTATCATGTTAGATCGGTTTGTTTGTCATGTTAGATCGGTTTGTTTATCATGTTAGAGCTAGATATCTTGTTATTTCAGAGTTTTATTTAGATCTTTTATCTTTTCAGGATCACAACGATCATATGGATTTCTTGATCGCTTTCCGCGCGATGGCCGCCTTTTCATTGATCAGCGCCGGGCTGGCACAGGTGAAAGAACGATTTATTTGAAGAAAAGATCTTAAATATATTTGAAATCTAACAAAGAACTTCTCTTTAAAAACTTCTTTAACTAAATCTTTATCTATTCTATTACTATTTTAAGAGAAAATTCACATATTTAAAGAAAGAAATCATCGAAATTCACCGCTAAACATCGTCCATTGAGATTTCTGCTTATAAGATTGCTCTTTTTCGATGTTTAAATAGGATACTGTAGCTTTATTTAAAGTTTTTCTAAAGATCTATCTATTGGATTACGGTAAAATTGATATTTTTTCAAATTTCCAGTCTTTGGCTCGACTAATCGTCGCTCATCCTGATGATCCATCGGCTTTGAAAGCGACTCTACTTCTGTCAGATGTTTCGTGGATTGTATGTACTTTTCAATACCGTAATCCTTAAGGGAAACTACCGTAATCCCTCAAAGATTACTGTAGTAATCCCTCAAAGATTACTGTAGTAATCCCTCAAAGATTACTGTAGTAATCCATTAAAGATCACTGTAGTAATCCCTCAAAGATTACTGTAGTAATCCCCTAAAGATTACTGTAGTAATCCCTTAAAGCTTACTGTAGTAATCCCTTAAAGATTACGGTAGTAATCCCTCAAAGATTACGGTAGTAATCCCTCAAAGATTACGGTAGTAATCCCTCAAAGATTACGGTAGTAATCCATTAAAGATTACTGTAGTAATCCATTAAAGATTACTGTAGTAATCCATTAAAGATCACTGTAGTAATCCCTCAAAGATTACTGTAGTAATCCCCTAAAGATTACTGTAGTAATCCATTAAAGATTACTGTAGTAATCCATTAAAGATTACTGTAGTAATCCATTAAAGATTACTGTAGTAATCCTTAAAGATTACTGTAGTAATCAATTAAAGATTACTGTAGTAATCCATTAAAGATTACTGTAGTAATCCATTAAAGATCACTGTAGTAATCCCTCAAAGATTACGGTAGTAATCCCCTAAAGATTACTGTAGTAATCCATTAAAGATTACTGTAGTAATCCCTTAAAGATTACTGTAGTAATCCCTTAAAGATTACGCTTAGCTTAGCTAAAAGAATTCTTCTCTTTTCAAATTCAAATCAAAAATCCCTTTTTCAGAGCTCATCTTTTGTACCGATTGAATGGAGAAATGTCGTCCTCTCACTCCCGACTTTAGTCCAATCGGCGGCGGAAACGATTGCAAAGGTTCGAAACACTTGAGTTTAGTACTGTAACTTTTAAATGTACCGTAACCTTGTCATCAACGGATTACGGTAGCTCGTCAACGGATTACGGTACCTCATCAACTTTTCAGAATAGCGCTCCCGCCAACAATGATCCGTTCGACATTGCCTCCAGTGAGACAACGTTTCTCAACGCTGGGTGAGAAAGGCAACAGCCCTAAACTTTCTCTGGCATACGGAGAATTCGATTTTTATATGCTTTTGGGTTTTCAACATGACAATCTTTTAGAAACGCAATGCTAGTCTTGTACCGAATGGACGAGTTGACGAAAATTCGGCTCTCATTTGATGGCCGTTTATCGCCTACCTCAAACTATTCCCTCTTTGTCGCCTCGGATAAACAAGCGGATAAAACGAATGGTAAGGGTTTGAAAGTAGTACTGTAGCTCTAGAGTACTGTAGCTTTGGAGTACGGTAGCTCTGAAGTTGGCTCTGGGATACTGGAGCTCTAGAGTACTGTAGCTTTGGAGTACGGTAGCTCTGGAGTTGGCTCTGGGATACTGTGGCTCTAGAGTACTGTAACTCTGGGCACTGGAGTACTGTACTTTCCAGCAAATCCGGAGTACTGTTTCCGTTAGCTTACGATAGCTAATCTGATACAAAATACCATAGTCTAGGTACCATTTTCACAGCTTTAGAATAGTACTTTTCTAAACTTTTACTTAACTTACTTACTTACTTACTTACTTACTTACTTACAAACTTACTTACTTACTTACTTACTTACTTACAAACTTACTTACTTACTTACAAACTTACTTACTTACAAACTTACTTACTTACAAACTTACTTATAGTGCTTAAAAGGATAACTTTTATGCAGGTTGTGACATGAGTCAACTCTCGATGACTGTCGGCGAAGCACTAAACGGAAATCTCCAATGGAAAGCGGCCATTGTCGCCCTATCAACAGCTCTTCGTGAGCCGCAAAAAGCGACGAAAACGTGTGGAGAGAAGTTGCTGTTGTTAGTACAAAAGGTACTCTTTTTTTCCTCGACTTATCTTATCGTAAACTCATCCGATACTTGCACCCAAGCTTTTACTGATTCATCTATAGCCGAAATCTCAGATCTTCAACTGGATGAGCCCATTGGAGCCGCGTTTCAAGAGCAACGATAGGGATGCGACTCTGGCTGCAAAAAGGGCAATCCGATACGCTTGCCATTTCTCGAGTGATGAATATTATCGGGATATGTTGATGGGATTTGCTGGCAGATGTTTCCAAGAGCTTACAGAGGTTGGATTCAGCTTATAGCCATTTACAGTACCGCGATAGGGCAATTTTATAGTTTTAGATCTAATAGAGAGCTGTAGAGAGCTGTAGAGAGCTGTAGTAGAGCTGTGGAGAGCTGTAGAGAGCTGTAGAGAGCTGTAGAGAGCTGTAGAGAGCTGTAGTAGAGCTGTGGAGAGCTGTAGAGAGCTGTAGAGAGCTGTAGAGAGCTGTAGAGAGCTGTAGAGAGCTGTAGTAGAGCTGTGGAAGGCTGTAGAGAGCTGTCGAGAGCTGTAGTAGAGCTGTGGAGAGCTGTGGAGAGCTGTAGAGAGCTGTAGAGAGCTGTAGAGAGCTGTAGAGAGCTGTAGTAGAGCTGTGGAAGGCTGTAGAGAGCTGTCGAGAGCTGTATAGAGCTGTCGAGAGCTGTAGAGAGCTGTGGAAAGCTGTAGAGAGCTGTATAGAGCTGTAGAGAGCTTATGTTTCTAAAGCACAATAGCACCGTTGTTCAAGAGTACTATGGCTTTGAAATGCTATCGTATTGTAGTTCTAGAACAGTACTTTGTTGTAGCTGGCTGTAAACAATCGCACTTTCCAGGATCGCCTCTCATTTGGTTGCTTTTCGACGAAACAAATGGTCACCTCCGGATCGGCGTTCTACTTTGCGCTACTCGGCGAAATGAGCAAACATCCAGCTGGCTTAGAGGCGCTCAACACATCCGGAATCATGCTGAGGTAGGATCGTTGAGGAGTACAGTAATCGTTGAGGAGTACTGTAGTTTTAAAAGGCGCTGGGAGTACTGTAGCTTTTGATAGTCGATACTAGGATGAACCGTAACGAGAATAGGCTTAGACTTAGGCTTAGGTCCTGTGATTTGCCCACTCTTTAGAGCTTTAGGGTACAGTAGCCAGGGTACTGTGGTCTTAAGTGCATTTTGTATGGCTTTGCGTTTCATTTTTGCTTTATGATTCAAGATTTAAGAGGCTAGAGATCGGATTTTTGCGCTTACTGTAGCTTTAGAAAGCGCTGGGGGTACTGTAGCTTTTGATAGTCGTTACTTTCAAGTTGAATGACTGAATAAAGGGTTACTGTGACTTAGGTCTTAGTTTTAGAGTTTACTGTAGCTTGGGTAAGTTGGAGTGCTGGTACTTTTAGCCTCTAGACTGGAACTGTAGCTTGGGAGTGACTAGAGACGAACTCTAGACGTACTGTAGCTTGGGTAAGTTGGAATGCTGGTACTTTTAGTCATTACCTCTAGACGAACTTTAGTTTCATGTATTTTGAAGTAAAATTTGCATACGTTTATTTATTAATGGAAAAACCAGATCGAAATATCTACAAAATTTCGCAATTCAATCAAAATAAGGGCAAAAGTGAGTTCAAGCACCGGTATTTTCAGCATGAAAGACGTTCTTTTTTTTTTTGGAAAATCGGGAAATCGGGAAATTGCACAAAAGGAAAAAGAAAGAATTGAGCAAATGAGGCAAATGAATAGTCAATAACTTTGTCCAACTTTAAAAGTCAATAACTTTGTCCAGAGATTTAATCATTTTTAGCTTTTTATATCATTTAATAGAGGAGATTTCAGGCTTTTGAATGATACTAAAATGAGCTTGATTGAACTAAAATATCATAGAAAAAATTAATCTCAAAGATTTTGGTAGAAATTTTGAGATAACTTTGTCGCCTCACTTTGAGAGCCCATAACTTTGCTTAGAAGTTATATTATGCTTAGCATTTTATATCATTTAATAGAGGAGATTTCATGCTTTTAAATGATATTAAAAACATCTTGATTGAATTAAAATATCATAGAGAAAATTGTTCCAAAATCTGGGCACGGATTTCGCTCAGATCGATTGCCGGGTTTTATTTTAAGCCTTTTTTTTTCAGTGAAATTTTCGCTTTATCAATTCTAAATCACGAAAAACTCATAAAAAATCGTTTCATCGTCCACAATTAACAATTCTATTATCTCTGGACAAAGCTTTGGCTGAAAGTTGACTCTGTAAAGTTGACTAAATGAAAATGCCCGAAAATTTTGACAAAAGCCGAGGTTTTTTCAAAAAAATTCTTCTAAAAAAAGAAAGAGTTATGGATTCTGGGAAACGTAGAAACATTGCTGAATATATGACAATTTCCCTAAGCATTTGTATTTCTCGGATAATAGACCACCCTCCGGTAGCCCGCCAGCCGGGTTACAGTAGGGTCGGCAGTGCTCGAAGCCTGGCTCGAATACGTTGTACGCTTCACAACATTGAGTCACATCTTTGTAACCAGACGCACAAATCATGATATCGTGCACTTTTTGAAGTGGGCAACGACCGGTTAACACGTTGAGTTGCATCTAGAAACGGAAAAGATATAGAGACAAGTTTTGAGCTCATTAGAGCTACTGCAGTCCATTAGAAGCGTACTGAAGCTCATCAGAGCTACTCTAGCTCATTAAAAGCGTACTGTAGCTCATTAGAAACCTACTGTACCCTTTAGAAATGCTGTAGCTCATTAGAAGGGTACCGGAGCTCATTGGAAGCGTACTGGAGCTCATCAGAGCTACTCTAGCTCATTAGAGCTAATCTAGCTCATTGGAAGCGTACTGTAGCTCATTAGAAACCTACTGTACCCTTTAGAAATGCTGTGGCTCATTAGAAGAGTACCGGAGCTCATTAGAAGCATACTGAAGCTCATCAGAGCTACTCTAGCTCATTAAAAGCGTACTGAAGCTCATTGAAACCTACTGTACCCTTTGAAATGCTGTAGCTCATTGAAGGGTACCGGGCTCTGGAACGACTGAAGCTCATCAGAGCTACTCTAGCTCATAAAAGCGTACTGAAGCTCACAGAGCTACTCTAGCCATTAAAGCGTACTGAAGCTCATCAGAGCTACTCTAGCTCATTAAAAGCGTACTGAAGCTCATCAGAGCTACTCTAGCTCATTAAAAGCGTACTGAAGCTCATCAGAGCTACTCTAGCTCATTAAAAGCGTACTGAAGCTCATCAGAGCTACTCTAGCTCATTAAAAGCGTACTGTAGCTCATTAGAAACCTACTGTACCCTTTAGAAATACTGTGGCTCATTAGAAGAGTACCGGAGCTCATTAGAGGCGTACTGTACCCTTTAGAAAGTCTATAGCTCTAGGTAAAGAAACCCTGAGCTAACTAGGTGTAAGTGCACCGAAGAAACAAGAACTTCTAAGCAAATTCTAGCAAAATCTCTGCCAAAGTTAGCAGATATTAGATAGGTGTTGGGTACTGTGAGTTAAAGGGACTCTAGGGTACTGTGACTTTGGCTATGTAAAGGAATGCCTCTTCTTGGCTTTTAGCTCACTAAGTTCTACTGATTGAGCCAGCCAAATCCTATGCCACCGATACCATTTAACGCAGAATTTTCTGCTGATTCCAAATATATATTCCGTTTTTGCTAAATGACAATCTGTTAGGAGTTATAATTTCTAAAGTTTCGTTAAGATTGGTGATTGGTCTTAGCGGCCTCATTGCGGGCCTGAAAGTGTGGTCATTTGGTTCTTAGCGGCCTGCTCGCAAAGCCGACCCAGTGCAGGCATGGCCGAGTGGTAAAGCGTTCGTTTCTGAAGGGAGACCTTCGAAGTTCGGTCCCCGCTTGGGTTTTTTACTTTTTTTACTTTTTTCAGAGTTCTAACAAAACTTTAAACACTTAAAACTCTAGGTTCTTTAAGTTTAAACGATAAAAACGAACTGTAGCCAGATTAGCATCATAGTTGCAGAGTGGCATACAGCCTTCACCCAATCTTGCGCAACAGTTCGCGAAACGTTGATTCGCCTCCGGTTTACCGATACACGGAAGCCAGCCGGGTTGACGGGGACACTGAATTTTTGAGTTTTTATCTTTCATATTAACATTCTACAGTAAGTGTTGAGTCAAAGAAATGTCGGAAAACGAATTGGAACGTTAGAAGTCTTGGTGCTGTCGTTAAAACTAGAATTGGTGTACTGTGAATTGCTTGGGTACGTCTAGACAGTGCTTTGGTACCTCTAGACAGTGCTTTGGTGCCTCTAGACAGTGCTTTGGTGCCTCTAGACAGTCCTTTGTTACCTCTAGACAGTGCTTTGGTACTGTAGCTTGTGATTCAAAGTTTAGAGTAAACATCATGTAGCTTTCAAAGCCGAAATCCCTCTAAACCCACTTGCGGGTATTGCACTTGTGGCTTTGCCACTCCGGCGTAGAAGTTTTTCTCGTACGTTTGCGGAGAGGAGTCAATCGAACGAGCCACTACCTAAAAAACATCACTAAACGATTCTCTAGAAAACGTGATTACTTTAGAGTACTGTATTCTAGATACTGTAGGCTGTAAGCCTACTGTAAGCCTACTGTAAGCCTACTGTAAGCCTACTGTAGGCCTACTGTAAGCCTACTGTAAGCCTACTGTAAGCCTACTGTAAGCCTACTGTAAGCCTACTGTAAGCCTACTGTAAGCCTACTGTAAGCCTACTGTAAGGTTCCCCAAAAAAAGCCCCCACCTGATTTCCCTGTTGAGCATAGTTGGTCGATTGTTGGATCGAATTTGTGGCCAAAGCTTTGGATTGAGAAGCCTAAAATTTCTATTTAAACTTAAAATAAAGGTTAAAGCTTAAAACTGAAAGATTTCGAAACAAACCTGCTGATAGCCTTGATATTGTTGCTGTTGTTGTTGCTGTACTCCATAGGGACTTCGCTGTTGCTGTTGTTGGCCGTTCACCCCGTAGTACGAGGCCTAAATTAGCGATAGATATTCAATGATTATAGATAATTGTATAGATCAAGAGCTAGGCTATTCTGGACCCAATTTTCATAGTACAATAGCCTGCCTGGGCGCAGTTTTGGCTTTGGGAGCGCGTGGAACAATTTAGAGTTTTACAGTCCAAGTCTTCTATCTACAGTCTGCCTAGATAAGTACTGTAGCTACTGTATGGATACTAGCTACTGAAGGGATACTAGCTACTGAAGGGATACTAGCTACTGTATGGATACTAGCTACTGTAGGGATACTAGCTACTGTAGGGATACTGTAGCTACTATAGGGATACTGTAGCTACTGTAGGGATACTGTAGCGACCAAAATTTGACTCAATCTACTATCTTATTAGCTGAATACTAATTTCAAAGAACTATAAAGATTCGAAACTGATTCCTTTATAAGGCTTCTCTCGCTGCCATTCAGAGATAAGCTCGTGGCCTAGTGGATAAAGACTTTGGTCGGTGAAACGGTGGTCCTATTTTTGCCCTCGAGTTCAATTCCGCCCACGTGCAAAATTTGCCTCACAACCATGACTGATTTTTGTGGCATTTTGCTCGCCATTGCCAATTCTATGCCCTGTGTTTCCAGTCGATTCCGAACTTTGAGCTCACTTAGAGTAAGAGCATAATCTAGAGCATATATCTAGCGTAATCCGATTCCGAACTTTGAGCTTTGATTTTTTCCCTTGTCAGCTAATCAGACCATTCCCTTGTCAGCTAATTTTTTATGACAATCTTTCAATCGGCCTTTATTCAAAAGTCAAGAGCCTCCCAGCCCTTCCTCTCATCAATTTTCTCATCTTAAACCACACCTGATTATATTGTTGTTGAGGAGTTGGGGCGGTAGTGCTGAAAAATTGATTTGGAGGAAAGGTGGGTAATCCGAAGGGATTTGAAGCTGATGGAGCCGATGGAGCTAGGCCAAGGTTTTGGAGAAATGGTTGAAATGGATTGAAGAATGGAGAGGTTTGAGAAGAAGTTTGGGATGGTTGTTGATTGGGGAAAAGGCCCGGGAAGAGAGTGTTCTGCTGGGTAGATTGTTGAGTCGCTTGTTGCTGGGGCTCAGGAGCTTGAGCAGCTCGCGGTACCTAGAAATTCCAAGTTTTTTCAGATAAAGTCTTTTACAGTAATTCTTATAGAACTGCTGCTAGTTGAACTTGAGCTATGAACTGGTCTAGTACCAATCTATCTACTGGTCAAGTCCCAGCAGCTGGTCAAGTCCTAGCAGCTGGTCAAGTCCTAGCAGCTGGTCTAGTAGCAGCTGGTCAAGTCCTAGCAGCTGGTCTAGTAGCAGCTGGTCTAGTAGCAGCTGGTCAAGTCCTAGCAGCTGGTCTAGTAGCAACTGGTCTAGTAGCAGCTGGTCTAGTAGCAACTGGTCTAGTCCTTAGCAACTGGTCTAGTCCTAACTGGCCTAGTCTCAGCAGCTGGTCTGTGCCAGTACTAGCAGTGCCATTGTCCAGTTGAGCTACTGTTAGGTACTTGTACTCTCAGCCTGCTATTACCCTAGCACCTAGCAGGTCTATCTCAATACAAAGTCCTAAAAGATTTCCGATAAATCAGACACTATCTAGCGTATCAGCAGACCTGTACTTGCTGTGCCAGGTCTAGCTCTAGATCTAGCTCTAACTCTAAAAGCTCAGATCTAGCTCATCGATCAATAGCCGACTCTAAAGCTAAAGTATCTGACCGATTCGATTCCAATTTTCTCTCCCAAAAAGTAATTGGTTTAAAAAGGAAACCTGTGAGTACAATCCATTCGACAAGATCCTTTGCTGAGCGACCAATTGTTGATTGATTTCCTCAGCAGAAGGCATTTGAATCAATGGAGCCAATGTGACAGCTTGTTCTCTTGATGGAGTAACGGCTGGTGGGGGTGGGGGTTGAGTGACAACGATTTGAGGTTGATACTGTTGATACTGTGGTTGTTGGGGCTGTTGAAATTGTTGATATTGTTGTTTGTTGTTGAGCTTGTTGCTGTGGTTGGTGCTGTGGTGGAGCGTACAATGGTTGATAGGCGACTTGTTGCGGTGGGATTGGGTGCAGCTGAAATTTTAGTTGCTCATTTGACTGTAAAAGAAACTGTAAAAGATTTCTCGTTACTAAAAGCTTTCACACGTCAGCTAAAGGTCCCGTAATCGTTTTGGTGATACTTTAAACAGTAATCCTAGATTTAAAGGTGTATTGAGACTGAGTTTTCAGCCAAAAATCGGCTCTAAAATGAATTGTAAGGTTTAAAAAGGGCTGTAAAGCTTTACTAGATCTCTAGAAGATCTCTAGATTATGATAGCATTAATATTTTGAGATTACGATAGCTTTGATAACGTTTTTACGGGAGTGGGACAAATGCGACCTTTTTTTTGCGCACCCGGACATTTGCGCACTTAGCCCATTAGCGCACCTTTTTTCGCGTTTTAAAAAAGCTCTAAAAGCTTAAAAAGCTAATATTAACCAAAATTCTATTCCAAAAGTTGTTTTTTAGGTCATTTTAGGGCGTAGAATCGAAATTTTGACATATCAGAGCTTGTGGAAACAAACGAACGGAATTTTTTGTAATTTGATCTAGCCGTTTTGTCTTTGAAATTGGTTCATTCCAATTTCATTATATAAAGCTTGACGTGAGGGGGCGTGGCTTGGCATCCTGCCGAGGCTCTGCTTTTAAATTCGTATTTAAGACTCGACGTGAGGGGCGTGGCTTGGCATCCTGCCGAGGCTCTGCTTTTAAATTCGTATTTAAGACTCGACGTGGGGGCGTGGCTGGCATCCTGCCGAGGCTCTGCCTTTAAATTCGTATTTAAGACTCGACGTGAGGGGCGTGGCTTGGCATCCTGCCGAGGCTCTGCTTTTAAATTCGTATTTAAGACTCGACGTGAGGGGCGTGGCTTGGCATCCTGCCGAGGCTCTGCTTTTAAATTCGTATTTAAGACTCGACAAAACACCGTATTCTTATTTCGATTCTACGCCCTCAAATTCCCTAGAAAAACAACTTTTGGAATAGAAATTCGTTAATATTAGCTTTTTTAAGCTTTTAGAGCTTTTTTAAAACGCGAAGGTGCGCAAAGGTGCGCTAATGGGCAAGGTGCGCAAATGTCCGGGTGCGCAAAAAAAAGGTCGCATTTGTCCCACTCCCCGTTTTTACATATATAAGATCTAGCTTTCATTCGATTTCCCCTCAAAATCAATTCCTCAATCGAAAGTGTGATTGAAAAAAAGAAAAAAAGACACACACAAACGTGTGACACTTGAAAATGTGTGAAGAAAAACTGGAAATTCGTTTTTCCAAATCAATCCAGAAAGAGAAAGTCAAGTGTAGTTTGTTTTTAATATATTTATGATAGATTTTCTACGATAGCTTTTCTACAATAGCTTTTTTACGATAGATTTTCTACGATAACTTCTCTACGATAGCTTCTCTACAATAGCTTTTCTACGATAGCTTTTATACGATAGCTTTTCTACGATAGATTTACTACGATAGCTTTTCTAGAATAGCTTTTCTACGATAGATTTACTACGATAGCTTTTCTACAATAGCTTTTCTCGATAGCTTTCTACGATAGATTTTCTATGATAGCCTTTCTACAATAGCTTTTCTCGATAGCTTTACTACGATAGCTTTTCTACAATAGCTTTTCTACAATAGCTTTTCGACAATAGCTTTTCGACAATAGCTTTTCTACAATAGCTTTTCTACCATAGCCTTTCTACAATTGATTTTCTACAATAGCTTTTCTTGAGGATTCTTTTTAGAAAACCACTTGTAATTACAGTACTCAAACCTGTGTATTTGGTGCAGCAAATTGTTGCGCTTGCGGCTGATTCTGAGTGGGCAAGTAGTGCGTTTGTTGCAGTTGAACAAAATGCTGTTGTTGTTGTTGTTGTTGTTGTTGCTGTGGTCGTGGTGGAGGCACAATTTGCGCTGGCGGTGGTTGTGGGGCTTCTCGGCGTTGTGGTGGTGTTGGAACTGGTTGCTGAGGTTGTGGCTGGCGATAGATTGGCGCCGGTTGTCTCGGGATCGTGTTCTGCGGCACAGGGGACTGAAAATCAAGATTTTGATTTGTGAATTACCAAATCATCAACAAACCTGCACCCTTCCCGGGCATCTCGAGCAGACATCAGGGCACATGCGCGAGATGAACTCCACCTCACAATGCAGGCAACGAGCCCGGGCACAACTTGGCAAATCCGCATACAAAGCAGTGAATAAAGAAACGAGGAGAAGCCACCGCATTTCTAGAATCAAGGCTTTGTTTGGAAGAAAGATCAATGAGCTGAACTGCTTAAAGATTTGGTTAAAGATGTGCTTAAAGATTTGCTTAAAGATTAGGTTAAAGATTAGCTTAAAGATTTGGTTAAAGATGTGCTTAAAGATTTGCTTAAAGATTAGGTTAAAGATTAGCTTAAAGATTAGCTTAAAGATCTGTTTAAAGATCTGTTTAAAGTTTAGCTTAAGATTTTAAAAGATCAATGCTTTGGTTTCAAAAGAACAAAGATTCTAAAGAACAAAGTTTCTAAAGAACAAAGATTCTAAAGAACAAAGATTCTAAAGAAGATCAAATCAATGCTTTAAATATCAAAAAGATATATCTTTAACCACAAATCAAAAACAAGCAATGCAATTTGAAGTAGTGCTTGTCAAAGCCAAAAGCTCAAGCTAAAGAATATCACTGAAAACCGTATAAGATAAATCTCTCTATGCAAATGGCACGTCAACGATGAGAAAAGCTAAAAAGCCGCCTAATAAACCGCCACCGAAAATGGAAATTACGCAGGAAAAACAGGAAAACCCGACGAGCAAAAGGGAAAAGTGAGGATTTGAGGAAAGGAAAGGAAAAGAGACATTCTTTTGAGTTTGGTTTAAGCAAGAGAGGATTTGGCTAGGCGATCAGGATGGAGGAATTTTTCTGGGCCAAGTCTAGATCACTAAAACAACCTTGACTTTATCTGGACTGGCTCTAGCTGTATTGTAAGCCTGACTGGCTTCGCTTGGCTTTCTGATCTTCTTGTAGAGTGGAGAAAAAAAGAAAGAGCTGAGCCTAGTTTCACGATATCATCGACTGTTTATTCTGGAATTGTGGAAAATGTTTGAAGTCACTACGCGGAATTGAATTGAATTGATCTCACGATCACTTGATCTTGATGCTTGAGGCTTGATCACTGCCTTCGTTTGGTTTTCTGCCTTTATTGCAAAGTGTAGAAGAAAAGATTTGGCCAAAAATGTGAAATTCAATTGAAATTTCTCAAAAAGAAATAAGAATCTATTGGCAACGGATTTGAACCCGGCCAAGAAAGACCTCGAGCCGTTTTCGAGACGACCACGCTATCCACTGAGCCAACAGTCCAATGTTTGAGGGAGAGATAAAAGGGTTATAACGATGCTTATGAGTTTCTTATTGCTTATAAGAATCTCGTTATAAAAACCAACCAACCTAAACTTTGATGTCAGATATCTCGCGTTACAGAGCTCCTTTAGAAAAAGTAAAAGCAGATTCAGAATTAGCATAACCGATTCTGGCTTTGAAGGCTTTGTTCTGGTGCCTTTCTCTAGTCACTTACTGTAATTGTTAACTGTAATTGTCAACAATTGAAACTAATAAAAAGGCACTCTTGCATTTTGAGGATCAGAAAAGGAAAAGGAAATGGAAAAGGAAAAGGATGGCTTGCTGATCATAGGGAGAAAGGTTTAGAGTCCGGAGAGACCGGGGGGTGAGCCTGAGTGTGGCTCTATGGCTCACAATTGCCTCTTCTGTAGCTCTTGGAACCCGTTTCCTTTGCCTTGCGTAGGGTACCCCTACTCCTTTCTCTACCCTGGCTAACGGGATCGGGTTTTTTTCAATCTCCCCATCCTTCCTCTGCTGATTTTTTTTGATTCTCAGTGGACTCGAGAATCTTAGAGCTTTCCGAGCTTGAAGAGCTTTCTGAGAGCTTGAGAGCTTTCTGAGAGCTTGAGAGCTTTCTGAGCAACTTACTGTACTCTCAAGGAATTCATTGGGTTTTCGTTCAAGTAAGGCAACATAGCTAGAGTACAAAGAGAACATTGGTCTATAACAAGTAAAGGACTGGTTATACTGATATCAGTATCAGTAGAGTTACCAGTAGAGTTACTAGTAGAGCAGTAGAGCTAGTAGAGCAGTAGAGCTAGTAGAGCATAATCAGTAGAGCTTGTTCATTTGTATGAGTACAAGGATTTGATTAACAAGAAAGCAGGAATCGCTCAAAAGATTTGCATCCATCGATAAAGCTACCTCCAGCCTTACAAGGAGTACTCCTCAGCCTCATGAGTACTCCTCAGCCTCATGAGTACTCCTCAGCCTCATCAGTACTCTTTGTAAGGCTGTAAGTGCGGTGAAATCAACTCGATCATGTCAATCAAGTCAATCAAGTCGATCATGACGGTAATAAGAAAAAGTTATGTTTATTAGAAGAAAAATAGTTCTATATTTGCATAGAAATCGATAAAACCGATTGGCAACCATTAGCGAGCTGTTTCCGGATTCAAAGAAAACGAGAAAACGAGTTCGAACTCTCTCGGAAGCTTTTTTCAAGATCAAGAGAGAGAAAGAAGAGAGGAAGAGCCTGTTGTCGTGGGTTGGGAAGAGGCTCGTCTTTCTCTTTCCTTCAGGGCAGGCAGGCCAGAGCTTGATGGAAAGCCCGAAGCCGGATCATCGCCTTTCCACCTTCTCTTCTTCTTTAGACCTCCAGCTTTAGACACACAGACACATTCAAACCATCACCATCACCTCCTCTAGCTCTACCATTTTCCGTAATACCTCTTTCCCTGGCAAAAAAAAGATTAATGAAACAGCAGAACTCTTTTTGAGAGTCAGTGATCAACTTTGGCTGACCTTGACTACTCTAATAGATAAATAACCCTATCAATAGATAAACTAGATAAATAACCCTATCTAATTGACTTATCCAAGATCAAAAATACTTTCGATAATTATCTTAGTCTAGAAAGTCTAAATAATCTTTTGTTTTGAAAGTCTAAGCTTGAATAACCTAAACTTGTAAATCAGACGAGGTTAGTCTAGGGTCAAGTTAGAATTTTGGATCAGTCCTGATCGGATCGGTCGGTCGGTCGTCCTTTAAGTCAAACCGTGATCCAGACAGGGAACTGGTGGCTAAGCCTGTACCATTGGCTTCAAGAGCCTGTTAGTCGGATCAAGTTAGGACAGGAGTAGATCAAGGATAGGATAGATCGAAATTCGTCTAGAGCTAGAGCCTGGCAGGAGTAAGTTTTTGGTGAGACTTACAGAAAACCCAGGTCCAGGCAAAGCTAAAACCTGACCAAGAGCCTGGTGCAGCTCAAACTTACAGCAAAGCCGGGTCTAGCAGAAAACCCAGGTCCAGGCAAGGCTAAAGCCTGACCAAGAGCCTGGTTCAGCTCAAACTTACAGCAAAGCCGGGTCTAGCAGAAAGTCCAGGTCCAGGCAAGGCTAAAGCCTGACCAAGAGCCTGGTTCAGCTCAAACTTACAGCAAAGCCGGGTCCAAGCAAAACCAGAACCTCAATTCTAAGCCTATTTTGAAACAATGATCTGCATTAGATAAAATTCTTTACAATCATTCCGAAATAAGTGTCAACTTTGGAAAACGAGTTCCAGAAAGTGACTAACGATAAGCGAAAGTTGCTAAAAACGGTTCCATGACCTTAAGCAAAAGAAATCCATTAAGGAAACCCCAAAAAAAGTATACTTTCCCTTTTAGACTCAATTAGTCATACTTTTTGCTATCAGAGATGACATTTGAAAGTTCTAAACATCAATTAGTCATTTAACAAGAAAGGGAAAGGGAAGAAGAAAGCTATCTTTCTTTCTTTCTCTTTCTCTTTCTCTTTCTTTCTCTTTCTTTATCTCTCTTTATCTTTCTCTTTCTAGATTCAACTCGCTGATGACGGAAAAAACAAGTTTGGATTATGTGAAAGCGATCGTTTCAAGTCTCGACTATTCACTCGATCAACGACAATCGAGAGCGAGACTCGTTTTACAAAGAGCACTCACATCAACGAATGAGGTGAGAGAGAGAGAGAGAGAGTAAGATTATTGAAATCCAGAGCACTGGTATTGTTTTTACAAAGAGCACTCACATCAACGAGTGAGGTGAGCGAGTGTAAGATTATCGGGATTATCGGAATCCAGAGTACTGGTATTGTTGATGTTGAGAAATTAGGATATGAGCACTATTGGACACTATTGGACACCCCTTGGTTACCTTTATCTAGTACCCAGTGGACACTAGGAAGAGCAGTAATGGTTCTAGGCCCTAGCACTCACATCAACGAGTGAGGTGAGCGAGTGTAAGATTATCGGGATTATCGGAATCCAGAGTACTGGTATTGTTGATGTTGCGAAATTAGGATATGGACAATGTTGGACACTATTGGGTACTATTGGACACCTTTACCTAGTGCCCAGTGGACACTAGGAAGAGCAGGAATGGTTCTAGGCCCTAGTACCAGTGATCGGAAATTTGCTTTACTTTTATTATTGCTAACTTTAAGCTCAAATTTCTTGATGTTGAGTTCAATTGAAATCTTGGGTTCAATTGTTCAATTGAAATCTTGGGTTCAATTGCTCAATTGAAATCTTGGGTTCAATTGTTCAATTGAAATCTTTTTTGGTATCATTAGAAGCGTTGAGTCTTTCTCTGTTGATTGGTACAAAAATTATTGTAATTTGACAACAGGATGCCAAGAAATTTAAGCTCAAAGTTCGATTAGAAATCCCCAGAAAACTGTGGTATTTGAAGTGCTGTTGGAAAGGTGCTTATTTTTGAGTTTTTGATTTTTAAACAACACAAAATGTCGATCGATAGCTTTTGAAGCTTTTAAAGCTTTTAAATTGATTGATTTTGATACTAGGGCCTAGAACCATTCCTGCTTTTCCTAGTGTCCACTGGGTACTAGATAAAGGTGTCCAATAGTGTCCAATAGTGTCCAATAGTGTCCAACAGTGTCCATATCCTAAAGGTCAAAAGTTTTTGAATTTTAGAAAAATTTCATTAATTTCAGATGGCGCGCAAGTGGTGCACTCGATTTTTGGCTGTTCTTGCGAGTTTACCCAATCTAAGCTTCAACAATTGGGGCACGAAATTCCTAATTACACAGGTTTTTTTTAAAAAAATAAACTCTTGAAAAATATATTTCAAAGAATTTCAATGAAAAAGCATTAAAATAAACCCTGCTAATCGATCCGTTGACACCGAAAACCCCCCGGATTTGAGCGAAATCT